TGCTGTAGCTGTTGCCGTACTTGATGCTGCCGTACCGGTATTTGCACGGCAGGCTGCAATGCACGACCCTGCTCCACGTACTGCTCCCCACCCCTTCCCCTCGTCCATCGTTGCTGATCCTGCTGCTGCTCTTGCTGCCGTCCCTTCTGCTGCTCGGACCAGCTTCCTCCAGAACAAGTTCCCAGCCGCTCGCCCGCTTCCTCAGGCACCAGCCGCTCGCCCGCTTCCTCAGGCACCAGCCGGTGGTACAAGCAGTTAAACTCGCTGCGGAGAGTTGCCAGCCGCTCGGCTGCAGCCCCAGCAGAGCTCTGCTGACCGGCGGCTACCGGTACGCCTTCCCTAGCTGCCACCACCGAACCCGTCTCCACACCCGTCTCAAGCGCCGCTGCGGACCGGTCGTTACGGTCACTGCCTACGCTGCCGCGGTCCCAACCGCTGCCGCCGCTGGCCTCATGAACACCCCGGGGTAGTCGCCCACAGGCGTCTACAGGTACGTCTTGTACAGCAGCCCCGCTATGCAGCAGCTGCTGCTGTTGTTGTAATTGTTGCTGCTGCTGTTGCTGCTGCTGTTGGGGACACGCATCCCTCTGTCGCCGCGGCATCGCTTGCTGCTGCTCGTCCTGAGCAGCAGCAGCCTGCTGTCGCTGCTGCTGCTCTTGCTTCTGCTGCTCCTGCTGCTCTTGCCGCGGTGGCTCGAAACGTGCCTCCCTTCGACTCCGCGGCGCTCGTATCGCACCCCGGACGCACTCCTGCTCCAGCGCCTCCGCCGCCTCCCGCGCCTGCCTTGCTCGCGTTAGCTCCTCCAGCCGCCGCTGCAGCCGCAGCAGCCCGCAGCCGCCTGCGGCCGTTGCGGATGATGACGTCGCCGCCGCCGCCGATGATGGTGATGTGGGCCTTGCAGCCACGTGGTGACTAGGGGCCTCCATGACAGGGGATCCCTTCTGACCCGGCGGCGGTGTTGCCTGACCTGGTGCAGCTCGGTGGTGAGGAGGAGGGGCCTCCGGCAGCGGAGCGGCGGTCGAGGGAGACATGCATTGGCTGTTGCTGCTGCTCGGGTGTGGTGATGCAGCGGATTTGGGCTGGGACAGGTTTGGTGACCCATGGATCATGAGGTCGGGCTGGGCAGTGGCAGCTGCGAGCTCGGCTGCTGCGGCCAGCGCCGCTTGGGTGCCAGCACGTAGGATGGCATCCTCTTCCTCTTGTTGTTGCTCTGCGTAGTACTGACGCAGCAACAGGGCGGAGAGCTGCTTGCCTCCGTCATAACCGCCGACAGCAGCTGCGGATGGGTCTAGCTCTGTGGTTGACGACGCCATGGCCTGCCCACGAGGGGTAGTGGCGCCGCCGGGGTTGCGGCCATACCAGCTGCCAGCGCCGCTGCTGCTGCTCATGCTGCTGCGCGTGCTGCTGCTGCTGCGGGCGTTACTGCCACTGCCGTAAGAGCGGTGGTTGTTGTCGCTGCTGCTGCCGTACAGGGGCGGAGGCGGCTCGCTGGGCACAAGGACGGTCTGCATAGTGGCGATGCGGGGCAAAGAGGAAACAACTAACTGACCGTGTGATAAGGCGGCATCATGGTTTGCAACATGTGGGCGATGCGGGGCGGGACGGGCGTGTATAGGGTAGAGGGAGAGCAACCGTGTTGGTGGCAGGATGCCTGGGTCCAGGTATGCTTGTGAAAGCGTGCACTGCGCGACTTGAATTGCATGCAAGGTGCGTGATCCGCCATTCAGCAGGGTTACCGGGACACGACCATCAACCCCGCCCGACGCACCCGCACACCCTCAGCAGCAGAGACCAGCCGTAGCACCTCCTCCGCAGTTGCTGCTGCTGCCGCCACCGCTGCTGTTCCTTCCGCAACGCCTTTTGGCACAGTGCAAGTTCCGCTGACGCCGCCGGCAGCTGGTCCCCCATGCGCCCCTGCCGGCAGCGCCGCCAGCAGGTGCGGTGCGGTGTTGCCGGCAAGCAGGGGAGCCAGGGCACGACACAACGCGCAGCCATGAGCGCGGCCGGTGGCACGCAGGGGCCTCGACACGCCTGCAACCCAAGGGGCCCAAGAAGGCGAGGGGCATACTGACTTGGGTGCATGGAAGCGGCGGGGGTGGTGCCAAGGCAAATTTCCATGGACATGGCACGCCAGCGACACACAACTTGCCATGCACACGTTTTGGGCCGTTATGTGCGGCATACGTACGTTGCTTGGATGCTAGCGCGATACTGATTAACTGATATGGTGTGGCAGCGCACCTGATTCGTCGTCTTGGCGTTCAAGCAGCTCCGCGAGGAGGTTGCGAAGGCAGGAGAGAGCAGAGGAGGGGGCAGCGGTCTGGGGCTTGGAAGCGGCTGCGGCAGTGCGGTTCACGGCGGTTTGCTGCTGTTGCTGCTGCTGTTGCGGCTGCTGTTGCTGCTGCTGTTGCGGCTGTTGCTGCTGTTGCTGCTGTTGCTGCTTGGGGTGTCCAGCAGTGGTTACATCTACAAACACCAGATCCAGCGTGGTCCAAGGACCATCGGAAAGGTGGAAGGAGCTGTCTCCAACCCTGCTGATGCTGCTGCTAGCGCAGCTGCTCCTACTGCTGCTGCTGTTGTGAAGGGAAGCTGCAGACTGCTGCGCTTGCGGCTGTTGCTGGCAGTTGACCGTACATGTGGACCGCCGTACACCTAGCCGGATGAAAAGATGATGATGCGCCGCTGAGTCGTAGCTGGAGGGATCTCCAGGGCCGTTGCTGCTGCCCTGCTGCCTGCTACTGCCACTGGCGGTCTCGTTGCTGCCGCTGCCGTTATACCCCACGAGGCAGCTATGGCGAAACGCAGCATGCAGAACCGCCACCGCCTCCTCCACCGAAGTCACGCACACTGGGCTATTGTTCGCGACAGCAGCTGCAGCTGCTGCTGCCACCGCGGCCTCCTTACTTGGAGGCAGCAGCCTTAGGCTTGAGGTCGTCGCTAACTGCCCCCCGACGGCGCTGCTGCCGCTGCTGTTGCGGGCCGTCGGCTGACCCCGCTTCGATGCATCCTCACCCCGCTTTACCGCCGTCGCCGCCCCCGCCGCAGCTGCAGCCGCCGCCAAAAGGTTACACCAGTCGTTCCCCACATCCCCGCCAGTCCCCGAGTCGCCACCGCCGCCTTCCCCTCGGCTCCCCGCAGTGCAACCGCCGTACGCCGCCGTACCGCTGCCTCCGGTCCTGCTCGCACTGCCCCTGCGGCCTCCCCTGCTTCCACCACTGCCCTCGCCCTCGCCCTCAGCGGCTGAGCCCCCGTGGGTCCTCTGCCTCAGCTCGAAGCACCAAAGCGCCAGGCAGGCGTGTCGCTGCGGCTGAGCCTGGATGCTGGGGCTTGGGGGCACCCACGTCCCTGCCGCGGGAACGGCAGGGGCAGCAGGGGCCATGGTTGCAGGGTCGCCACATGCTTGTTGGTCAAGGGCGGCATGCAGGCATTCCAGCAGCAAGCTGTGCTGCTGCAGCCCTAACAGGAGTTCAAGACCGACTGAGGGAGCAGGTGATGTGGCTGTGGCTGAGGTGGCGGGCACAGCGGGGGCTGCGGTTGGATCGCCTGCTGCTGCTCCGCAGGAGGCGGTACGTGGTGAGAGGTTGAGACAGGTGATGATGCTCGTGTGGCATCCGTTGGCTAGCCAGGACCGCAGGGGAGCCTGGTGGGGTTCGGGGGGGGGAGGAACCAGGCGGTCGGTCGGTTGGTACGGTAGTCGGCATCCTAGGATGACATGTCTGAGAAGAGGGAGCTGCGAAGCAGCCCCCGTTGTTTATAGTAAACTTAAGAAGACAAAGTTAAAGGGTCTGTGTGTCAAACTGTGGGATAAAAAGGACTTGCATGTGCACTCTCACTTCAGCACCCTCACCTCAGCCAAACATGCAATGGAGCCGGGAGTGCTGTCTGTTACTGCGTACGACAGCCGGTATTCAGCCTGACGGGCTGCGCCAAAGCCTCGTGCTTGACCTTCGCTTCTGTTGCCACCCTGATCGGAGTTCTGGACAATCACGGCGCGTCCATCCTCGCGGACACGTAAGGCGCGGATAGGACCAAGAGCTCCGGAGTCCAGCACGACAGCCGAAGTAACCATGGAGGCAATCCTGATAGGAGATGCATCGTAACCACCAAGCAGCGCCATTTGCTGCAGGCGCCTCGAAAGCTGCAATAGAAAAAAGTCGGTGTCATGGCTGATGATGATGTTCAGCCAACGTTATTCGGTTCTATACCTTTCCACTTGGCGGTGCATAAGAGAACTCCATGTTATTGTTATTTTTCTCTAATAATGTCGCCTGTGCGGAAGGCAGTGCGCCCGGCTGTCGCTTTAAGATACAAACATTTTCTTATGCATGAGCACTATTTGGGTGTAGACGAAACTGCTAAAAGCCATGCAGCTGCTGTTGTGTTACTAAGCACAGTAAAGGAAGTCGCGCCGCGATAACTTGCTGTTGGTTCGTTGGTCGGACAGCTGATAACGATCTTGGAATAGCTGTTCCCAAGCCGGTTACAGCGCATTTTTTTCAATTATCGCATATCGGTTGCACTGCCGCTGCAAATGGAAGAATGCGTACATTCGGGGTCGATCGTGGCAACCACCATCACATTGCAACTGGATGGAGACAGACTCTTGCCTTGGGTGGTTCATACAGGACAAGACCGCGCCTTGTCAGATAGACACGCATGCAAATTTACGGTTCATTGGCGGCTGATTTCCGGTACCGTATCGACTATGCACTAACCCCACCTCAGAACCTGAGCTGCCAAACCCTCGACCCAACCCAGTCGCCCTGTAATGACCATGCATGCACATATTCCTCGGCTCCTGCGGCGGTTCTGTGGGGACTTCACCTTCCGACATCCCAGTACGTTCCTACTCGCGGCCAGTATTCTTAACACATGACCTCACTGCACGGACCAGCACCCAATGTTCCACCACTCCAGCTCCTGACAATCCACACTCCCACCCGCACCCCACACCCCGCCCCGCTCCACCCCACCTCCCCCTACACCTCCACCACTAACACCGCGGCCACCCGCGCCCTCCCATCGACGCGCCGCCGCCGCCGACCCACTCGCACTCACACTCGCACCGCCGCCGGTCGCCGACAGCGACGACGGCGCCGCCACTCGCGCCACATGCATCACCGGCGTGGGAACCGTCCATACCACGTCGTACTCCGTAACCCGCAGTACGACAAGCGGCATGGCGACCTGCAACATCTGCTGCCACTGCAACAGCTGCTTGATGGGCATGGCCCAATTAGGCAACCACAGGGTACGCAACCCGGATAAGGCCCCCGCCGGCAGCCTCATGAGGCAGTCCAAAAGGGTGAGGTCGCGTTGGGATGCGGCTGCGGCGTCGGCGCCCGGGGGCAGGTTGCGTGGGGGTTGCGAGGGCTCCAACATGAGGTGCCGCAGGCGGGAGAGCGGCGCCAGGGAGGGAATGTCCTCACAGTGGATGCCGCCCAGACCCAGCGTGCGGAGACCCTGGTGGGGTGAGGCGGGACGCGGAGGGTGAGCAGGCAGGAAGGCAAGGGCTCACGTATTGCCGAGGTCGTCTGTGTGGTGTGTGAGATTGCGTGTTGAAGGACGGCCCGCGTCTGCCGGTTAAGAAAATAACCCCCGCGACTGTCGTACTGCGTGTCCAGAACCACCCACCGGCAGAGGCTTGCAGTACCTTTACCAGTGATCTCCTTCCTCTTTCGTTCCTCCTGCACCCTACCGTCCCTTCACAGCACCACCCCTCCCTCCCTCCCCCACCTTGAGCTTCGTGACCGCCCTCAGCAGTTGCTCCCTGGAGTGTCCCCCCGCTGCCCCCGCCCCTGCCCACTCCCCGGCGGCCAGCTGCTCCCCCTCCTCGGGGCTACTGGGCCAGCGCAGCACCAGCGTCTGCAGATCCGACGTGCAGGACAACACCTGCGAGGGAGGGGGGGAGGGAAAAGAGGAATACCCAATTTGTTGAATGAGGGGCAGGGGGTCAGAGATAAACCATAGGTTAGGGCGGGGGGGGGTGCAGGAAGCATGCAACAGGGAGGGAGACAAGGCGCAAGGATGGCAGTGGGGGTGGCAAGTCAGGGGGCGTGGTGGGGGTGCGCGGCAAGGAGCAGACGTGTGTTCAGCAGAGCGGCTGCCGCATCCCATGCTCGGGGCATGTCCTTATGCGGAACAACGCAGGGCTCAATAAGCCTAGTACCCTAGCTCTTCCCCCGTTGTGGCGGGCCTTCCCTTCCCGCTTCCCGCTTCCCGTCTGCCCCTCTCCTGTCGCACCTGCGGCAGCGGGCAGTCCGCCCCGCACAGGCAGTCCGCCAGCCACATGTGTCGCAGCCGGGAGGGGGGCCGACTGCCAGCCAGCTGGCAGCGCACCAGCAGCAGCGCCTCTAGGGTCCTGCGGAGGAATGGGGTGGGGATGGGGTAGGGTGGGTTGCATGTTGCATGGAGTGGGAGGTATTGTTCCGTAATCAGCATGCTGGGTATACCGGTACCGCTACACTCGCGTGGTGAATGGACGAAGGTGAATGGATGGATGGATCAGGGCGGCCAAGGCCGGAGCGGGTAGGGCAGGCCGACGAAACAAGGAAGCAGCCAAGGCAGCCGGGTAACCAAGCAATCAACCCGTAACGCAAGGTGGACCATGTGCAGCCATGTCACCATGTGCTAGACGTACGACTCTCCGTATCGTCCGTAGCCTCATGACCCCATCCGCACCACAGCCACCACCACCACCACCACTACCACCAGCAGCATGAGCAACCCCACCACCACCACCAGCAGCCCCTACCTGGGTAGATCGTCCCATCGTACGGCATAGCAGCGACCCGGCTGCGGCGGTCCAACTTCCTTCAGCTTGCCGTACACACTCGGCCAGTGCGTCAGACTTAACGACCGCAACCCGCGCCAAGCCCAAGTGGGCAGTGTCGGCAGGCAGGGCAGCGGTTGGGTGCCAGCTCCGCTGCTGCTGCTGCTGCCGCCACTGCCGCAAGCACCATCGCTGTTCCTGTTGGTTGTCCCTCCCTCTTCACCTCCACCACCACCACCTCCTCCACCACCGGTTGAGGTGGAGGAAGGTCCCGCAGCTGTTGCAGCTGTTGCGCCCCCTGCTGCCGCCGCTGACCTTGCCGCCCTAGCTGCGCACTTCAGCAAGGCTGCTACGGTATCCGTTACTTCCATTACGTCCGGAGCAGCATCCAAGCTGGGAGCAGCTGCAGCAGCGGTGCCGGATGCGGAGGGAGCCTCACCGCTGCCAGCGCCGTTGCCCTCTCCACCTCCGCTGCCGCTGCCACCTTCGCCGTTGCTGCTAGGCCCTGCTGCACCGCCTTCGCTAGGCCCTGCTTCTGCCCCTGCCTCGGCTGCTGACATCACCTCATCCGCCACTTCCGCTGCTGCCGCCGCTGGTAAAGCTGCAGCCGAAACATGCTCGGCTGTTAAGTCGAAAGCCGCTGCATGTAACACCGCTAACCCGAGCGCCTTCAAAGAGCACAGTGAATCCTTACCCAGAGGCCCAGCAGGCAGGCTCATCTTGGGTGCCCCCTTGCCTTCCTGCAGCAACAGAAAAAGCGCTCGCTCGACCACTTGCTCCAGGAGTTGCACCTGCCCGGTTCCCGCCTGCCCGCTTGCCGCCTGCTGCTGTTTCTGCTGCCTCTGTAGCAGCTCCTGCACAATATCTTCCAGCCGCCGCCGCAGCTGCGGTACGAGCGCTGCGAGGCCAGGCACGAGCGCCCATCGCTCCTCGGCGGAGTCCTGAACAGGCAACGGCTGCTGCTGCGGCGGCTGCGGCGCTGCGGGTTGCCGAACCGGGAAGTCCCCCAGCGCTTGGGCTGTGGGGTCGATGCGCAGGAGGTTCCAAGTGGAGAGGTGCAGGGACTCCAGGTGGGGTAGGCTGGTTAGCACGGAGACCAGGCTGCGGGCAGGCGGGAAGAAGGGAAAAAGAGGAAAGGGATGAAGAAGGGGGTGGGGAGAAGGGCGTTGGGGAGGAGACGAAAAGTATGCTGTGAGACAGGAGGAGGCGTGCGAGGCAAGAGGAGGCGGTTACCGCGGGGGCGTCATGGAGGGGTCAAGAGTACCGGTACGTTGGGTGAGCTTGAGAAGGTACTAAGCCCATGTGCCCCCCAACTCGACAGCAGCAACCCACCTGCCGTCTACGAACGCGGGGGCCGTGTCAGAGGGGCTATCCAGCTGCAGCATCAGCCCCCGAAGACACGTCAGCTGCCCCAAGTACGACAAATGAGTCATGCCGTACTTGCTAGACGCCACCGCCTGCACCTCGCCCTCCGCCGCCGTGACGGCGGCGGCCACCTCCGGCGGCAGCTCGTACGGCTGTACATCCCCTGACGGCAGCCCCCGCGGCAGCTGCAGCGACGTCAGTGACGTTAGCGTCCCCAGCGCCGCCACCAGATCCGGGCCCAGCTCCGCCGTCTCAAGCCGCAGCGAACGAAGCGGCGATGGCCCTGGCGGTGGCGGCGCAGCCGCCGCCGCCGCCGCGGTAGCGCCGGCCGGGCTGCCGCCCGGCGGCTGCTGCTGTGGCGGGCGGCCTGCGGCCGCCGCCTCCTGCGGCGAGACCGGCTGGGGTCCTGTTTGCATGGCTTTGAATGCGGCGCACAGGGCCTCCTCCTCCTCGCTGGAGGTGACGCGCACGCTGAGGGAGTGCAGGTGCGGTAGCAGCGGCAGGGCGCGGGAGACCAGAGCCTGGCAGCCGGGGGAGAGGCTGAGCGCCAGACATCGCAGCGGACTGGCGGCCAGGGCTGCATGGCAGGGAACGGAGGGAGGAGGGAAGGCAACACGTTACGGTACTGCCACAACGGAGGAGAGGATGAAGGGCCCTCTTCTCAAAACCCATCGCTACCTATCGCAACACTCACCAGCCGTCCGCTTCTTCAGCTCGGTAAGCGGATCCACCTCCTCCTCCTCCGGCCCCGCCGCTGCGTTCCATGCGTGGTCCGGGCACACGTGCAGCAGCTCCAGACGCGACAGTCGCGGCATGCACAGCAGGTCGAGGAGGTGTAGGGGGGAGGCGGGGCGCGCGTCGCATACCAGATTGAGTGTCTGGGGGGGGGGGGAGGGAAAGCGTCGTTCGGCACTTGTTCCCGTTCCCTAGCCCCGTCTTTGTGAATGTATATGCGGCGCGCATGCAGTAGGAGGCCGGAACCCAAGCAGCAGCTTGCCCGCCCCCCCCCAGCCCTCTGGCTTGGCTAATTCGGGCTGGGCGGGTCGGGCTGGCCCACATGTTGCAACCCATGTTGACGCCTTATCCCTCAGTCAGTTAGTTGTTTCCTCTTTACCGCCAGCCCTCCGGCCATGCGGGACGGGAGCCCCTCGCGGGAGCCACGAACCCTGTCGTACTGCCGTACTCCCACCCGACTTTCCACCCCCCAAACCCCAACCGCCTGCCGTACTGCCGTACCTCGAGTGTCGTGATGCTGGCCAGGTGCCGCGCCCCCTCCGCGTTGATGTTCTCCCCCCCGAACTGCAGACTGCGCAGCTGACCGTGCCGTACGAGCGCAGCCAGCAGGTCGTACACCTGTGGGGGTGTGCGGATGCGGGTGCGGGTGCAAAACACACACACAGCGTGGTACGGTCGTATGGATGAGTGCGCGATGTGCGGTTGAGCGTAACGCGCAGGTGGGACGGCCTTGCATGGTCCAACTCACGCCCAACCCGCTGCTGCTACCGCCTCCCGCCTCCCCACCCTTTCACCTCATTGAAATCCAGGAAGGAGTCCACATCGTAGCCGATGATCCACCTGAGGCAGGGCAGGACAGGGACGGGATGGGATGGAAGCAGGGATGGAACATGGAAGCGGGGCGGGGCGGCACGCGGGAGGGAAACACAGAGCCCGGAGGAGGCGGTCAAGCAGCAGCGGCTTGGAGTCCCCAGCGGGATGCAGGCATACAGCTAGCCGGTAGTTCCATCATGCACAACATCGTATGTACAGCCGTTCGTAGCCCTGCACCCTGCCACGTCATGTCAACCCACTGCCCACCCCCCCGTTTCCTTACTTTCACCCCACCCACTTCATGTCACCCCCCACCCCACCCCCCACCCACTTCATGCACAGCTCCCGCAGCCTCCCAAGCTTGCAGAGGTGCGGCATGGAGGCGCGGTACAGCGGCTGCCCCGCCTCGTCCATACCGCCCTGACCTTGGAACAGGAGCTCCTGCATGGGTCGGGGGGGTCGGGGGGGCGTGAGTATGGGGGAGGGTAAATAGGAAACAACGAACCGACCGCGTGATAAGGCATCATCACGGTTTGCATGGGGGGGGCGTGAGTACGGAAGGGAGGTGCGGAGGAGAGGAGGTGAGTAGGGGGAGGCGCATGTGGGGCCAAAAACAGACAGCAGCGGCTCATGGCCACCCCCCTCATCTCAGCTAACGTTCACCCACCAGCGATGTGATGTGCGTCAGCGCCCCCAGCGCCGAGTAGTCCAGCGGCAGGTCCCACGTGACGCTGTCGTGCACCGACAGGCTGCCCACACCCGGCCACAGCGCACGCAGCGTCGACAGCGCCGAATGGGCTTGCAGGCGGTGCAGCATGGCGTTGTGGATCAGCGTGATGTGCCGTACAAAGGGAAAGTCCGTACGAAGCCGCGGCAGCGGAACCATGGGTCGCTGAGGAAACTGCTGGTGCTGCTGTGTTGTCGGTTGGGGTGGAGGTGGGGGTGGCAGCTGCGGAGGCCTAGCGAAGGAAGTAGATGTGGAAGGGGCGGCCGTTGCTGCTGGGGCTGCTGCTAGGGCGGCGGGATTGGCTGATGACGTGTCGTAGCGGGCTGCTCCACTGCCACCGCCGTCACAGCCGCTGCCGCCAGCAGCGGCATCGGCAGCCAGGCCCTGCCGCTGCGCCGCCTGTTCCGCCGCCATACGCGCCACGCACTCCGCCCATCCCCTGGCAGGTCCCGCCACCAGGAGCGGGTGGTTGAGCGGGAGGGTGAGGTGCGTGACGAGGGCGCATGCGGCTACACGCCAGGAGCGGCAGGTGAGGGAGGCGGCCGCTAGGTCGGGGGAGGGCAGGAAGGAACAGACGTCCTGCGAGGGGAAGGGGGAAGGGGGGAAAGAAGGATACCCAACGGGTTGAATGAGAAGGGCACACAAGACGAAGGGGGGGATGAAGGGTAGTGAGGGAGCGGGGTAAGTTGAGAGCGCGGGGCATGAACCTTGCAGGGTGATGGGCTGTTGAAGGGTATGATTTTGCCGTATTGGCAGACGTAGCAGCGAAGGAAGCTGAAGCGAGGCGGGAGGGATTAGGGAAGGCGAAAGGTCTGTGCCGGTGTCGAAGGCCGCTGCCAAACATCGGCACGGAATTCCGAAAGTAGAATGCTGAGGACATACACATCACTATGAAGCGGCGCAGCAAACACGACCTCCGGGTTGCGTCGGCATTTCAACTGGTGTATGGAAACGCTGAGGCTTCCAAGCTAACCAAAGGAGCGATGAGCATGCATTATTGTTGTGGAAGATAAAGCACTCCTCACGCGAGGATGAGCTCCATTGTGACAAACTTGCCCACGCAACTTGCCTGAACGAGTTCGATGGGAAGCATACCCCAAGGAGGAGGCCCATTGTCACGGCGAGGACGCTTCATACAAACAGCTGAACGTGTGTAAGCTGGGCTTTCTTAGGTGCCAAAGACTGAGGACAAGGGCTTCAGTCCCAACTTCCCAAAACGCGAAAGGTGCGAAGCAGCAATTATTTGTAAAGCTGAGTAGCTAAGAACTTTGTTTACTAGTGACTTTCAACAGGGCTTACTTCACTGCACGGAAGAGCACGGAGGGGCGATCTGCTGAACAAGGAGCTACGACGCATAAGCTCCTTGAGGACTTCCGATTTGTTTTCTAATAACCTGTCATAGCATAAAGACTTACATGGCAATAGACCCTTATCCTGCTTTCACCTGAGACCTGACTGGCTTGTTTTGTCAGCACCAATGGATCCACCAGCGAAAATCCGGAGGCTAGACGGAGCGTTGACCGCGCGTCAAAACACGGGACACCAGCGATGTGAAAGCTCACGCTATGACGACCTTCGCTGGGCTGACGGAATGCCTCCGGAGCTCCTGCAAGTAAGTCTCGGCTCGCCTTCAACTTCGGCAACTTCGCCTAGCGCGTTACGGCAACAAGACTCGAAATTCAACAGAAGACACTGTAGCGCAACATCTTGTAGCGCGACGCCAACTTAAATGCCGGCACTACCCTTGTCCTACCCTTGTTGTTCCTCGACCTCTTCCAGCTCGACACACAAACCCCTCCTAACCACACAGCTGCTGCGCACCAAACCCAAATCCCCCACCTTACTCCCCATACTTCATCTGCCTCCCCCCTATCCCAACCCTAACCCTTTCTGCACCTTCCCCGCGCCTTCAACACCCAACCCTCCATTCTTCGCCCCTTTCCTGCTCTTGCTTCCCCTTCTTTCCTCCCCTCACACCCGCAGAGCATCACCCGCTGGGTTCCCCCACACCAACGCGGCTCCCTGCGCCTCGTGTGTCGTACATGGAGCTCCGCAGTGTCGTGCGATGTCGTACAACTGCAGCTGCCGTTGTCCGCGCTAGCGCCGCCGCCGCAATGGCAAGCAGCGTTGTTTGGGGACCCAGCACATGCGCAACGTACGGCACTAAAGCGGCTGTTCGTACGTTTTCCGCATGTACGACATCTAGTGCTCGTACACAACGTGGTACTGCCGGCGGCGGCGCTGCGGGTATGTACGGCAGGGTGGGGTGCTAATCGCGGGGATTCGCAAGGGTGCTGGTGACCCTTATAGTGGCTAGGGTATAGCTGGCTGGCCGCTTGCGGTCCATGTCCCAGTTTAGCTCAGACAGGGTCCATATCTGTTCGTTCCTCCTTTCCCTTCCTTTCAATTACCTCCTCCTTCCTCCTCCTCCTCCTCCCCCTCCTTCCCGCCCCCAGGCTGCCATATCCAGCCTGCCGTACATCTGCCCCCAAGTACGGCACATCGAGCTGCGGGACAGCGTGTCTTGGGACCAGCCCCTGGAGCTGGCGCCGCTGGCAGCCGCCCTCAGCGCAGCAGCGGGGGGGCCGCTGCCGCCGCCGCCGCCCCCCTCGGCCAGCTTGGGAGCAGCGCTTCCCTCGCAACGTAAGTCGGCAGCTGTAGCGGCGGCGATGGCGGCAGCGGCAGCGGCAGCGGCAGCGGCGGCGGCAGCTGGGGGCGGCAGTGCTGCTGCGGGGGGCGGCTCAGCTGCGGGTTCCTCAGCTGAGGCGGGGACGGCGGTGGTGACGGCTGCTGCTGCTGCTGCTGCTGCTGCGGGCAGCTGTTCCCAGGAGCCGCTGCGTGAGCTGACGGTGACCTACCTGGCAGCACCTGACATGCAGCGGGTGGCGAGGAGGTGGTGAGTGATGCGGGCGGGGCGGGGGGGGGGGAAACAGGGGTGGGGCGGGAGACAGGGGCGGGGCGGGGCGGGGCGGTGGAGACAGGGGCGGAGACAGGGGGTTCAAGGATGTGGGATGTGAGGGTTAGCACGCGAACGGTGACTCACTTCTTTAGACCTTTACACCCCGCTTCCGCTCCCGCCCTGCCCGCGTCCGCTCCCGCCCTGCCTGCTTCCGCTTACCTGCCCTGCCCTGCCCTCAGGTTCAGTCGCGAGTTGGAGCGGCTGGTGAGCCCCGACTGGTCCATCGGTCGGCTGCGGGTGCGGTGGCTGATGGGGGAGGCGCCGAGGTCCTTCTTCACGTCGCGGGGCTTCACGAGGTGGGGGGCGGGGTGTTAAGAAAACTGGCCGCGAGTAGGAACGTACTGGGATGTCGGAAGATGAAGTCCCCACAGAACCGCCGCAGGAGCCGAGGAATATGGCGGGGTGTGTGTGTATGTGTGTGTGGGGGGGGGTGAGGTAGATGAAGTGAGCCGCGAGGAAACACTGACCGTGACCATAGGGGGGCATGCAGGCATGCCACACACACGGCCGGTTTTCTTAACACACAACACACTGGGTACGCTTCTTCCCCCCACTGCATGAGTCGGGATTCGGGATTGGGACTGTGTTGTTTCACTTACTTACACTCCATTTCCTACATACACCACCCACTATACACACCCGTACTACCCCCCATGCACCCTACCCCCCCCCCCCCTTGGGCCCCCCATGCACCCTACCCCCCCCCCTCCGGCCCCCCATGCAGGTGGGTGAGTGCCATGCAGGAGACAGCCCCCCACCGGCTGGGGCTGCTGCAACACCTGGAGTTCGCATGGGCCGAGCTCTCCGACGGACCCTTCGACAGACCCGTCGACGCAGCTGGCGGCGGCGGCGGCGGCGGCCCTGGCGGAGGTGCCGGCGGCGGCGGCGGTGTTAACCCTGCCGCTGCCGTTCACCTAGCGCCGGCGCTTCCGCCCTGGATACTCCAACCCTTTCATGCGGCGCTGCCGCCGCTACCACCGCCGCCGCCACCGCCTGCAGCGCTTATCGTACCCGGGGGCGGCGCCGCCGCCGCCGGCGCAGCAGATGGCGGCATGGATGTGTTCAATTATGCGGCGCTGATGGCAGTTGGCGGCGCGGCAGCGGCGCAGGAGGCGGCGTTCAATGCGGCGATGGATGGGCAGATGGCGGAGGAGGAGGCGGGGCCGGGGATGGGGGGCATGGAGGCGTGGAATCAGCTGGGAACGGCGGCGGCGTCAGCGACGGCGGCACTGGGGTTGCCGGGTATTGGCGGGGGGAGAGGAGGAGGAGGAGGAGGCGGGGGTGATGGAGGAGGTGGAGGTGGAGGAGGAGGCGGGGTGCCCAGACTGGGGCTTCCGCTGGCGCTGTGCGCCTTCACAAACCTCAAGGTGAGAGACGACAACAACATGGCTGTGTCGTCATTGCTAGCTGCCTTGCACAACCCTGCCCCTCCTGCACATCTATCCACATAGACTCAACGACTAGCGACACGCGGCCAGGCTTCGGACACCCGCGTCCACATCCTCCTCTCTTTCTCCCACTCCCGCGCGCTGCCGCTATCCCAACCCACCCCCAACTGCCGTTTTCCCTCCCCATTGCATTGCCCTAACCTGTGGTTTCCTACCTGTGGCTTCCTATGGTCTTTACCCCGCCACCACCCGCCCCCGCCCCCCTCCGCAGACCCTCTCCCTGTGCTGCATGGCCTGCCGCGCCCCCGCCGACCACCTGCTGCGGCTGCTGCTGCGCTGCAGGCGGCTGGAGAAGCTGTCGCTGGTGCACCACGAGGCCTACGCGGCCTGGCCGGTGCGCGCACCGCAGCCCGACCTGCAGGCGGCGCTGGAGGCGGTGGTGCGGGGTGAGTGAGGGGTGGCGGTGGCGGTGGTGGTGGTAAGGAGGAGGAGGAGGAACGTGGAAGAGAGGAGGAGGACGGGAGGTGGGCAGGTGGGCAGGTGGGGACCCGGGTAATAGGGAAAGACGTCCAGAGGCGAGTGCGCGTCATGCGTTTGCATGCGTTTGGAGTTTGTGGAGGCCAACTACCGCACCCTAGCACCCTACCATCCTGACACCATGTCGGTCTCCTCATCCCATCCTCCTGCCTCTCCGTCCCCGCACTCTCCCTCCCGCCCGCAGAGGAGCTAGGACTGGGCCCGCCCTCCGCCTCCGCCCCCGCCCCCGCTGCTGCTTCTACTACCAGCTCCTCCCCCTCCCCCTCCCCCTCCTGGTGGCCGGCGGGTCTGTCGCTGCGGCTGCGTGAGCTGCAGCTGCCCGCCACCCCCGCGCTGCTGTGCCTGCTGCACCTGCCGCCACCCGCACTGGCGGGTCTGGAGGTGCTGGATCTGCAGGTGGGGGGGGGCGGGAAGGTGGGGGGGGGGGCGGGGGAAGCGGTAAAAGTAAGAAAAACGGATGAACTGTATGACGAAGGAGGGGGGGTGGGAGGGTAGGGAGGGAAGGTCTTGTGCACCCTGCCGCCTCCTATCCCCATTGCTTTGCCCTAACCTGTGGTTTTCTTTGGTCTGGTAACTTGGCTTTGACCCACCCACACGCCGTACCACACACCTACCGTCCACCCACACACCGCGCGCGCAGGTGATAATGGCTCCTGGCTTCGGTGGCGGTGGCGGTCTGGATGATGATGATGAGGAGGAGGGGGATGGGGAGGCAGCTGGTGGGGCCGGCGGCGGAGAGGCGGCGCTGGTGGGCTGCTGGCGCCTGGTGGCGGCACTGGAGGTGGGGAGGGGAGGAGGCTGAGTTGGGTGTGAGGAGTTTGGGTATGAGGACAGACAGGCATGGGGCATGCATGAAGTGCCAATGCCAGTACCCTTGCCACTGACAGTGCGACTGCGATTACCAATGCCAATGCGTGCCAGTACACACCGTACAGCGCTGGAGGGGACTACACGGGATTTCAAACCCGATACCTGCCGTACACGCACGTAGAACGCACGTACGGAGACGTGTCCTGCTCTCCTACACGCTTCCTTGCTTGCGCATGCCTGCCCCTCTGCGCCCCCTACCTGCTTTCTTGCCTCCCTGCCCCTCTGCGCCCCCTACCTGCTTTCTTGCCTCCCTGCCCCTCTGCGCCCCCTACCTGCTTTCTTGCCTCCCTGCCCCTCTGCGCCCCATACCTGCTTACCTGCCCCCCTGCCCCTCTGCGCCCCCTACCTGTCCCCCTGCCCCCCTGCCCCCCCTCCTCCACCCCCCGCAGGCAGTCCGCGCCTCCGGTGCGCAGCTGAAGGACCTGTTCCTCAACAACGTGGACCTGAGCCCCCGACTGCTGGCGGCCATTTGGGAGTTCGAATCGCTGGAGCAGGTGAGGGGGTACCGGTAACAGGGGTACACGCTCCACATGTGGCTGGATCCCGCACCCCCCCTCCCCCCCACGTCCCCGCAACACACCCACCCACCCACCCACCCATTCCCGCAGTTGCTGGTGTTCTCCGGCGTGTTGCGACTGCGGGACCGGGATGCGGAGCCGGGTGACCTGAGCGAGCAGGAGGAGGAGGGCAGCGGAGATGATGATGATGATGATGAGGAGGAGGAGGCGTGGGCAGCGCAGGAGGCTGCTGCAGCTGCTGGTGGGGAGGAGGAGGAGGGGGATGCGGGTGGCGATGCGGGCGATGGAGGAGGAGGTGGAGGTGGAGGAGGACAAGAAGGCCAGGAGGCAGATGGTGAGGGGCAAGATCTGGATACGAATGGGGAACCGGGTTTCCCTGGTGTGGTTGGGATGGGGGCAACGCCCATGGAAGAGTCCGGTGGGGGCGGCAGTAGCAGCGGAGGCGGCAGTGGCAGCAGCAGCAGTAGCAGCAGCATCTCCGGAAAACACGGATTGACGGAAGCTGAGCTGTCGCCGATAGATGGAACGTCGGACTCGGAGGAAGACGAGGAGTTGGATGCATTGATTACCGCCGCCACCGAAGCAGCGGAAGCAGCGGCAGAGGCGGCGGAGGCAGCAGCAGGTTCATCCTCGCAGCGACGACGGCGGAGGAGCAGCAGCGATGACTTAGGAGGCGCCAGCAACGGCGGTGGCGGTGGAAGCGGTGGCGGCGGCGGTCCTGTTTTCTCAGGCATGGGCCCCATGCAAGCAGCCATGCAAGCGCTAGGGGGGGCACTGCGAGGGCTGACCTCACGAGCGCTCTCCTTGCGGTCCGGGGAAGCCAACGCCACGCAACGGACGACAGCTGGAGAGGCTGGTGAGGCTGGAGAGGGATCCGGCGGTGCCGCTGCCGCTGCCGCAGCCGGCTCTCCTCCCGCCGCCTCAGCGCGAGGGCGTGCAGAGGGCCCAGCAAGCCACATGCAGATGCAGCAGGAGGGAGGCCCTAAACCCGCTACTGGAAACGGACCCATGGGTCCGGGCCCTAGTACTGCAACCGGTGCAGCGGCAGCTGCTGGTCCAGCAGCTGGCGTCGGCGGGGGCGTCGGCCCAGGAAGCATAGAGGATTTTGAGGTGGACGAGCTGGGAGTTGAGGCGGCGTTGCAGTGTATCGCCATGCAAGGGGTGCCCGGAGCAGCAGCGGCGCGGGCGATGGCCGAGGTGCGGGCCATGCAGCGGGCTGTCGGCATTGGAAGAGGAGGAGCAGGAGGAGCAGGAGCAGGGGTTCAGGGCGCCGTGCTACCCAGGAATCGGCGGTTGGCGAAGCTCTGGCGACTGATGGCGGCGGGTGCTGGCAGGATTCCCGGAGCTGCAGCAGCAGCCGGATGGCAGGTCAACACGGAGGATGAGGAGGAGGGTGATGATGATGATGAGGAGGAGGAGGAGGAGGGGCGCATGGAGGAGGAGGGGGATGAGGAGGGCGGAGGTCATGCAGTGCGTGCGGCTCCTGCGGCTGGTGTCGCGGCGGCTGCGGATCCATCAGGTCCAGCTGGTCCAGCAGCTGGCGGCGGCGGTGGCCCAGGCCCGGTCGAAACCCTCCCGGCGGCCTCTGTGTCACATCAGAAGCTGGGCGGTGCAATAGCCATGTGTGCCGCAAGCCTGGCGTCACTGCTCGCGACGGCGACGCCGGCGCAGCCACAGCCCCGTCAGCAGACGCCGCAGCCGCAGGTGAACCAGCCGTTAGGGCTTGCAGCGGCGGCGGCGCCGCCGCAACTGCAGCAGCAACCGCCGCAAGCGGTAGCAGTGAACGCCGCCTCATCCGAGGGTGCAGGGCCGAGTTCTGGTCCCGGGCCCGTTGCTGCGACCGCTGACGGCGCCGCAGGGGCGTCACAAAGCGGCGGCGTGCAGCCGTACAACAGCAGTACAGCTGCGGCGGCGAAGGCGGCGGCGGCTGTGGCGATGCTTGACGTCGTGAGCTGCGGCGCCACGGCGGATGCCGTACGACGGGGGCTGACGGCGCTACGTGTTGCCGCCGACGCCGAGGTATCCGCCGCCCTAGAGGCCGCCGCCGCCTCAGTGGACGCGGCAGGCACGTCCAGCGGTGGCGCCGCCGCCGCCGCCGAAGCGGGGCCTTCCCAGCCTTCTATCTCGGCTGCCGCCGCCGCCGCCGCAGCTGCCGCTGCCGCTGCTGCTGCTCCCAGTCAAGCCGGCGGCTCCGCTGGGGCCGCCGCCGCAGCGGCGGTGGCGGCGCCGCCGCCCTCAGCTGCCGCTCAGCCTCAACCCCAGCCGCCCTCCCATGCGCCGCCAGCCGCCTCCGCCGCCGGCGGAGGCGGCGATGACCCCATGCACCTCGCGTTGTCCGTGTACGACATGCTTCGTACGGCGGGCCCTGCGTTGCGCTGCCAAGTGGGTCAGCTGGAGGAGGGGCAGATGGCGGTGCTGCGAACGCTGCGCTCGGGGACGCTGCGCGACTCCCCGCACGAGGCGCTCGCGGTGTCCTGTCTGGAGGCCTCCGCTCAACTCGCGGAAACGCTGGATACGTTGATGTTCTCAGCGGATGTGGGCGCGAAGCTGATGGGCTGCTACGACGCCAGCGGGGGTGCGTCAGCCGTCGCCGACGGCGGCGGTTGCGGTTCGGGAGAGAGCGCGGCAGCAGGATGTACTGACGGAGGTGGGCCGAGTGTCGTACAAAACCGAACGGATTCCACCGCTAGTCCAGCGGCGGTGACGGCAGGCTGTAGCAGTAGCCGTACGGCAGTCAGTACGACAGTCGCAGCGGCGGCGGCCGCTGTTCGAGCAGCGGCAGTAGCGGCGGCGGCAGCGGCGGCGGACCCTGAGGCTGCTGTGGAGGCGGTTCGGGCTGCGCGACCCGCGGGTCGGCTGCGCAGCGGCGCGGATGAAGGCGCGCTTCTGTTGCGTAACCTTGCAGGACTGAGTCGGTTAACTCGGTTGAGGAAGCTGTGTTTGGACTTGAGCCCCGACAACGGCGTTGCGCTACCTGTGGCAAGGTGGGGTTGCTGGCTGGGATCTTGCTTTTACCAGGTGACCCCCCAGTTAATGGGTTGCGTTGCGCATGGTAAAGGAGGGCTCTTTACTTCTTCATGCAGAGCTACGTTTGCCTCCGAGCATACCTTTCCTGTGCCCCTCTGCTTACGCGTTCACTCCTTTTTCAACAAGGAAACACCTTGTCGTTCTCTGATCACCTCCTCTCCCGCTCCCTTGGGTAGCCTAATCATCACCGTGTTAGTTGGTTTTCTCTTACTGCCCCCCTCTCTTTGCTCCCCTCTTCTTGCCCCCTCCCATGCACAGCTGCATCCGCTACGTGCTACGCCACCTGCCCTCCCTGGAGTCCCTCCACGTCACCGACCAATTCGCGCACGAAGAAGGCAGGCCGCTGGGCTCACTGGGGCTGCCCGTCAGTGATGCCGCCGCCGCCGCCGTCGCCCTGTACGATACGGTGTACGACACAGGTGACGGCGGCGGTGACGACGACGACGGCGCCGCTGCCGCTGCTGACGGCGGCGGCGGCGGGAGCCGCAGAAGCAGCGGCGGCGGCAACGTCGCCGCCGCTGCCAACAAGCTAACGAGTCTGACGGTGGCGTCGCGTCAGACGCGACGCGTGTGGCGGTCGTACGCCGCCGACGGTACGGGCACGTTGCTGTCGTCGTACGGCAACAACAGTGACGCGACGGCGGCGGCGGCGCCGTCGCTGTTTGCGTTGCTTGTTCCGCAGGACCGAATGGCACTGTCTGGGGCGCTGTGTGCGGGTGACATGGCTGTGCATGCAGCCACGCTGCCGAGGTATATCCTGTCCTGCGTAGGGCTGCGGGTGTTACAGGAACAACCGTAGGGCTGCGGGTGTTACAGGAATTATCGTCCCAAGTACGGCAATCTACCCCCTGTTTGGGTAGATTGCCGTACGTCCATGGTTGGGTACTTGGGTTGGGATGGGCATGAGTCGTGCAGGATGGGCTTGCAACGTGGTCTTCCTTGCCGTGCCTCGTGTCCCTTGTGCTCCTGACTGAGAGGAGCGCCCCCCTCCTCCCTCCTCCTTCCTTCGTTGTTATGCCGTATTCCCACCGCGCTGGCACCTCCGCAGGAACCTCCGAGCGCTGTGCCTCCACCGGGTTCGTCTCATGGCGGGTCCGCACCCCTCTGTCGCCCTTCCGGATGCCCCCGCCTGCACACCTGAACAACAACAACAACAACAACACCTAAAGCCACATCCCGGAACGGCAGCGGCAGCATCCGCAGCAGCACCATCAACGGCACCCACCGCAGCGCCGCCGCTAGCATGCAGCAGCAGCGGAAGCATCCCACACCTCCGCACGCCCCCCTCACTGCCGCCGCTGCTGCAACACATCTGGCTCTCCAACGTCACCCTGACGGCGCCGCTGGACTTCGTGGGCCTTATGCGGGAAGCCCTGGCGGCGGCACCTCTCAGCGGCGGCTTACAAACCCTCGTCGTACGACATTGCTTTGTCGTACGACCCCACGCCGACGCCTCGTCTTCCTCCTCCGCAGCGCCGTCAGCTCCTGCCGCCGCCGCCGCCGGTACGGCGGTGGCGGCTGGTGCGACAGCGCTACGTCTGATGTCTACGGCGCTTGCCACGCTAGGTGACGTGGGCAACGGCGCTAGCGGGGGTCGGAGGCTGGGGGCGCCGCCGGGGCAGCCCCGACGGGATGGGCTTCCGGACTTGGGCGCGATTGTGGCGGCGGCGGCCGGCGCCGCCGCCACGTCGGCTTCGTCGGTGCTGGCGGCGACAGGCGGCCGGCGGGTGCCGCGGCGGCTGGTGCTGAATGAGGAGGAGCTGAGCTGGCTGTGCAAGCTAACGGTACGTTGTCGGTGTTGGTGTTGGTGTCGGTCTTAGTGATGATGTCGATAGGAAACTGGCATCTCCTGAACTCTCATCCCCCCAACGGAAGGAGCCCCGGAAAAGCCCTCCTCCCTGCCTCCCCCCCCCCCGCCCCTCCCTCCCTCCCTCCTTCCTCTTCCCTCCCTCCCTCCCTCCATGAGTCGCTCACTGCATGAGTCGGGATATGGGATTGGGACTCGTTGTCTCATTTAAATTCTCCCTCCCTCCCTCCCCCCCTCCTGCCCCCCCCCCGCCCCTCCCGCCCCTCCCCCCCCAAGTCCCTGCGCACGCTGGCCCTGGACAGCTGCATCCGGCTGGAGGACGTGGGGCGCCTGGCCGCCCTCACCGGTCTGCGCACGCTGGCGCTCAACCCCCATGTGGTGGGCAGCGAGGAGGCCCGGGCGCGGCTGGAGCTGGAGATGGCAGCTCGGTGCAGCCCCGCGCTGCAGGTGGGTGGGATGGGGGGGGGGGTAGTGTGACACCCTGCCGCTTCCTATCCTCCCATTGTCTTGCCCCAACCTGTGCCTTCCTATGGTTCGGTACCTGGTCTTTCACCCCCCCCTCAGTCCATCCCCCGACCTACCGCAACCCGTGTCGACGCCTTATCCCTCAGTCAGTTGGTTGTTTCCTCTTTGCCCCTCCCCGCCCGCCCCGCCCCGCCCCCCACCGCAGGCCGCCCTCATGCGCCTGGCGCCCCTTCACGGCCTGCGCAGCTGCTGGCTGCCCGACTGGGCCGCCAGCCGCAGCCAGCTGCTGGCCTGGCAGGCGCAGCTGGCGGCTGCGGGTCCGGCGCTGGTAACGCTGAGGGTGATGGATACGGACAACCTGTGGCGGCTGCCCTCGCCGGCGGGGTGCCCGGATGTGGAGGATTCGCTGGAGTGGTGGCGGGCGGAGGTGTGGAACACGATCTAGGGGCACGGAGGTGTGGATGGTGGTGGTGGTGGTGGTGGGATGGTGTTGGGGAGGGAGGGCAATGGTGAGGGGGGTTTAGGTAGGTGGCAGGAGGGTGGCAGGAGGGTGAGAATGCTGTGGATGTGTGGCTGGGGGCAGAGGACTGTGCCGTCGTTTGTTAAAAGGGAAGGGAGGAAGATGAGGGACCTGTGTACGGTATTACTGCCCTGTGTTCTGTGAGTTCTGTGAGACACGGAGTGAACTAACAAGGTGCCCGTGTGGCCGTGTAAAGAGAACGAGTCGGCACGTACGGTACTGTGATTGCCGGAGCAGGTTGGCGTACGGCTGTGTGTGTGTCAAGACGTGGCGAGATGAAACAGTGTTTGGAACGGTGCATGGATGGCCGTGGAGGTGCTGCCGGGGTGCGAAGGAAATGTGCAGAAGGGGGGGGGGGGTACGGTGTTAGTACAGCGCGGGTCCAATCTGCATGCCGACGGGTCATGATTGGGTGTTTTAAACTTTTATTAGTGGTGTGAGAGAGTGCGTTCAATACACTGGTTTACGTTCTAACACAACCCCTCTCAACACGAAACCGAGAGATCTACCGGTATTAATAGAGTTAATCCTTCACAGCAGATGAGCACAGAAATGCACGGAATACTAACGAGTGAAAGGAAGGCGAGGTTACTAACCTGTTCAGTGCGGCATGTTTGCGTACCGGTACCTTATCATTTTTGTGTAACAGTTTCTATGTACGATATTGCTTGTGGTGTCGTACTGTCGTCGGCATCGCCTGCTGCACGCGTTTACCCTTTGGAAGCGGTGGTAGCTTCCATGCTTGTTTGTTGCTTCCATGTTTGTTTCATGCCGCAGCAAATGCAACACCCAATTTCAGCTAACATACGCCTACCTACACAACCTTTCCTCAACGCTTCAAGCACTTCCTTTAATAAATACCGCATTGTTTGCATCCTCTCACTACGCCCTTCGTCTCCTCCCCGCTCCTCTAGCACGCGCTGCCAGCACGCACCTCAATACATTTACTACGTGTAATCCACACATACAGGTTTAGTACCTACCCCTCCACCAGCATCACTGATACGTGCGTCCGTCCGTCTGAATCACGCCGTCTTCGACGACGCCAAGCCCCCCACCCGCTCCTTATACCACGCCAACACGTTACGGATCGCAAACAGCGCTACAGCCGCTCCCGTACAACCGTACAACACAAGCGCATGTTGTCGGTTGGCGGTTAGCGCCTCTAGCACGTGCCGGTGCGCAAGATGCTGCCAGGCGGCTGCAGTTGCGGCTCCTAGACCGTAGCCAACAATAACCTGATCAGTTTAATGTTGAGGAGAAGGTTTAGAGAAGGTTCGGGGTGTTGGGGGGTCAGTTAGGAGGGAATCTGGAAAGGTGAAGGTATTACGTGGGTAACACGTGGGTTTCGGTTACCGGTACAGCATTGCGGAGCCGCCCCATCCAAGCGCCGCAGCAGGTGCGAGGATGGTGACCGTGCCGTTCTGCTGCTGGACTGGAAGTGTGGAAGAGATGCGCGGCAAGATCTTCCTACCAGGAAGCAATTGACATGGGAATCCTATCGGGAATACAACATACTGGGGTCCCCCAGGCAAGTCCGCATGCAGGTGTGCAGGCGACTGAGAACCCCCGCAGCAGCAGCAGCAGCAGCAGCCCACTGCCGTACGCCCCCTAGGTGCCGTACGCCCCCTAGGTGCCGTACGCCCCATAGGTGCCGTACGCCCCCCGGGTGCCGTACGCCCCCCGGGTGCCGTACGCCCCCCGGGTGCCGTACACCCACCTGGGGAGTGGTGTGGTAGCCCAGACGCACTCGGAGCCAGGTCTGCGGAGGGTCAGAGGCAAGAGGGGTTCCGAGGGCAGAGGAGGTCAAAGAGGAAACACAACTACCACCACTAGCCGGTGAAGCATGGTTTGGTGGTTTAGGCTGGGAGAGAGGGGAGGGTTGGGTCCGCGTCCCAACAGCGCCCCCTCACCCTCCCTGGCAGCACCCCAGCAGCAGGCCCCCCAGCAACACTCACCAGGAACAGACTCAACCCCAGCACCGCCGCCGCCCCGCCGGGCGAGTTGCGAGCCAGTGAGAGCGCCGTGTAGCAGCCCAGGAAGCCCAGACCTGCGGGAAGACGGTGGTGTGTGGCAGATGGCGGAAGGAGAAGGGGCGACTGCGAGAGACGGAGGAGGCCAGCCAGCACACCCCAGCCAGCCAGCCAGCCAGCCAGGCAGCCAGCAAACTGCAGCACACCCCGCACACGCGCCACTCACTGTTTGCATGTGAGGAGGGCATCCCCGGGTCGGCCTTGCGTGCGGCGGCGGGGCGCTGCTGGTTGATTATGTATTTGAGTGCCTGGGGGGGCGGAGGGGCAGGGCGGATGGTGGTGGGGGCCGTGGGACGGGTTCGCGGGTGCACACGCGGATGGCTTCTCGGCATGGGAAACGAACATCATTCATTGTGAACTATTGTGATATATTTCTGCGCAACTGAACGGGGGCCTGCTGGTACCGTACGGCAGCCAGCTAGCTGGCTCGCCTTGTTGAGGAATGACGCGATGATGGCCCCCAGTACCGCCCACGCCACCGCGGTGTCCCTCCGGGCCAGCAGCACACACAACACCGCGCCAGACACCACCCACTTGGTCTGCGCGGGGGGGGCGGGGGGGTAGGTAGGAATTACGGTAGGTAAGCTCAGTCGCGAGGAACCATGGGTCGTGGATTGTGACCATAGGAAGACCCGTTGATGATGGGTTAGGGGAGGTGCGCGATGTGAAGGCGTTGAACAGCACCTCCGAGTGTGTTGGATACCTACCAAGTCATTGACAACCGAGAGGATACGAACGGCGACGTCGCCATTCCGAGCGCATTGGCCAGCAGCTTTCGGCTGCGGACTGTCCCGTGGGTCATTCGTGCTCGCGGGCGCACTTCTACTACTACCGCTTCTTCCCATGCTACTGTTGCTGCTGTCCCCGTGATCACCGTAGTAATCCCCCTGGGCGTTTTCAGCTGCTGATGATAATGATGAGGCTGTTAGTTGCGCTCCACGAGTAGTGCCTGAGCAGTAACGGTTGAGGTTGCTGATGAGGGCGAAAGCGCAAGAGCTGCTGGGCTGCCGTACAGAAGCTGTTTGAAGTTGCGCTGAAAAAGATGACCCAGATGGCTGCGCCGGGAAGTAATGCGCCCTTGTGATTGACGCGTGTTGCTGCTGGATTGCTGAAGGCGCAAATGGTGTGGTGTGGCGTGTGGCGGTGAGAGAGGTGCTGTACGGATGACTGTTGCGTTTGGTGTTTGAGATGTTCTGGAAGGTGCGAGGAAGGGGAGCCGGGTGACCCGCCGTTGGTCGCGAAATGCTCGTTGTGGGTGCAAGGTACGCGCAGGCGGGATCGAGTCTGCGAGCAAGGTACGGGAAGGTGAGGAGACCTATTGTGTGGAGGTAGACACTTGACCGTAGATTGCCATAAGGTTAAGTTTCGTATGTAAATTGAATTACCTTGAGGCTGTTCTGGGCCGCACGGCCATCCACGGACTACGCGGGGTGCGGGCAGGCTCGGCCAGCCACACAAAGATGTGTTCAATCAAAAGGACTTCTGCTTTTCATGCCAACCATGCTGCATCTTAGCGTAGAATTGGTCGTCTAATTGTGATGTGTTGAGGCGCCAGGCCCGCATCCAAGTTGTACGGCGCGAATACGATTGCGGGTTCAAGGCTGGGACTGGGTCAGCTTGGAAAAGGGCAAACTTCCAAGCAGCTACACCATAGAGTCATAGTAAAAGACTTCATTGCTTTGCTGTGTTAACTCGCCACGGTAGTGCTTTTTGGCCTTAATTCTCGAAAGCATGTGTGGCTTTGTCGCCCCTTGACAAATCTAAACCTTTCAGACTTGTCTTATCTTTGTCGTATACACGATAAGCGCATATAATTAGCCGCAGCTGGAGGATGGACGTGGGCTGAGCTTTGGCATCGCTGGGGTCGTGCCCGAGCAGCGCATCTGCCCTTCAGCAGCTTACGTATCTTGGACGTTAGAATTCTCGTGAAAGGCCTTCTATAGTGGAGAGGCGGAGACGAGGGGAAAAGCTGACGAATATGCAAGCCCAGCAGGACCCTCCTAATTATGAATTCCAAACAGCCGTCGTCTGGTTTCGCCGGGACCTACGGGTGGATGACAACCCAGCCCTTGTGGCCGCTCTGAACGCCGCTGCGAATGTGGTGAGTGAACATGGCAAGGGGCAAAGTTTGCAGCACGGCGGGCATTAGGCTTTGTCTAGACCCAAACGAATTTCAATACTTTCACAACCGAGGTCTTGGGCTAGGCAATTGCCCGTCGGCGGTCTGTCCTCGTCACCGCCCAGTCCTCGTAACCTTGCGGGCCCCCTCTTACAAGTTATACCAGATCTCCTTGGGACTGCCACGTAACAGTAGACTCCTTCGACTCGGCACAGGGTCACTATATCTGGGGTTTACGTCAGCCAATGTCAACTCGCATGTTTCAAGGAATGTGGGCTCCACCTACCCAAACTCTTCAATCTGACACTTTAGCATCCTTGTTTACTGCTTCAGGTGCCTGTCTTCATTTGGGCTCCGGAAGAAGAGGGCCAATTTCAGCCGGGGCGTTGCAGTCGATGGTGGACAAAGCACTCGCTAGTGGATCTCCAGCAGGCGATCGCTGCGCTTGGCAGCCGGCTGATTATACGTCGTTCCACAGACTCGACTGCTGCGCTCTTGCAAGTGGTCGCCGAGGTGGGCGCAGAGGCCGTCTTTTTCAACCATCTCTACGACCCCATCAGCCTCATGCGCGACCATGACTGCAAGCGCGGCCTCACAGCAGCCGGCGTAGCCCACCGCTCTTTCAACGGGGACATGTTGTACGAGCCTTGGGAGGTGCTGGACGCCAACAAACAGCCGTACTCGACCTTCGAGGACTACTGGAACAGGTGCGGCAGCTCTTTCTGCCATGTCTTTCAGTTTCACCACACCCGTCCCGTCAATCATTGGACGAATTGAACCGGTAACAGCTCCCTCTATACCTCCCCATGCCGACCAGCGAGCCCCCAAAGCACTCCTCCCCTCCTCCCCTCCTTCCATCCTTCCATCCTGCCATCCTCCTCCTCTTCCTCCTTCTTGGCCTTACCCTCCTCCTCCGCTCCTCCTCCTCCCCATCCCCACCACCTTGCACCGCAGTGTCCGCGCCATGCCGGTCCCTCCCCCCTTCCCGGTGTCTGCGCCCGCCGCCATGCCGCCCGTGCCGCCCGCCCTGCCCTCCCTGGCCCTGGGCGAGGTGGACTGGTTCTTCACGCCGGAGCAGGAGGCAAGCTCCGACCAGCTCAAATACAAGGTGGGGGGAAAAGAGGAAACAACTACCTGACTGTGTGATACGGCGGTGGGAGGGTCAAAGCCAAGTTACCAGACCACAGGAAACCACGGGTTGGGGCAAAGCAAAGGGTATGGGAGACGGCAGGCAGGGAGAAAGCATGAAGAAACGGACGAGCTTTATGACATTTGGGCTTCATCATGGGGTGCAAACACCTCCCTCCCCCGCCACCTCCCCCCTTCCCCCTGCGCAGTGGAAGCCGGGTGTGGGCGGCGCCATCGAGGAGTTGGAGCGGTTCGCAGGTGAGCGGCTGGGTGTGTTTGAGCACGACCGAGCCAAGGTGGACCGCGACTCCACCAGCCGCCTGTCGCCCTGGATCCACATCGGCAGCATCAGCGTGAGGTACATCTTCTACCGGGTGAGGAGGAGGAGGAGCGGGGAGGGGGAAGGGTGGGTGGGGGTGTGAGGCGGGAGGGGACCGAGGCGGGGTGGAGGAGCAGAGGAGCAAGGGTTCCTGCACTTTGCTGTGTATCCAAACTGCGGTATGTACAGCCTATTTGCAATGAACCCCCAGTCCTAACCATTTTACGCAATTCCCCCGCCGTTACCTTTCCCTGCCCCCCCCCAGACTCCTACCCCCATTGCTTTGCCCTAACTTGTGGTCTCCTATGGTTTGGTATGGTCTTTGAACCCCCCCCCCCAGATCCGGCAGTGCCAGGCGGAGTGGCTGGCTGCCGGGGCGGACCGCTCCAGGTCCTGCGACGACTTCCTGCAACAGGTGGGGCGGGGGGGAGGGGCGGGGGGCGGTACCGTGGAGGGGAAAGGAAGAGGAACTATGCGGGGGGCGGGGGCTGAGAGGATGGAGGGGGGGGGGGGAAAGGGGCTAGGACGCGGACAGGGGTGGCGGAGGAGAGCGGCCGGGAGTTGAGTTGGGTCTGTCCCCGGGTGTGGCATTGGTTGGTGTGGTACTACTTACCCCTCATCTCCCCTACTTGTTTTTGGTGGCACCCCCTGCCGCTCCGCTCCCCATTGTCTTGCCCCAACCTGTGGCTTCCTATGGTTCGGTACCTGGTCTTTGACCCCCCCCAGGTTGGCTACCGCGAGTACTCGCGCTACCTGTCCTTCCACTTCCCCTTCATCCACGAGCGCTCGCTGCTGCGACACCTGCGGGCCTGCCCCTGGAGGATAGACCAGCACGCGTTCAAGGTGAGGGGGGAGCGAGGTAGTAGGTGGGAGGAGGAGCTAAAGCTAGGTGGTGGTGGGTAGGTAGGAAGGAAGGGAGGGAGGGAGGGCGAGGAACTAGCTGGCCAGGCATTGCTCCCCCCTCACAGCTCATACCCCTTCTCACCCCGCCCCCCTTGTCATACAGCTCGTCAGTTGCTTCGTCAGTGTCTCATTATATTGTTTTTACCCCCCCCCCCTCCCATGCATGCAGGCCTGGCGCCAGGGCCAGACCGGCTACCCGCTGGTTGACGCCGCCATGCGGCAGCTGTGGAGCACGGGGTGGTGCCACAACCGCATGCGAGTGGTGGCCGCGTCCTTCCTCGTGAAGGACCTGCTGCTGCCGTGGCAGTGGGGGCTGAAGCACTACTGGGATGCGCAGATCGATGCGGACCTGGAGTGCGATGCGCTGGGCTGGCAGTATGTCAGCGGGGGGATGAGCGGTAGGTGGAGGGGGAGGAGAGGAGGGAGAGGGAGGGGGGGATTTGGGTTAGCGGAGGGAAGGGGGAGCGTGTCGGGCCCTTGCGCTGACCGAGCGGCTGTCGTTGCTCCCCCTGCTGCCCTGCCTTAACCTGCTCCTCCTGCTCCCCACCTGCTGCCTTGGCCCCCTGCCCTTCCTATGGTTCGGTATGGTGTTTGACCCCCCCTGCCCCCCCTCCCCTGCCCTGTCCCCCCTGCCTCCCCCCTGCAGACGCGCACCCGTTCAGCTACATGATGGATCTGGAGGCGGAGGCGCGGCGGTTCGACCCGGACGGGGAGTTCGTGCGGCGCTGGCTGCCGGTGCTGTCGCGGCTGCCCACACAGCACATACACGCGCCCTGGAAGGCACCGCCGCAGGTAGCGTGTGTTGGTAGAGGGGGGAAATTATACAAGTGTAACAACGAGAGAGGGGGGAGGAGGGGAGGGGGGCTGCGGGGAGGGAGGGAGAAAGAGTCTGGACGCATGCATACCGCACCTCCACCGGCGTCCTCAAACAAGCACACCAACCAACCCGCTCTTCCTTGCACTTCCCTGCCCATGCAGGTGCTGGCGGCCGCTGACGTGGATCTGGGCTGCAACTACCCCGCCCCTATCATCTCCCTCACGGACGCACACGCCAATGTGCAGTACGCTTGTGCCGTACTCGACAAGTGTGCCGTACAGCAGTCCAGTGAGAGCGGCGGCAAGAACCCCTACCGCGCCCCCACCTACCCCATGGCGATGCCTAGCGGCGGCGGAGGCAGCGGCCCGATTGTGGCGGCTGCTGCGGGTGCGGGTACGAACACGAGTAGTGGTGCGAATCCGACTGGGAACGGAGGAGGCCGCACGGGGCCGTCGGCGGGGAACACAGGCGACGGCGGCACGGGAACTGGGTCTGGTACGGCATTCCATCCGCACAACAACGCAAGCGCTCCTACATCTCTGCAGCAGCAGCCGCAGCAGGCTGACGGCGGAGGCGGTCAGCAGCCTCCGGAGTCTCGCTCCGGAAGCGCCGCACACGGCCCCGTCAGCAGCGGCGCCGCCGGCGCTGCCGTACAACCGCCGCCGCCGGAAGGTGCCAGGGGCGCAGCTGCGGCCCAGCCCGGTGCTGGTGGTGGTGGCGGCGGAGGCGGGGTGCCGTACTACATGCCTGGCGATGCAGCGGGTCAGGAGATGCTGGAGCGCATTCTCCGGCAGCAGCGCCGGGCTCGGGGGGCGGCTGCACGGCACCAAGACGGCAGCGGTACGGGTAATAACCGCAGTAACCGCAATACCTCGGGCGCGCTACAGCAGCAGCAACACCAGCACCAGCAGCATGGTGGGTATAACTACGCTCAGCAGCAGCAGCAGCAACAACAACATCAGATGGCGCCGTACGGAGCCCTGGGCGATCCCGCTGCAGATGCAGCAGCAGCAGCAGCCGCATGGACGAATGAACGCATGGCGGCAGGACTGGAGGATGAGGAGGCTGTAGCGCTGTGGCAGCAGCAGCAACAGCTGTTGCAGGGCGGTACGGCGGCGCTTGCCTTTGAGCAAGCCATGCAAATGCTGCTGGCGCGAAGGCGCATGGGCGACGGCGCTAGTATGTTCTTCGGTGACCCACGGGTCGGTTTCGAGGGCGGCCCCGAGGGGGAGCAGTTGATGCTACTGGAGGAGGCTGGGGACAGCGAGGAGGTGGTTTCCAACACGGTGGGACTGAATGCCACGGCTTTCACGGGGGCTAGCTGTCGGGCGGGGACGGCTCGTGGAGCGCGGCGGCTTGAGATGCATGCCACGGCGTCGACTGGCGAGCGGGAGGGCTCGGATGAAGACATGGGGTCCCCGGTGACAGCCATCGGCGGCGGCGGCGGCGGCGGCTCGCCTCGAGGTCTTCATTATCGTCATCATGGGCAGCACCACCAACAGCAGAGGAGCCATCACCAGCAGCAGCAGCAGCGTAAACGGCGGCAGTCGCACAGCGACGGTGACAATGACGCCGGTCGCCATGAGGAGGAGGAGGAGGAGGCAGCGGCGGCGGAGGGTGATGATGAGGCGCGTTATGAGACGGGCGGCGGTGGAGGCAGCGGCTTCCAAGCCATGCAATGTGATGAGGAAGGAGGAGCGGATGAGGAGCAGCAGCGGAGGAGAGAGGAAAGGGAGGAGGGAGGAGGTGCGGCTGGGGATGGGCAGGGCGAGGGTGGGGGTCGCGTGTCGGGGGACGGAGGAGAGGGCGGAGCGGAGAGGGTGCGTGGCGGGGGTTCGCGTCGTGCGAGAGTGAGTGAGGGCACGGATGAGCTGCAGCAGCAGCGGCGGAGGAGCGAGGAGCAGGAGGCGGAGGACATGACATGGAGGCGTAGTGGTGGTGTTGGGGTTGGCGGAGGGGAGGATGAGGCTCACCTGGCTCTCGGGCGGTATGGATCGGAGGGAGATAGCGGTGCGCCGCAGCGGCAGCAGCAGCAGCAGCAACACCTGCAGCATCGTCCCCAACAAGTGGCGGCGCCGCTGCCCCTGCAGCAGCAGCAGCAGCAGGACTTGCAACACGGACAGCACAAGCGCCGGCGCTCCGAATCTGGGTCTCTGGATTGGGAGTAGGAAGTTCGGAAGTTTGGGGTGGCGCCATGGGTGGGCGTTGGAGAAGAGAAAGACGTAAACTGCTAATCATGTGTGGGTGTGTTCGGCCGCATAGCTTGTATTCGTTGAGTGAACCACAGGGCTACTGTACGCGCCCTCTTTTTGTTACGAGCGGTGTGATGCTTCGAGACCTGAAAAAGAAGCCAGGAAAGCGAGTTGGGTCGCTACAAGGCTCCGTTGTCGGCCCCTTGGAAACGTAAGAGTGCGTGGAAAGAAGACTTGCACTGTTACTCTTGACTTTTCCTGCGTGCATGTTGACATGCGCAGCTGCAGCTGCGGCTGGGGCTGCTGCCTAATGAGTGAAACCTCATGCAATAGTATCTTTATCGCGTGTCTTTTCCACGCTACCCTAGGTGGCTGTTGTTGTTGCTGGCCACGGTTTGCTTTGCGGTTAGAATGCTACCTGTTTCTCCAGCACTGTTTATGGCCTGTTACTACTATAGCTACCCGACCTTTGGCGAAAGCGTGCTGGGTTACCATCTGAGTAAGGAGAAGCTGTGTGCGAGAGAGAGGATGTGGGTGAGCGGTAAACCACTACAGCGTTTTGCTTTTTGCGGCTTTCCTTGGGACACTGCGCGGATGCTTTCCAGAGGACACTGCAGGGCTGTACGGCGACATAGGAGCACCTCATTGGCTTTGTGTCAGCCGTACAGACCTGTTTGCAAGCCGATTTTCCCGCAGTGCGTTTCACGACGTGTTTGTTCTGACTCGCTTGTGTTGTGGACGACTGCTGCTGCACTGTCTAGGCTCCCCAGCACTGCCGGCTGTACTGAAGACCCATGGGTCACAATAAGGTTGAATAAGAGGTCCCCATTTCGAACGTTCCTCATGAGACTGATGACTGATGCTCCGAATGCGGACCTTGATGCAGCAGGTTGCTTGCCCTTTGGGGTTGGAGCGAGTTTCGGTTACGTTAACACCCTGGGTAAACCTGGGCTTTCCGCTTTCCCATTTTGTACACGGAGGAGGGGGTCACATAAAAGGTGGGGTTTCTCAGCTCGTTTTTTGCGTAACGTGTGGGTTATGCGCGAGAGGAACGGGTGGTGGAGGGTGTGCGTTGTGCGGGTGATCTGTGGTGCCTCGAGCAGCTAATAAAGGTAGCCTACGGAACCTGGATACCCGGGGCCTGGGGCTCGGCGGGGTATATCCTAGATTTGCAAAGGTCGTTACTCGCGGTTTACCTGGACCGCCAGCCGGCAAACTCCGGTGCATCAGCCGCCTGGATGCGCGCCCTGCTTACAGGGCCCCCGCTGTGTGTTGCGCTGTGATGGAACCCGTTGGTGGGGCGGTTTTCCGGGGTCCGGCCGAGAGGCCCGGAAGACCAAGGATAACCCCTGGTGGTTTCGAATGCTTGTCTGTTGAGAGGAGTTGGCATTTGGCTGTGGTTTCTTCTCGCTTGTGTGTGCTGTCCTGATTGCAGTAGTTGGGTGCTCCAAGCTCTTGCTTGCATGCTATCCTACGTTGTAAATGTCATGGCCGTGCAGCGGTTTCGGCCATCCATTGAAAATGATAATCAGTTGAATGAGAAAGGCGGCCTGCGCGAATGTTGAGATTTGCGATATGGAGAGGCGGACGAGGTTTACATTTGACGGAGGAGTGCTTCTGAGTGCGGTCCCTTAACTGGACATAGGTGGAGCGGCGAGCAGGAACGTCCTGGCGACCGTTGAATCCGAGTCGTTGCTGTCACAAACAGCCAGAGTAGCCGGCTTAAAGTACATGTTGCTCGGTGCTGCGGTTGAGCCGGCTTCGCTGGGAACCGGCCCTGAAGCCCAGGCCTGTTGTTGTCATGTGGGGTTGCGCTCCTTGCTCCACTTAGAGGGGAGTGCAAAGGAGGAACGGAACGCCACAAACAAGTGCGCTTGTGCCGAGTGTTGTACCGAGTTTAGAGGGTTCAGGCGGGAAGGCAGTGTGTCACTAACCGGGGTTGGTTTTGAGCCATTTCGCCGTACCATCTGTAGTACGGTTGGGCGAGGGATGCATGATGTGGACGATTGACTTTGCCACGAGTGCTGTGAGAGCGAGTGAGGAGTGCGGCAATGAAGGGATACTGGAGTGAGAGCTAGCGGCTTTACTGACGTAACCACTGTTGCTTGAAGCCAGTCATGCGCTTCGCTTTACGGTAACTTTATCACCCTGCTCACGCGGGGATTACACGCATACATTTTGGTTGAGAGTGGAGGTCTGACGCACCCTATCAGGTAATCCTTTGCATGTTTACATCTCCTGCAGTCGCCGCACATCACAATCCATAACACTGCTGACAAAGAACGCTGCTAAACGGAGAACCGACCTCACCTAAGTGTGCGCTATTATGATCTTTGCCTCGAGATAACGGTTTGCTCGGGTAACTTTTAACTTCTGTGCCTGGAAGGAAATGTCCGTTGGGAGTACGGTCCTTCGGTCCAATTATGGCCGAAAAGCCGACTTTAAACAGGTTGACCCGTTAACAGTTTGTTAAATTCATAATAGATCAGGAGCCGGGAAAACCCACGTAGAACTTCGGGTAGCTACCAGTGAGATGTACAGCAGGCCAATCGAAAATCGCATATTTTCGTCGCCCAGAGCTATCCCCAGCACCTACAGCCTGCAAGCCTGCAGAATAATAGTAAACTGCGACCTCGCTATGCTATTAGATATTGCACTGCCCTCGCCGAGTCCCTACCAGCGTGCGAAGCTATCGGCAATATATAACGGCTCAGGACGGCTCGGCAAAAGCCACATTTCCGCAAACTTTCGTCTAATAAACTGACTTAGCTCTTAGGTCTTGCTTACAAAACATTGCTACCATAACGGTACATGCGACATGCGTCTTTTGCTGGGGAAATGCGCTGACAGACTTGCAAGCGGACTTTTCAAGTGGGCGAGGCTGATTTAAGCGCCCATTCACCTGGCACTTAGGAAGACACAGTCAACAGTTGCAAAAAGACTAGAATAACGGAAAAAGCAAAAACGGGGCCGTACGCCTAGGTCGCTCCGGACCTGGGGGCGGCGGCACCTATGCTATTGGCAACAAAATAGGCTACCAACAAATTAGGCCGATCCAGTACCGGTAACTGCCAGCTTGCATATAATATTCTGTAAAATAATATAGCTGACACACAGGCGTGTCGCAAATGCCACAAACCAAGACATCCAAAGAGGTAAGTAAGCAAGTACCGAAATTGGGAAGTAGAGGTAGATATTCTACATCATTTAGGCTAATTATGATTTGTTATGGCCTGTGACAACAGGCCGCGGGCGTCGGGCGAAACGTAGCCTCTGTGCATGCATTTACACGTTTTCCTGCCCTACAGATCTGCTATAAAAACATGTTCTTTAATTTTGCCCGTGCAGATCGAGTACAATGGGCGTACCGGTAGTGGCGATGCCAATTGTTCTGCGACTCGGAAGAAATGCACCAGCAAAGCCCAAAATAACTCGGAAAACAAGAGCAAGAATTCCGACGCGGAAGCTTTCACTGGCAACGGCCGTCCAAGCTCCGGCAACCGCTCAGTCACCCGCCTCCAGACCGCTGCAGCAGCAGAGGGGGTAAGCAGGCGTCCAGCTTCTGGGTTCCACGCTCACCTTCTTGAGTAATGGGCGTCAGTAATAGAATTCCTGCTGTGTCCATTACAGGCCTATGAGCTCCTCGGAGAAGCTGCCAAACGCTGCGATCAAGTGACCCGCTATAACTTGCTGGAGCGCGTATTGGCGGGAGTTGTTGACGACGACCTGAGGGAGTCGTTTAAGGGCAAGCAGGGCTGGATCTACATTTACAGGTAACATAGGTGGCTTGTATTATCCAGGATTTGCAACCGTGGGAAACACAAATTCACAATCCTTGTCAAGTGCATGGCTGCTACACATCCTGCACCGGGTCTTCATGACAAACCTTCACCCTTAACTTTTTCAGGCACAAACCTGGCAAGCCCAGCGAGTTCAAGATCGGCAAACATGTTGGGCCTGACCCACGGGACCGCATTCGGCAGTGGGAGAAGAAATGCGGCCGCGAGATTGAGCTGGTCCGCACATGGGAAGTGGCGTTCGCCCGCACCACCGAGCTATTCATAGAGACGGAGCTGAAGGGAATGGATGACGTGTGGCTCGGATCAAGGGTGTGCAGGGGACCGGAGGACTCCAAGTGTACTGCCCACCACCGGGAGTGGTACAAGGCCAGCAAGCAGAAGCTGTTCCAGGTGATCAGTTACTGGGTTGACTACACGAACAGGATGGTTGACGAGCTGCTGCTGACCCGTGAGTGCACCAGAATGGCAAAATTAACAATCCAGTGATGCCCAGCAGAACCGCCACGGTACCGGTAGGTTGCGGTTCCACAGGTACGGTATGTGTCCACCTTACGCGTGGGTGGGGTAAAGAGGAAAAAACTAACTGACTGAGGGATAGTCGGTGGGGAGCCTGCTGGTTCGTTTTGGCTGTGGGGGCAGGTAGCGAACGGAAGAACAGCATGCCAGACCGGGTCGGTGACCTGGACATGCGGGACAGGCTTGGAGCTGAGTATCTAAGGGGTGTATCCGCTTGCAACAGCCCTGTTTGGTGCCCTCAGCAAGGCTGGATGCTGTCAGCGCGAACCTACCGTTGGTTCGTTTTATCGTTAGGATTGTTACTTGTTAGAGATCTGGTGACGCTCTGGGCTTGCTAAATCATGGCCCAGCTATACTGGTGTTATTATTTTTAGTATCTCGCCGCACTGGGGAGACCGCTGCTGATGCTGGTCATGCGTGCTGCTGCTTAATATGTATGTATATACAAAAAAAAAGCGTTTTGGCGTGGCTAAAACATGTTCAATATGTTAATTGCTGGCATCGTGTGGAAGGGTGCCTTAGGCCCGCCACCACGAGATATCTGGTTGGCATTGTGATTTGGTTAGCTAAGGAGAAGACATGTATATATGCACTTTAGCAGGCTTGCTTCCAGTTCGTTCCGCTTTTTGCCGTACCTTATTACAGGATGTATGTTAGTACTGGGGTTTTACGCAGGAGGTTAACACATGTGACCCACGGGTCAGCCTGTACGGGAGTACCAGAGACTAAGCTATCTATTTCACATTTATCGTTGTACAGCATGCGAAAAAAGGGGTGAAGATATGGGAGATGCGTGCTTTTCCTGGGTTCCTTATTTTCTGGGTTCCAGGATAAATAGTAGCAGTCATGCTACGATCTTAAGTCATCCGGCAGTGTACTCGGCTGGTTTCAGTCAAACCAATCCTTGAGATTGTACACGTGGAAACTATTGTAACAGTAACGGTAACACATTTCTCTGCTGGTCTTCCACCAGGGTGCTTGCACGGCATCGTACACGACCTGGAGAGCGGCACTTCCGTGGTCGCTGGCAGTCCTGAACGGCGGACCTAGATGTCCCAGCACCCTAGCCTCTAGTCCGCACAACCACTCAGCGTCTAGGTTACTTCACCCTACGCACCCTATGCACTACCGTATACACAATTACCTAAGCCTGCCTGTCTATCCTATCTATGAGCCTGCCTATCCTATGAGCCTGCCTATCCAATCCGGTACTAGTGGCGCCTGCAAGTACCTACTACTCTGCTTGTCTAGACTGACGTACCCACGTACCTACCTACCTACCGGTACCTATCTTCCTGCCACTTCCCGCCAATAGCGCACACCATTTTATGCATTCCGGTAAGCGGCCTCAGCAGCTTCACAGCGGCAAAACATGCTGGTGCTGCAAAGTACCTCGGGCACAACCGCACACATACATACAACACCTACAAACCTTTACCCTCCCAACGGTCACGGTCACCGTCGATGTTTCCCTGCGGCTCAGGCGACTCCGCATTCTTTTTGCTTGAAGAATAGCGAACTGTGGAGCGACATGGTGGTTATAAATGCCTAACTACACTTGCGTTCTTTACGCAAAAGGCCAACCAAGACCGGGTTAAGTAAGGGCTTTGGACCCTGGTGGGAGTGCATGAGTACTGGGGGGGGAGCCAGCCACTCGGCTGTTCTCGCTCGCCGAGTCCGCCAGGCACCCCTCCTCCTAAGTTGGTTGCATGGCGGCCTTAAACCCAACAGCCGGCTACCCCGAGCGGGGTACAGGGAGAGCATTACATGCTCTTTTACCTGACTGCAATAGAAGTGGCTTTGGCTTTGTGGTCACAAAGAACCCCGTTTCACAACAACCGTTGCAGATTTTGACCATCTGCCTTAGGTACACATACGTTAGCAGGGGTAGTGTGGTCAAAGTATAGTGTGTCGGCACCTTACGGCACTATACGGCAGCAGTAGTGACAACTAGGGTCCTTGGGCAGCTTTAGGCTTAGAGTGACTCTGCCCCTGAGTCGCGAAAAAATGCTCTTAGGGGTTGGGCGCTCCAGCGCGCTTGGTATCGAGACTTAGGTTTTAGCTGCCACTCTGCTGTTCCCACGCCTCTTCAACACTCTTAAGACTGAAGAACCCCTCCGAGCATTATGGAAGGGCAAGACCCCGGCAACACAGGGCAGGCTGGATACCTCCATCCGTCTGCTGTCAACTCCATTCCAACTTATCGGCCATCTGAAGATGCCGTACAGTGGGTGGAGGGGCTGGAGCGTCTTGGGCGCATGTACACTTGGTCTAACGCCAACAAGCTGGACGTTGCTGTTTGCCGGCTGGGCAACACTGCGGCTACTTGGTTCTATGGTGTGGAGGCCACCATCAACACTTGGGATCTGTTCAAGGCGGCCTTTCTGGAGCGGTTTGGCGAGGTCAAGGAGGAGCTGTATAGCCGTCTAACCCGCTGTCAACAAGGAAGGGGCGAGTCCGTCCGTGCGTATGCAGACCGGTTCAGGGATCTGGCTGCTCGTCTGCGCATCAACCTCAACGCAGACCCAGTACACCTGCACAGCTTCCTACAGGGTCTAGCCTCCCATGTCTACAGCCGCGTGTACCTCATGCGCCCGGCAACATTCGAACAAGCGGTTAAGGATGCCATCTACATTGATGAAGGGGTTCAGCGTCTTGCCGTACAAGAGGACTCCGGCGTGCGGCAGGTTGAACCATCGCTTGGCCACCAAGAGTGCTGTACGCGCAACATTCATAGCAACGCAGTACCCTCGAGTCCCAGGCGCCCGTACGAACCCCCATACCGTCGCGACGCCATGCCGCCATACCATCAGGCCCGTCAGGACGTACAACACCGGCATGATGGCCCTCGGCCGTCCACGTCTAGCCCTGCTGCTACGCCGCTCGAGTCCCAGGTGGCCAACCTAGCGAAGCAGATGGCGCATCACACCCTGCTGCTGGAGGGTGGGCCCCAGGCACATTACTGCAGCCTCCCCCGCCTTCTCGCCTGGCACCCCTCAAACAACCCCTCCGAGGACCCGGATGCGCCCTTCTGCCAGACCTACAACGCGCCCCTCATGCTGCCGCCGCCGGCGCCAACCGCAGACCCCTCCTCCTCCCTCCCTTTCCCTCCGCACTCTCCCGCTGCGACCAAGACAACCAACACCAGCACCGCCAGCACCACAAGCACCGCCACCACCACTGCCGCCGCTGCTGCTGTCGCTGTTGCTGCTGGTGATAAAAGCAGTAACAGTGCCGACTCTGAAGACGGTGGGGGCGGCTTGCTGCGCGACGCTCCCCACCCCCACCCCCCGCAGCAGCAGCTCCCGCAGCAGCCCCCGCCCGCCCCCGCCTGCCGCCGCCCCCGGCTGCTGGTGTGTCACAACATGCAGGGCGACTGGTGCAGGGCGGGGACGACCCGGGGGGTTTCAGGTGGGGGGCGGGGGCAGGGCGGGGACGACCCGGGGGGGTTCAGGTGGGGGGCGGGGGCAGGGGCAGGGGACGATCCGGGGGGGTTCAGGTGGGCAAGAAGAAGAACATCCAATGTATTGTATGTCAGGTGCAGGTGCAGGTGCAGGTGCAGGTGCAGGTGCAGGTGCAGGTGCAGGTGCAGGTGCAGGTGCAGGGGCAGGGGCAGGGGCAGGGGCAGGGGCAGGGGCAGGGGCAGGGGCAGGGGCAGGGGCAGGGGCAGGGGCAGGGGCAGGGGCAGGGGCAGGGGCAGGGGCAGGGGCAGGGGCAGGGGCAGGGGCAGGGGCAGGTGCAGGGGCAGGGGCAGGGGCAGGGGCAGGGGCAGGGGCAGGGGCAGGGGCAGGGGCAGGGGCAGGGGCAGGGGCAGGGGCAGGGGCAGGGGCAGGGGCAGGGGCAGGGGCAGGGGCAGGGGCAGGGGCAGGGGCAGGGGCAGGGGCAGGGGCAGGGGCAGGGGCAGGGGCAGGGGCAGGGGCAGGGGCAGGGGCAGGGGCAGGGGCAGGGGCAGGGGCAGGGGCAGGGGCAGGGGCAGGGGCAGGGGCAGGGGCAGGGGCAGGGGCAGGGGCAGGGGCAGGGGCAGGGGCAGGGGCAGGGGCAGGGGCAGGGGCAGGGGCAGGGGCAGGGGCAGGGGCAGGGGCAGGGGCAGGGGCAGGGGCAGGGGCAGGGGCAGGGGCAGGGGCAGGGGCAGGGGCAGGGGCAGGGGCAGGGGCAGGGGCAGGGGCAGGGGCAGGGGCAGGGGCAGGGGCAGGGGCAGGGGCAGGGGCAGGGGCAGGGGCAGGGGCAGGGGCAGGGGCAGGGGCAGGGGCAGGGGCAGGGGCAGGGGCAGGGGCAGGGGCAGGGGCAGGGGCAGGGGCAGGGGCAGGGGCAGGGGCAGGGGCAGGGGCAGGGGCAGGGGCAGGGGCAGGGGCAGGGGCAGGGGCAGGGGCAGGGGCAGGGGCAGGGGCAGGGGCAGGGGCAGGGGCAGGGGCAGGGGCAGGGGCAGGGGCAGGGGCAGGGGCAGGGGCAGGGGCAGGGGCAGGGGCAGGGGCAGGGGCAGGGGCAGGGGCAGGGCAGGGGCAGGGGCAGGGGCAGGGGCAGGGGCAGGGGCAGGGGCAGGGGCAGGGGCAGGGGCAGGGGCAGGGGCAGGGGCAGGGGCAGGGGCAGGGGCAGGGGCAGGGGCAGGGGCAGGGGCAGGGGCAGGGGCAGGGGCAGGGGCAGGGGCAGGGGCAGGGGCAGGGGCAGGGCAGGGGCAGGGCAGGGGCAGGGGCAGGGGCAGGGTGCAAGGGACTGATGCCGACGATATACTTGGACGAAGCGCAGGAGCCAGGATCGGAGGCTCATGCGGAGATCGAGGGGGGGGGCAAGGAGGGGGGGGCAAGGGAATGGGTTGGTGGCGATGAGAGAACGGATGGAACACTAGGGCAAGGCACGTTTAGAAGCAGGCAGCGAGCTAGCCGGAGACACTCCAGCCCCATGCAACGGGCCCTCAGAGCAACATGCCGTGACCACACAGCCGGCCTAATAGACATGCCACATGCACCGGTGGCCAGGCGATGCATGCGGCATGCCAACTAGGCCGGCTGCTTGGGCAAAACGTAACCGTCGTCTATAGGTTCCCAACTAATTGAGATAATTGGAGATAGTTGTGGGTGCAGAACTACGAACAGGGCAGGCACGCGTGTGAAACGTTGTAGCAAACAAACTCACCTTTGTCGCTAGGCGAAATGGATGCGGGTGGGGGCCGTACTGGCGAATAGCAGCGGTACGGCAGCGGCGGCTGGCTCCGCACGCCGCTGGCTCCCCGCTCCTGCGTCGGAGGCCGTCGCCGATCCGTGTGCCGGCCCCCCAGAACTGCGGGGGGAGGAAGCAGGAGCAAGGAAGGGAGGGGGGAGAAAGGATCAGCAGGAAAAGCAGGTGCGAGCGCGCCACCGGTAGGCCCTCCAATGAATGCTCAATGCACATGCAACATGCCTAGTACGATGCAGCTAAATGCCCCCACATGCATGCACATGATCCCTGACACGCCAGGACCTACCTTTGAAGCGAGGGGCTGGGTGGCGGCTCCGGCGAAGAAGGCGGCACGCCAGGCGGGAGCGGTGCAGGAGATGGCGGTGAGGGGCTGGGTGGCGGCTCCGGCGAAGAAGGCGGCACGCCAGGCGGGAGCGGGGAAGGAGATGTCGGCGAGGGGCTGGGTGGCGGCTCCGGCGAAGAAGGCGGCACGCCAGGCGGGAGCGGTGCAGGAGATGGCGGTGAGGGGCTGGGTGGCGGCTCCGGCGAAGAAGGCGGCACGCCAGGCGGGAGCGGTGCAGGAGATGGCGGTGAGGGGCTGGGTGCCAGGGACTGATGCCGACGATATACTTGGACGAAGCGCAGGAGCCAGGATCGGAGGCTCATGCGGAGATCGAAGGGGGGGGCAAGGAGGGGGGGGGCAAGGGAATGGGTTGGTGGCGATGAGTGAACGGATGGAACACTAGGGCAAGGCACGTTTAGAAGCAGGCAGCGAGCTAGCCGGAGACACTCCAGCCCCATGCAACGGGCCCTCAGAGCAACATGCCGTGACCACACAGCCGGCCTAATAGACATGCCACATGCACCGGTGGCCAGGCGATGCATGCGGCATGCCAACTAGGCCGGCTGCTTGGGCAAAACGTAACCGTCGTCTATAGGTTCCCAACTAATTGAGATAATTCGAGATAGTTGTGGGTGCAGAACTACGAACAGGGCAGGCACGCGTGTGAAACGTTGTAGCAAACAAACTCACCTTTGTCGCTAGGCGAAATGGATGCGGGTGGGGGCCGTACTGGCGAATAGCAGCGGTACGGCAGCGGCGGCTGGCTCCGCACGCCGCTGGCTCCCCGCTCCTGTGTCGGAGGCCGTCGCCGATCCGTGTGCCGGCCCCCCAGAACTGCGGGGGGAGGAAGCAGGAGCAAGGAAGGGAGGGGGGAGAAAGGATCAGCAGGAAGGATCAGCAGGGGCAGGGGCAGGGGCAGGGGCAGGGGCAGGGGCAGGGGCAGGGGCAGGGGCAGGGGCAGGGGCAGGGGCAGGGGCAGGGGCAGGGGCAGGGGCAGGGGCAGGGGCAGGGGCAGGGGCAGGGGCAGGGGCAGGGGCAGGGGCAGGGGCAGGGGCAGGGGCAGGGGCAGGGGCAGGGGCAGGGGCAGGGGCAGGGGCAGGGGCAGGGGCAGGGGCAGGGGCAGGGGCAGGGGCAGGGGCAGGGGCAGGGGCAGGGGCAGGGGCAGGGGCAGGGGCAGGGGCAGGGGCAGGGGCAGGGGCAGGGGCAGGGGCAGGGGCAGGGGCAGGGGCAGGGGCAGGGGCAGGGGCAGGGGCAGGGGCAGGGGCAGGGGCAGGGGCAGGGGCAGGGGCAGGGGCAGGGGCAGGGGCAGGGGCAGGGGCAGGGGCAGGGGCAGGGGCAGGGGCAGGGGCAGGGGCAGGGGCAGGGGCAGGGGCAGGGGCAGGGGCAGGGGCAGGGGCAGGGGCAGGGGCAGGGGCAGGGGCAGGGGCAGGGGCAGGGGCAGGGGCAGGGGACGAGGGAGGGAGGGACGAGGGAAGGGAACGGTATGGCTGTGAAGATACGGTAGGGCAGGAGGCAAGGAGGCAGGGTGGGCCATCTGCCTGTGGAAGAAGATGTGCGACGGTACCTGCACCTGGTACTGTACGTGTTATTCCGCTGGCAGGCTGTTCACCCTGCCTGCTTGCACGCTGCCAACTTTCCTCCGCCCTCCTGCCCTCCTCCTAACTCCTCTTCCTCCCTCTCCTTCCCTTCCCTCTTCCTCCCTTCCTCCCGCACAAACCCTCATCACCCACCCATCCACCCACCCACAGGCTCTGGCACTGGTCCTCCATAGACGTCTTCGTCTACTTCTCGCACCACACCGTCAACCTGCCTCCCCCCGGCTGGATCGCCGCAGCACACCGCAACGGAGTCAAGGTGCTGGGCACCTTCATCACCGAGTGGGCCGCGGGTCGCGACGTTTGCTGCCGACTGCTCGCCTCCCCCGCCGCCGCGCGCGCCGCCGCCGACTCGCTCGTTCGGTTGGCGGCGCATGGCGGCTTCGAGGGCTGGTTGGTGAACATTGAGAACGGGCTGCCGCGGCGGCTGCTGGGCAACCTGCGGCACTTCCTGGCGCACCTGAGGGCGGGGTTGCGGGCGGTGGTGGGGCCGCATGCAATGGTGGTGTGGTGAGCGGGGGGGGCGGGGGTAAGGAGGAAACAGCAAAGGAAGTAAGGAACCGTGTACTTCGGCGCCATGTTGGTTTGTAACATGAGCGGGGGCGGGGGAGCGGGAGCAGGGGCGTTCAAAAGTAGGGACAGCGGGTGCAGCAAGGGAGAGCAAGGGCTGGAGGCTGGTGGCGAGGAGGCTTCACGGGAGGCATGCGTTTTCCCTTCACCTCACCCCACTCCCCTTCCCCCCTCCTCGCCTGGCCCCCACCCCTCAACTGCGAAGGTACGACGCCATCACAACTGAGGGGCGACTGGTGTGGCAGAACGCCCTCACGCCCCGCAACGCGCCCTTCTTTGACGCCGCAGACGCGCTGTTCGTCAACTACGGCTGGCGGCGGGAGGGGCTGCGGGGGGTGGCGGAGGCGGCGGGCAGCCGGGCGGCGGAGGTGTACATGGGCGTGGATGTGTTTGGTCGGGGCACGTACGGCGGGGGACAGGTGCGGGGTCGGGGGGGGGCGGGTGGACGGGTTGGGTCATGCAGGAATCGTACGGCGAGAGACGCTGTGCAAGCGCGTGGCTTGGTTTTAAGGGAGGGTCGTGCTACCGGTATTGGCCTGGGGGCTGGACTTGCCTCACAGGCCTTCCCCGCCTTGTCGCCTGGCGTTCTGTGGCATTACCCAACTTCCTTGACCTCCTCCCTCCTCTACCCCTTTCCCTACTTCCACACCTCCTCCCCCCCCCGCTCCCAGTTCAATTGCCCGCAGGCGCTGGCGGCTGCTCGCTGCGCCGGGCTGTCCGCGGCGCTGTTCGCCCCGGGCTGGGTGTGGGAGGAGTTCGGGCGGAGTGGCTTCGAGGCGCGGCGTTCTGGGGCGGGTTGAGACCCTGATGCGTGGCTGTGGGGGCGAGCTGGGAGGGCTGAACAGGGTCCGTGCCCCCCTTAATCTTACCCTCCGTATTCGCTGTACCCCAATACGGACCCTTTTTACGGAGGCCCCTTACCCTGCTATGATAGTGGGCTGCGTTCTATTGACACCCTCCCACCCCTGCTACGTGCTCCCCTGCCACCCCTGCCACCCCTGCTCCCCCCACCCCGCAGATCCAGTCCTGCTGGCCCCCCTCCCGGCCGCAGCTGCAGCTGCTGCCGCTGGTTACCTGCTTCAACGGCGGGGCGGGGCGCGGCGTGTGGCTGGAGGGGCAGCGGGTGAGCTGCGCGCCCTGGTTCCAGCTGGCGGCGCAGGACACCCTGCCAACCACCACACCGGGCACTGCCACCAGTGCCACCACCACCAGCATCAGCAGCCCGGCGACTGACCCGCAGCAGCAAGGGCCGCATGCGCCCTCTTCCTCGGCCTCCTCCTCGCCATCCTCCTCGCTCCTGGTACGCCCCACGCAGCAGGTCGCCTTCTGCGGGGGCTCCTGCCTCGCGCTGTCCCTCGCACCACCACCCGCACCAGCACCAGCACTCTCACTCGCACCACCACCAGCACCACCAGCACCAGCGGCCGCCTTCTGGACCCACCAGCTCTACTCCGCGGCGCTGCCCGTACCCGCATCAGGCCTGGATGTGTCGTACACGGCAACAGGCTGCGGAGCCAGTCGGGTGGCGCTGCTGCGGCTGGCGGGCAGCAGCAGTGCTGCTGGTACTGCTAGTACGGCTACTGCTGCTAGTACGGCTGCTGCTAGTACGGCTGCTGTTCGTACGGCTGTTGCCCCGGCGGCAGCAGCTGTGCCCGCAGTGGCTGATGCAGGGTGCAGCGGTGGCGGGGGGGCGGGGGTGGTGGTGGGGCGCTGGGGCGCTGGGGACGTGGCGGTGGTGGAGCAGCTCAGGAGGGCTGGTGAGGCGGGGGGCGGGGAGAGGCAGATGGGCAGGGGTGGCGTGTGAGAGGAAGGAATGGGTGGCGGGGGGATGGAGGTTGGCTGCTGGTTCCCGAGAGCACGTCCTTTGTCGTTCTTGCGCCTTTCTACGCATCCTCAGTTCCTCACTCTCGGCTCTCCCCTCCCCTCCGCTTCTCCCCCCTCCCCCCCCACGCCCCACTGCACATCATGCCTTGTTCCCGATATGCCGTACTTTTCACGAATTCCGTCCCTATTTGTACCTTCCGCCATTATTCCATCCCCATACACCCCACCGCGCCGTCCTAGTCGTGTCGTCTCGTGTCTTAGGCTTACCTTAGTACTTCTTTGTTCGCATCTTCACCATCGTCCTCTTTAACTTATACTTAACTTCCCCTTTCGCTTTCCTTGCCTCATTCCGCATATCTGGCTCTCCGCTGGACATCGCTACCAACTCGCCTCAACCTAACTTACTCCATGGTCCTGGCGGCTTGCCATGGACATGTCTCATGGTGCACATATCCTGTGCACGCAGGTACGTGTTTTATCGTGTGTCAGTCTGTGTTGTTTTTCATGCGTGCTCGTGTTGTGCTGTTCCTGTTGTTTGCCTTTGCCCAACGGCGCGGTGGGTCTCCAGCTCACCTTCAGCAGCCTCCACACATGCCCAAGACTATGGTAAGGTTGCTCCATAATTGGTAAGTTCGGTAAGTTTAGCTCGCATTGCTTTAACCACCATTTCGGCTCGACTCACGGTTGATTCCACCAGGGATTGTCAGCAACTTGTATCATTATCATACCACACTTTGGAATTTCTTTTTTTCCCCCACGCCCCCAGGCTTCACCTGCATCTCCTGCCACCCCGCACCCACCGGCGCCACCACCTGCCCCCTGCCGGACACCGGCAGCAGCTCCACCGCCCCCTCCGCCTCCGCCTCCACCACCTCCGCTTCCTCCTGCATGCCCTCCACTGCTGCCTCCACTGCCACCGCCTCCGGCGCTGCCGTCCCCGCTGGCCTGCCCTGGATCACCTGCGGGGCGCACCTGCCTCGCAGCCTGCTAGCAGCCTGCATGGCGGCAGGGGGAGGTGGTGGTGTTGCGGAGGGCTGTGTGGTGACGTCTGTGGGCCTTGTGTGCTACCTGGCGGGTGGTGGCAGCGGTGGCGGTGGCGGTGGAGGCGGTGGAGGAGGAGCCGGGCGTGCGGGGGCTCCGGTGGCTAGGGTGGCCGAGGGAGGAGGCTTCCCCGCGCTCAAGGCATTCCTGGGTGGGTGGCTGGGTCCGCATGTTGCCTGGTTAGGAGGGTTAGGGGCGCGGGTTGAGCCGGTGGCATCGTTGTTGCCTCAGCGTGCAATTCCGGTTCATGCTGCTGCCCGCTGTCCGGCTCACCCTCCTGCCCGCCGCCCCCCTGCCCTTCCTGCCCTTCCTACCCCCAGGTCGCCTCGTCCTGAGGGAGCACCGCCCGGACCCCGCCACACTACCCCCCGCGCCACTGCAGCCCGCACACACCGTCACGACAGCCAGCAGCACCAAGGCAGCATCAGACCCCACCCAGCCCCACCTACCTGCCTCCACCACCTCCACCTCAATTACCGCTACCCACAGCCCTTCACACCTTTCTTCCCCCCTCACGGGAGTCCTGGCAGCGCCACCTCCCTCGCCGCCGCCCGCCTCGCCGCCCCTGGCGGGCGCTCGCTGCTTCCGAGTGCACTGGAGGCGACCCGCGGGTCGCAACGCCGCCGCTGGCGGCGACAACGGCTGCGGAAACAGCGCCGTACAAGCGAAGATACCAGCCACGGGTGTGCGCACCGTCGCGGGTAAGATAGCTGATGCGGCAGTCAGTGCGGCGGGGACGGTGGCGGCGGCGGCAGCAGCGGTCGCAGCTGCCGCGGCGGCGGCGGCGGCGGCTACGACAGGGCTGGCGGAGGCGAGTGAGGCGGATCTGGGTGACCCACGGGTAAGTGGCGAGCTGGTGGAGGCGAATGATGAGGACGAGGACGAGGCGGGTGCTGACGAGGAGGTGGAGACGGCGGAGGCGGGGGGCACTAATGGGGAGGAGGAAGAGGAAGAGGAGGAGGATGACGGATGGGAGAGGGCTACAGGGGGTATCAGTGAGTCGCCGGTCAAGCTGATGGGGAGTGCAAAGGAGAAACGGAACAACACAAGTGCCATGTGGCGCGTGTTGTATCAAGTTTAGAGGGTTCAGGCGGGAAGGCAGTGTGTGATTAACTGGGGGTGGTTTTGAGCCATTTCGCCGTACCATCTGTAGTACGGTTGGGCGAGGGATGCATGATGTGGACGGTTGACTTGCCACGAGTGCTGTAAGAACGAGTGAGGAGTGCGGCAATGAAGGGATACTGGAGTGACGTAGCCACTGTTGCTTTGAGCCAGTCATGCGCTTCGCGTTAACTTTATCACTCTGCCCACGCGGGGCTTACACGCATGCATTTTGGTTGAGAGTGGAGGTCTGAAGCACACTATCAGGGAATCCTTTGCATGCTTTATCTCTTGCAGTCGCCGCACGTCACAAACCAGAACACAATGGAGTCTACGGAAAACTGTCCTCACCTAAGTGTGCGCTATTATGATCGCTGCCTCGAGATAAAGGTTCGCCCGGGCAACTGCAACTTTTGTGCCTGCAAGGAAAGGTCCGTTGGGAATACAGTCCTTCGGTCCAATTTTGGCCGAACAGCCGCGGCAAAAACTTTGGACAGGTTGACCAGTTAACAGTTTGTTAAAGTCATAGTAGATCAGGGGCCGGGAAAACACACGTACAACATCGGGTAGCTAACAGTGAGATGTACAGGAGGCCAACCGTAAGTCGCATATTTTCGTCGCCCAGAGCTATACCCAGCACCTACAGCCTGCAAGCCTGCAGAATAATATTACACTGCGACCTCGCTCTGCTAGTAGATATTGCACTGCCCTCGCCGAGTCCGTACCAGCGTGCGAAGCTATCGGCAACAAACTAGGCTTCCAACAAATTAGGCCGATCCAGTAACTGCCAGTTCGCACACATATTATTAAAGAATAATATAGCTGACACACAGGCCTGCTGCAAATGCCACAAACCGAGATACCCGACGAGGTAAGCAAGATACCGAAATTGGGAAGTAAAGGTAGACATTCTACGTTATTTAGGCTAATTATGATTCCACACTCACCTTCTTGAGTAATGGGCGTCAATAATATGCGGTGTCCATTACAGATCTATGACCTCCTCGGAGCTGCTGCCAAACGCTGCGATAAAGTTACCCGCGAGAACTTGTTTATATGCGTAATGGCGGGAGTCGTTGACGACGACTTGAAGGAGTCGTCTGAGGGCAAGCAGGGCTGGATCTACATTTACAGGTAACATAGGTGGCTTGTATGTTGTATCACCCAGTGCTTGAAGCCGTGGGAAACAGCTTATCGCAATCATCCTCAAGTGCATGGCTGCTTTCACATACTGCACCAGGTCTTCATAACAACCTTTACCCTTCACTTTTTCAGGCACAAACCTGGCAAGCCCAACGAGTTCAAGATCGGCAAACATGTTGGGCCAAACCCACGGGTCCGCATTCGGCAGTGGGAGAAGAAATGCGGCCACAAGATTGAGCTGGTCCGCACATGGGAAGTGGCGTTCGCCCGTACCACCGAGCAGCTCATAGAAACGGAGCTGAAGGGGATGGACGACGTGTGGCTCGGACAAAGGGAGTGCAGGGGACCGGACGGCTCCAGTGGGTGTGGAGCCCACCACCGTGAGTGGTACAAGGCCAGCAAGCAGAAGCTGTTCCAGGTGATCAGTTACTGGGTTGACTACACGAACAATATGGCTGAGACGCTGCTGCTGTCCCGTAAGTGCACCAAGTTAGCAATCAGTGATGCCCAGCAGAACCGCCGCGGTTAACGGTAGGTTGCGGTTCCACAGGTACGGTATCTGTCCGCCTACGCGTCGGTGGGGTAAAGAGGAAAAAACTGACTGAGGGATAGTCGGTGGGGAGCCTGCTGATTCGTTTTGGCTATGGGGGCAGGTAGCGCACGGAAGGACAGCATGCCAGACCGGGACGGTGACCCCGACATGCAGGTTGCTAGCGGTAGTTGACCGTGTACCGGGTTACGGCGGTCGGCAGAGTGACCGCCTGAAAGCTGCGAACAATGCTACAGGCTTGGAGCTGAGTATCTAAGGGGGTGCATTCGCTTGCACTGCCCTGTTTGGTGCCCTCGGCAGGCCTGGATGCTGTCAGCGCGAACCTACCGTTGGTTCGTTTTGTCGTTAGGGTTGTTAGGGATCGGATAACGCTTGGGGCTTGCGACATGGCCTAGCTATACTGGTGTCATTATTTATCAAGTATCTTGCCGCAGTGGGGAGACCGCTGCTGATGCTGGTCATGCGTGCTTTATATGTATGTCTAGAATTAAAAAGCGTTTTGGCGTGGCTAAAACATGTTCAATATGTTAATTGCTGGCATCGTGTGGAAGGGTGCCTTAGGCCCGCCACCGCGAGGTATCTGCCATTGTGATTTGGTTGGCTAAGGAGAAGACATGTATATGAGGAATTTAGCAGACTTGCTTCCGGTTCGTTCCGCTTTTTGCCGTGCCTTACTACAGGATGTATGTTAGTACTTGGGTTTTCTTGGTTCGGAGAAGCAGGAGGTTAACACACGTGACCCACGGGTCAGCCTGTACGGGGGTACCAGTGACTAAGCTATTTATCGTTTTTATGTGGAAGAAGACATGGGAGATGTGTACATTTCCTGGGACGGCCGCAATGCACTGATTTTCTGGGTTACCAGGATAAGCAGTAGCAGTCATGCCAGGATAAGCAGTAGCAGTCATGCTACGGACTTAAGTTATCTGACATCTTGCTTCGCGGGATTGAGCGGGGGGGAAGGCAACAAGGCCAAACACTCGGATTAGTGCCAGTGATTTTATCCGACAGCCAGTAGTGTACTAGGGTGGTTTCAATCAAACCAATCCTGAGCTTGTAAACGTGGAAACTATTGTAACAGTAAAGGTAACACATTTCCCTTGTCCTCCACAAGGGAGGTTGCACGGCATCATACAGTCGCCGCACATCACATTCCAGAACACTGCTGACAATGAACGCTGCTAAACGGAGAAGCGACCTCACCTAAATGTGCGCTATTATGATCTTTGCCTCGAGATAAATGTTCGCCCGGGCAACTTTAACTTCTGTGCCTGGAAGGAAAGGTCCGTTGGGAATACGGTCCTTCGGTCCAATTTTGGCCGAAAAGCCGCAGCAATCACTTTAAACAGGTTGACCAGTTAACAGTTTGTTAAAGTCATAGTAGGTCACGGGCCGGGAAAACCCACGTACAACTTCGGGTACCAGTGAGATGTACAGCAGGCCAATCGAAAGTCGCATATTTTCGTCGCCCAGAGCTATACCCAGCACCTACAGCCTGCAAGCCTGCAAAATAATAGTACACTGCGACCTCGCTCTGCTATTAGATATTGCACTGCCGTCGCCGAGTCCTTACCAGCGTGCGAAGCTATCGGCAACAAACTAGGCTTCCAACAAATTAGGCCGATCCATTAACTGCCAGTTCGCACACATATTATTATAATATAATATAGCTGACACACAGGCGTGTCGCAAATGCCACAACCCGAGATACCCGAAGAGGTAAGCAAGATACCGAAATTGGGAAGTAGAGGTAGACATTCTACGTTATTTAGGCTAATTGCGATTCCACGCTTACCTTCTTGAGTACCGTAATGGGCGTCAATAATATGCGGTGTCCATTACAGGCCTATGAGCTCCTCGGAGAAGCTGCCAATCGCTGCGATCAAGTTACCCGCTATAACTTGCTGGAACGCGTATTGGCAGGAGTTGTTGACGACGACCTGAGGGAGTCGTCTGAGGGCAAGCAGGGCTGGATCTACATTTACAGGTAACATAGGTGGCTTGTATCACCCAGTATTTGCAGCCGTGGGAAACAGCTTATCGCAATCCTCCTCAAGTGCATGGCTGCTTTCACATACTGCACCAGGTCTTCATAACAAACCTTCACCCTTAACATTTTCAGGCAAAAGCATGGCAAGTCCAACGAGTTCAAGATCGGCAAATATGTTGGGCCAAACCCACGGGACCGCATTCGGCAGTGGGAGAAGAAATGCGGCCACGAGATTGAGCTGGTCCGCACATGGGAAGTGGCGTTCGCCCGTACCACCGAGCAGCTCATAGAGACGGAGCTGAAGGGGATGGACGACGTGTGGCTCGGATCAAGGGAGTGCAGGGGACCGGACGGCTCCAGTGGGTGTGGAGCCCACCACCAGGAGTGGTACAAGGCCAGCGAGCAGGAGCTGTGCCAGATAATCAGTTACTGGGTTGACTACACGAACAGGATGGTTGACGAGCTGCTGCTGACCCGTGAGTGCACCAGAATGGTTGACGATGGTTAACCTGCTGACCCGTAAGTGCAGCAGGTTAACAATCCACTGATGCCCAGCAGAACCGCCGCGGTTACCGGTAGGTTGCGGCTCTACCGGTACGGTATGCGTCCACCTTACGCGTCGGTGGGGAGCCTGCTGGTTCGTTTAGGCTGTGGGGGCAGGTAGCGCCAGACCGGGGCGATGACCCTGACATGCGGTTTGCTAGCGGTAGTTGACCGTGTGCCCGGTTACGGCGGTCGGCAGAGCGACCGCCTGAAAGCTGCGAGTAATGCTACAGGCTTGGAGCTAAGTATTTAAGGGGGTGCATTCGCTTGCACTGCCCTGTTTGGTGCCCTCGGCAGGCCTGGATGCTGTCAGCGCCAACCTACCGTTGGTTCGTTTTATCGTTGGTTGTTACTTGTTAGGGATCTGGTGACGCTTTGGGCTTGCGACATGGCCTAGCTATACTGGTGTCATTATTTAACAGTATCTTGCCGCAGTGGGGAGACCGCTGCTGATGCTGGTCATGCGTGCGTGCTGCTGCGTGCAAGGAGGTTTCCACACGTGACCCACGGGTCAGCCTGTACGGGGGTACCAGTGACTAAGCAATCTATTTCACATTTATCGTTGTATAGCATGCGAAAAAAGGGGTGGAAGAAGACATGGGAGATGCGTGCTTTTCCTGGGAACGGATGCAATACACTGATTTACTGGGTTCCAGGATAAATAGTAGCAGTCATGCTACGGTTTGAAGTCATCCGACATCTTGCTTCACGGATTTGAGTTGGGGGGAAGGCAACACGGCCGAACACTCGGATTAGTGCCAGTGATTATCCCGAAATCCTGTAGTGTACTCGGCTGGTTTCAGTCTTGAGATTCTTGAGATTGTCCACGTGGAAAGTATTGTAACAGTAATGGTAACACGTTTCCCTGCTGGTCTTCCATCAGGGAGGTTGCACGCCATTGTACACGACCTGCAGAGGGGCAATCCACGGTCGCTGGCAGTCCTGCACGGCGAACCTAGACGTGCCAGCTCCCTAGCCTCTAGTCCGCACAATCACTCAGCGTCCTGGTTACTTCACCCTACGCACCCTATGCACTACACACAATTACCTCTCGTAAGCCTGCCCGTCCTCTTCATGAGCCTGCCTCTATCCTATCCGGTACTAGTGGCGCCTGCAAGTACCTACTACCCTGCTTGTCTAGACTGACGTACCCACGTACCTACCTACCTACCCAGCGGTACCTATCCTTCCTGCCACTTCCCGCCAATAGCGCATATCATTTTACGCATTCCGGTGAACGGCCTCAGTCCCCACGGTCCTGCCAACAGCCATCCTGCACCGACACCTGCTGCTGCATCCCCAGCCCTCCGTGGGGTGCAACACATGAAGCTATACACAGCGGCGAAACACGCTGGTGCTGCAAAGTACCTCGGGTACAACGGCACATACGGTATACAAACAACACCTACAAACCTTTACCCTCCCAGCGGTCACGGTCACGGTCACCGTCGGTGTTTCCCAGCGGCTCAGGCTATCTACGGTAATCCCAGCCAGGCACCAACAGCAGCAGCCAATAGCCTCAAAAGCCCTCCGTATAGCGGGGCGGCGGTGGCCGGGGCGGCCTCGGACGAACCACCTTCGCAGGCTGCTCCGCCCGGCCTCCCGCTTCGGCATTGGACGGCGCAGCAGACACCCCGGGCCCACCCACCGCTGCCGCTGCCGCACCTGCCGGGGCGCCTGCTGCCTTGGGGACCGAAGCCCCGGAGGGAGGTTTCCGGCCGGCACCTGCCGTACAGGCCGTTGCGGGCGGTGGCGGCTTGGCCGCCGCCGCCGCCGCTGACGTCGGCTGGGAGCCTGACGGTCCGGCGGCCTGCGAGCCTCCTCCTCCGCTGCCGCCGCTGCCCCCAGCGGCAGCAGCAGCGGGGTTGGGCGCCGCTGCTGCCCCTGTTCCCGTCCCGTCTGCACCCGCCGCTGCGGTGTCGCCAGCCTTCATAGCGGCGTACATGGCGAATGCTTTTTGGATCTTATCCTCAACGTACTTTTTCTTCTTCCTAGGTGGCAGCTTCCTAAATTGCCATCTCGGCATACGGTCGCCAACCTTCCAGATGTATTGCAGCATTTTCGCCCTTTTCAACGCATGGTACTTTTTCCGTATGGTGATATGAGCCATCTGGTGGTGGACGACGAAAACTGGTTCCGGAGCCACTCCGGCAACCGACGCCACCCGTGCCGCATTGTCGGTCATCCTGTCAGCCCCCGCCGGCGCGGAAAGCTGCGGTACTGCATTACTTGTGGCCGGTGGCCGAAGCCGTAACGCCCAATCAGCCATTGCCGGCGGAGCGTAACGCACGCAAGGCATGCCGACTCCGGCGGCAACACCGACGGCGCCGCCGACGGCGGTACTGTTGTACTCCGGCCAGGCTCCGACGAGCTCCTCCATGACCCTCGCCGCCGCCGGCGTCAGTACGACACCCGTGGATCCCAACTGTGGCGGCACCGGCGTCGGCGTCAGGCGGTGCGGGCGACGTTCAAGTTCCGCCGCGAAGGCCCTGCCGTACGCATCATGACGCAACGCCAAGGACAGCCGGAAGGTTTTGAAGTCCTCGTAGCGTCCCTTCTCCGTAGGAACTTCGATGGGCGGCGGCTCCTCCTCCTCCGCCGCCGCCGCCGCCGGTCGCTGTGATGGCGGCGCCGCTGCGGCAGCGGACGGTGAGGGACCTGCCAAGCCGCCGCCGCCGGCGGCAGCCCCAGCCGCAGCAGCTACGGGCGGCGGTTTCGGAACCAATGCCGCAACATTCGTACGCAACTGGTGCGGCTGAATAGCGAGCAAGCTGCTTAGGTAGGTAAGGCCCTCGTTTCGGTCAACTGCCGTACGCTGTGACGCGCTGCCCTTGCCAGCCGCCGCCGGCGGCGTCTGCACTGCCGCCGTCACCACTGCTGCTACGGCGGGGGCGGGGTCAGGGCCGGGGGCGGCGGCAGCAGCGGCGGCGGCGGCAGCGGCATTTTTCTTCGCTCTCTTAGCCTCCCTCCGCGCCGCCAACGCCCGCATTCGCTTCTCCACTATCTGTCCCGACGTCGGCAGCGTGACAACGGTACCCTCCCTGGCGGCGGCGGCGGAGGTAACAGGTACGACGTGACCCAAGCAGCGCAGCGCAAGGCCCGGCGGATCCGCCTCCGGCGCTGCCGCCTGCTGCTGCAAATCGCCATCGCCGCCTTTTTCAGCGTTGTTGGCCGCTGCCAGCCTTCCAACCTCCAGCGCCATGAGCGCGAGCTCCTGGTATTCGAGCTCCCAAAGGGAGGGCGGCGCCTCCGCAGCCTCCTCGGTTGCTGCAGCTCCTTCTGCTGCTGCCAGTGAGGCCAGGAGGAGGGCAGGGCGGATGAACGGCATGGAACGGGTGAGTGAAGGGACAGCGTGAGAGCAACAACACAGCGTGGAACGGAATGGAACGGGTGAATGCGAAAAGCCGAACGACATGGACCCAGTGTGGCCTTGGTCTTGAAACAGACGCGATTTGTTCATGTGGCCTTGACACATCTCTGACCCCACCGCTGGCTGCCGCCACCACCAGCACTTACCTCCATCCTCAGCCTTCCGTCGCACCGCTGCCACCTCCGCCTTCACCACCCCTCTCAGCCGCTTCAGGGTGGATTTCCGCCGGTACGCCAGCGTTCTCCGCATTACAGAAGAGGTCGCGTTGTCATTCATGGAGTCCCGTTGCTCCTGCACGTCACATCGATAGTTTGACTTGAAGATGAGCGGGTTACGCGAGGCGTCCACCGTCGCTTGGGAGAGCTCGGGCAGGAGGACTGGGTAGGGTGCGGCCTGGGAGGGAAGGGCGGGAGGGAGTGCAGGAAACGGGTTGGGAGCGGGTAGGGGTAAGGAACCCTAAGGATGTGCGTGGAGGGGTTGGGGGTGGGCAGCGAGGAGGCAGGGAAGGATGGAAAGGAGGAGGAGGGGCGGGGAGGGAAGGGAAGGGAGGTGAGGGGGGGCAGGCCGTGCCGATGGCTGGAGGGTTGCATTGGGGGGGGGGTCAATTTTTGGACCAATTTAAACCAAAGAAAAACCAAAAAAGAAAAAAGCAGGCAATCACAAAAGCAGGCATTGCCCCCCTTGGGGGGTGGAGGGTATCCTGCTTTAGGATGGCAATGCGCTAACAAAGATACCGGTTGCCGGGAACAGTGCGTATTGTGAAAACTGGCAGCGAGGAGGAATGGACGTGAACGTGGGCGTGGCAATGCAAAAGAAGAAAGCGGGCACAGCATGCACGTGGCACGTGGACTTCAACAGCAATGGAAACAGGGAGGAACGGGAACGCCGTACTTACTTCCAGCCGCTGCCGTACAGCCTGCTGTACTACACGAGAGGCGTACGACAGCTCAGGCGGCGGTTGCTGCGGTTGCGTTGTACGGCAACGTTGGGGTTGAGCTTGCTTCTCCCGCTGCTGCTGCTGCTGCCCCTCATCCATCTCTGTCGTCGGCTCCTCCTGCAACCCCTCCTGCGCCCCTTCCCTGTCCCTAGCTACAACCTCGTCCACCTCCATTCGCTCCCCCGCCGCCTCCTCCCTCGCCTCCGCCGCCACCGCCACCGTCTCCTCCTCCGCCGTCTCCGCCTCTGCCGCCGCCGCCGCCTCACCCGCCCGCACCATGGACCAAACCCCGTACGGCAGCCCCTCCGGCCGCCGAGGCCGTACGACAGCCACACCCAGCCGGTCAAGCCCCAACCGCCGCCCCCTACGGCTGCAATATCTCCGTTTTCGCTGCTGCTGCTGCTGCTGCTGCTGCGGAGCTTCTTGGGTGGCGAGGAAGTCCTGTTGAATGCCCGGAGCAGGAGCGGAAGCAGGAGCGGAAGCAGGAACAGATGCAGACGCGTTAGCTGCGGCGCCGCGTCTGCGGTCGGCAAGTCTTTGGCGTCTGGCAGCAAAGTACGCAACACACGCAGCACTAGCGGCGGTGGGGCGAGCAGCTGGGAAAGCAGGCGCAGGAGCACGATCAGCGGTGGTGGTGGTGGTGGTGGCAGCATCAGCATGGCTGTCCGCAGCAGGCCCCGCGTCCGGCCCCTCCGCTGCAACTGCCGGGTCTGCTCCTGCTGCTGCCGGGGCTGCTGCTGCCGGGGCTGCTGCTGCTCCTGCCGCTGCTCGTGCTGCTGGCGGTGCTCGAGCTTGTGCTGCTCGAATCCAGCCCTCCTCCGGGTCCGGCAGCAGCAGCTTCATGAGCGGACTCCATTTGGGCTTCCCAGGGGCCCAGCCGCCGCCCTCACCAGCACCACCACCAGCAGCACCGCCCTCCACATCCTCCTGTTGCTGCTCCTCCTCCTCCATCCGCTCCTCCCTCTGCTCCTCCTCCTCCTCCCTGCCAGCAACGCCCTCCTTACTCAGCCCGCCACCGCCTTCTCCCACTCCCCCTCCTGCTCTTCCACCGCCCTCCTGCTCTTGCCCTTCTCCTTCCCTTCTACTGGGACTCAAATCCCTGTCACCCCTGGCCCCGCCGCCGCCGCCGCCACCGTTACAACCACTCCGCCTCCTCCTCCTCCCAACAGCACCCTCCCTTCCACCACCACCATCCTCCTCACTCTCGCTCCCCCCGGCGCCGTCCGCCCTTTCCGCCGCCCAGCGAAGCAGACTGCCCATATGCGTGTGGTGCGCCCGCAGGTTCAGGCTCTTGACGTTCGGCTGGCCCAGGGATTTGTGTGACTGCCATCCCGACGTGGCCAGGTGTTGTGTGGCGGCCCGCGCCTCTACAACCGTACGGTAGGCTCGCAGCAGGGGCTCGTAGGAAGCGGGGGACAAGCGGTCAGCCAGGTCCTGCGGGTTGGATGTGGAGTTGGTATGACAGCTGACAACAACTAACAAGCGGCAAGCCAGCCAGCCAGCAAGCCAACCGGGTCAGTGAATCCGTCACCCAAGGTAGTAGCTTGCCAGCTTGCCAGCTAGCTACCAGCCCCAGCCAGCCAGACTCACCGCCAGAACGAAGGGGCTCTCCAGCACCTCCACCACCACCCCCGCAGCAACCATCGCCGCCGCCATCGCCGCCCTCCGAGCAGCAGGCGGCGCATCCTTCCCCTCTGCTGCACCCTGGCTGCTGTTTCCTCCCCCTTGCGCCCCTCCCCCTCCTCCTCCTCCTCCTCCTCCTCCCTGTGACATGCTGCCTACCAGCCCATGCCCCTCCTCCTCCTGTCCCTCCCCCTCCTCCTCCTTCACTCCCTCCTCCTCCTTCACTCCCGGCTCCTCTTGCCGCTGTCGTTTTGCTGCCCGTTCGGCTATCGAAACCGCATCGAAACCTGCAGCACCGGTAGCGGCTGCTGCTGGGGCTGCATCAACACCGGGAGCAGCAGCCGCAGCCGCAGCCGCAGTAGCTGCGGCGACGGCAGCAGCAGCTGCTGCAGAGTAGCCGCCGGGATGCGGCTCCCGAGTGGGTAGCGTGGACCATGGCCGCGTGCGGTGTAGCGACTGCAGCAGCAGATCTCCGTCGTACGACATCCGCAACAGCATCAGAGGTGGCTTGTAGGCGCTGGGGCCGCTGCTGCTGCTGCTGTTGGTAGGGATGATGGTGGAAAGAAGGGCGATACCCTGTTGTGTGGAACAGGGAGCGGGAGAACAGGAGAGGCAAAGTGAGAGGGTGTGGGTGTATGGGTGTATGTGTATTTCCCCCATGGACCCACCCCCATGAACCTCTACCCCCATGAACCTCTATACCCCCATGAACCTACCCCCGTATCCGGCGCCCGAGTGCTCGCCATCACAAACTCAGCAGACAGCTGCGCCGCACGCCCCCAGCGGCCCCACAGCGGGTCGCCGTACCCCACGACGCCGTACGCATGGCTCCTAGCGCCAGCCATCTCCGAAACCAACCGCTCCCCGAGCTCCTGTCGTAGCGCACGACAAGGCGGGTACGCCAGCGTGAGCACGTGCATGTCGCCCAAGCGACTGGGTCGCCAGCAGGCGTCGGCCAGCGTGCGGGGCGGCGGCGGCGGCGCCGCCGCCGCCGCCGTCGCTGCCGTACTGCTAACGCCAACACCAGCGCCGGCGCCTCCGGCGCCGCCGCCACCGCTGCCTTCCTTCTGCATGGCGACAGATGGCCCAGCAGCAGCAGCAGCAGCAGGGGTAGCGGAGGAGGAGGGAGCAGAGGAAGCAGTTGTCGTACGGCGAGGGTAGCCCGGGATGCCGTACTCCGAGGGCGGAGCCGGTAGGACGTCGATGTACGGCAGTTTGATGCCTTGAAGACCCCCGACGGCGAGACTGGTGTCTTCGTCTTGCAGCGGCGGTACCACGACCTGGTTGGGACGTTGTGTGTGGGGGAAGGGGGTACGTTAAGGAAAGGTTACGTTTAGGAAAGGTTACGTTGCGAAAGGTTACGTTGGGAGGGGTTGTACTCCAATGCACGGTCCTCGGTCAACTCTTTCTCCACCCTTACCTGGAATGATCAGCGTTTGACCACATATGGCCCTCACCAAGCCACACCACACCACACCACACACCACACCCCTTTCCACCCCCTCACCCCCTCAATTACCTTGAACGTGTGCGGCGCATCCTCCAACAGCACCTCCTGACACTGCACGTCGCCGCAACCGTCGTTCGCGAGCACCAAAACCAAGTGCACAGCTCCCGTCGCCTTGGCAGCTGCAGCAGCCCACCTTGGCGCCTGGGAGGAGGCAGCGGGATGGGGAGCGGCCTTGCCGCTGCGCTGCTGCTTACCAAGATCCGAGTACGGATCCTTGTACTGGCTCGCCTGGGTGCCGTACGCTTGGCTGCTGCCGTACGGTGGTTGGCTACTGCCGTACGGTTGCTGGCTACTGCCGCCGCCTCGTGAAGTAAAACCACGGTAGGGGCCACCAGCCGCGCCCGCCGCTGCTGCTGCTGCTGCTGCTGCTGCCGGAGAAAATTCGGCTTGTTGGCTCTGCTTGAAGCCATCTGGCTGGCTGCTGCCCTCGGCGCCGCCCCTACCTCCACCCCTGCCACCGGCACCTGGGGTACCCAGCTCGTCACCCTCCTCCTCCTCATCATCATCATCATCATCATCATCATCATCAGACTCAGTATCATCATCAGACTCAGACCCAGACCCAGACTCCTTGCCGTCGCCATCCCCTCCCACCCCCTCCTCCTCCTCCTCCTCCTCCTCCTCATCATCATCATCATCATCATCATCAACGATGCCAGCGTCCAAGTCGCGCGCGCCACTTGCACCGCCGCTCGCGCCCCCGTCAGCCACTCCCGAGCCATCGGCTCTGCCTGCCCCTGCCCCTGCTGCTTCCCCCGCTGCCTCTGCTCCTGCTCCTGCTGCCCCTGCCCCTGGTGTCCCCGCCCCTGCAGCCCGTGCGGCTGCTGCGGGGGGGGCCCAGCGTCCCACCCAGATGGATGAGAGTTTGGGCATCTGCCCCGAGGGCATGAAGTGCGCGCAGGCCAGCATGACGCTGTCCTTGGGCCGCCGCAGGTCCAGGTAGAGGATGAAGGTGTCCGTGATGGCTAGCAGCAGGTGGGGCAGCAGGCTGGGAGCGACAGCCAGCTGGGGGGGGGCGGGGGCGGGTGAGGGCGGGAACAGAGGGCGGGCAGGGGTGAGAGGGCAGCCTACTACCGGTATGTCCGCAAAGGGGAGGGACCTAACACACAGATTACGGTACGTAGTACTTACACAATTCCATAATGTTCCGGCTCACAGCCAGCCTTCGTAAAACACAGTTTTCTTAACACACATCCGACGTCCCAGTACGTTCCTACTCGCGGCCAGTTTTCTTAACACACACCCCATGCACACACCCCATGCACTGCTTGCCCTTGTTTCCGCTCAACTACACACACCCCCATGCACGCCCCGACGCGCGCCCACACCACGCCCGCCGCACCTGCGCCCCCTGCAGCGAGGCCCCCGACAGCAGGTCGTGGAAGTTGCCGTCGCGCCTGCCCAGGTACATCAGCATCCTGCGGACTCGGGTGGGCGGATGAGTGGGCGGGTGGCGGCCGGCCGGGGGTGTTGCAGGGGTGGTGTTGCAGGGGTGGTGTTGCAGGGGTGGTGTTGCAGGGGTGGTGTTGCAGGGGTGGTGTTGCAGGGGTGGTGTTGCAGGGGTGGTGGTGAAGGGGTGGTGGTGCAGGGGTGGTGCAGGGGTGGTGTTGCAGGGGTGGTGTTGCAGGGGTGGTGTTGCAGGGGTGGTGTTGCAGGGGTGGTGTTGCAGGGGTGGTGTTGCAGGGGTGGTGTTGCAGGGGTGGTGGTGCAGGGGTGGTGTTGCAGGGGTGGTGTTGCAGGGGTGGTGGTGAAGGGGTGGTGTTGCAGGGGTGGTGTTGCAGGGGTGGTGTTGCAGGGGTGGTGTTGCAGGGGTGGTGTTGCAGGGGTGGTGTTGCAGGGGTGGTGTTGCAGGGGTGGTGTTGCAGGGGTGGTGTTGCAGGGGTGGTGTTGCAGGGGTGGTGGTGAAGGGGTGGTGTTGCAGGGGTGGTGGTGCAGGGGTGGTGTTGCAGGGGTGGTGGTGAAGGGGTGGTGTTGCAGGGGTGGTGGTGCAGGGGTGGTGTTGCAGGGGTGGTGTTGCAGGGGTGGTGTTGCAGGGGTGGTGTTGCAGGGGTGGTGTTGCAGGGGTGGTGTTGCAGGGGTGGTGTTGCAGGGGTGGTGTTGCAGGGGTGGTGTTGCAGGGGTGGTGTTGCAGGGGTGGTGTTGCAGGGGTGGTGTTGCAGGGGTGGTGTTGCAGGGGTGGTGTTGCAGGGGTGGTGTTGCAGGGGTGGTGTTGCAGGGGTGGTGTTGCAGGGGTGGTGGTGCAGGGGTGGTGTTGCAGGGGTGGTGGTGAAGGGGTGGTGTTGCAGGGGTGGTGTTGCAGGGGTGGTGTTGCAGGGGTGGTGGTGCAGGGGTGGTGGTGCAGGGGTGGTGTTGCAGGGGTGGTGGTGAAGGGGTGGTGGTGCAGGGGTGGTGTTGCAGGGGTGGTGTTGCAGGGGTGGTGTTGCAGGGGTGGTGTTGCAGGGGTGGTGGTGAAGGGGTGGTGTTGCAGGGGTGGTGTTGCAGGGGTGGTGTTGCAGGGGTGGTGGTGCAGGGGTGGTGGTGCAGGGGTGGTGTTGCAGGGGTGGTGTTGCAGGGGTGGTGTTGCAGGGGTGGTGGTGAAGGGGTGGTGGTGCAGGGGTGGTGTTGCAGGGGTGGTGTTGCAGGGGTGGTGGTGAAGGGGTGGTGTTGCAGGGGTGGTGGTGCAGGGGTGGTGGTGCAGGGGTGGTGGTGCAGGGGTGGTGGTGAAGGGGTGGTGTTGCAGGGGTGGTGGTGCAGGGGTGGTGTTGCAGGGGTGGTGTTGCAGGGGTGGTGTTGCAGGGGTGGTGGTGAAGGGGTGGTGTTGCAGGGGTGGTGTTGCAGGGGTGGTGTTGCAGGGGTGGTGGTGAAGGGGTGGTGGTGCAGGGGTGGTGTTGCAGGGGTGGTGTTGCAGGGGTGGTGTTGCAGGGGTGGTGTTGCAGGGGTGGTGGTGCAGGGGTGGTGGTGAAGGGGTGGTGTTGCAGGGGTGGTGTTGCAGGGGTGGTGTTGCAGGGGTGGTGTTGCAGGGGTGGTGGTGCAGGGGTGGTGTTGCAGGGGTGGTGGTGAAGGGGTGGTGGTGCAGGGGTGGTGTTGCAGGGGTGGTGTTGCAGGGGTGGTGTTGCAGGGGTGGTGTTGCAGGGGTGGTGGTGCAGGGGTGGTGGTGAAGGGGTGGTGTTGCAGGGGTGGTGTTGCAGGGGTGGTGTTGCAGGGGTGGTGGTGCAGGGGTGGTGTTGCAGGGGTGGTGGTGAAGGGGTGGTGGTGCAGGGGTGGTGTTGCAGGGGTGGTGTTGCAGGGGTGGTGGTGAAGGGGTGGTGGTGCAGGGGTGGTGTTGCAGGGGTGGTGTTGCAGGGGTGGTGTTGCAGGGGTGGTGTTGCAGGGGTGGTGTTGCAGGGGTGGTGGTGAAGGGGTGGTGTTGCAGGGGTGGTGTTGCAGGGGTGGTGTTGCAGGGGTGGTGTTGCAGGGGTGGTGGTGCAGGGGTGGTGGTGAAGGGGTGGTGGTGCAGGGGTGGTGTTGCAGGGGTGGTGGTGCAGGGGTGGTGTTGCAGGGGTGGTGGTGAAGGGGTGGTGTTGCAGGGGTGGTGTTGCAGGGGTGGTGTTGCAGGGGTGGTGGTGCAGGGGTGGTGTTGCAGGGGTGGTGGTGCAGGGGTGGTGTTGCAGGGGTGGTGGTGAAGGGGTGGTGGTGCAGGGGTGGTGTTGCAGGGGTGGTGTTGCAGGGGTGGTGGTGAAGGGGTGGTGGTGCAGGGGTGGTGTTGCAGGGGTGGTGGTGAAGGGGTGGTGGTGCAGGGGTGGTGTTGCAGGGGTGGTGTTGCAGGGGTGGTGTTGCAGGGGTGGTGGTGCAGGGGTGGTGTTGCAGGGGTGGTGTTGCAGGGGTGGTGTTGCAGGGGTGGTGTTGCAGGGGTGGTGTTGCAGGGATGGTGTTGCAGGGGTGGTGGTGCAGGGGTGGTGTTGCAGGGGTGGTGGTGCAGGGGTGGTGTTGCAGGGGTGGTGGTGAAGGGGTGGTGGTGCAGGGGTGGTGTTGCAGGGGTGGTGTTGCAGGGGTGGTGTTGCAGGGGTGGTGTTGCAGGGGTGGTGGTGCAGGGGTGGTGTTGCAGGGGTGGTGTTGCAGGGGTGGTGTTGCAGGGGTGGTGTTGAGCCGGTCATCAGAAGGCGGGACCCGAGGGGGGGGTGGGGGTAGGAAAGCGCGCATCAACCACCAACCGGCAACAACGGAAATGACACCAACACACGCCGTCCTGATGGGCGGGTGGACGGGCCCCGCCGCCGGCCAGCCCCGTCCCCCCCCCGCCTCCCCCCCCCCCACCTGCACTCGTGCCGCTGCCCCGGCGGCCGCAGTTCCACCCGCAGCAGCGAGCGCCCCCGCGCCACCAGCAGTACCCGGGGATGAGCGCCTGGGGGGCAGCGGGGCAAGGTGGGGGGGGGGGGGGCAGGGGTAGAAAAGAAGAACACCCAATGTGTTGAATGAGGCAGACAAACAAGCCGACTAGCTTCTGGTCATGAAACCAAGGTTGTCGAGCGGAACTTGCCACACATCTTGACATGGGGCAAGGGGGTTCGGGAGGGGGTGAAACACAGTGGGACGAAACACAGTGCCGGAGAGGCACATGAGGGTGATGGTAGGGTGATGGGAAGACATGGGAATACATACGAATATGAATCAGGAGGAGTCTCGGGCGCTAGGTTCCCCTGCAGACCCCCTCCCCCCCTCCGCTGGTTGGTTCACCCCTTCCCGTCTTCCCCCTTTCCCCGCCGTTGCTCCGTGCACGTGTGCTTTGCGTTTTACCTTATTACGGTCCTTACCGCCCCCCCTCCGTACCCCCCCCCATCACAATAGCTTCCTATTCGCGACCCGTTTCGGCAATCACAGTACGTTTCTCTTCGCGGCCAGTTATCTTAACACACACACACACGCCCCCATCTTAGACAACGCTACTTCTCAGTGCGGTTCAGCTGACCGCTGCAGCCACAGCTCAGTGCCTGCTCGACCACTCGCGCCGGTTGTGTTGTCTTTGTTTTCTGCATTTGCATTCATGTTGTGTTGTGCTTGCGTTCGTCCTGTCTCACATGCCATCCTGCTTTGCCGTACATTTCGCACTTCGATCTAGGTCCATTTTGTCTCTAACTCTGTCCCCCTTTTCCTCGCTCTGGTTCATGTTCCTGCGCATGGCATTACTCGCATTACTGCAGCTGCTGGTACTGGTGCTGACTACGGCGCTTTTGCTCGCAGGTACGCAATGCGCGTTTGCACGCACGCATGCACAGCATTGTGGTGTCTCGTCTGCGTGACCAGAGCGGGGGCTCCCGGCGTCGAGTTGGTCAGCGGGCTAGGTACTCAGCAGTAATTAGTTTTCCCGACACCATCAGCATCACCGACATGCGTCGTCAACCCGCCACTCTTCTTACATCCAGCACCCGCGTTTTAAGCAGTTATTGAGTTACGTTTCAGGTTTGTTAATCTCTGCTTTGCCTCTGTTTTGACTATACTCGCGGTTCACATGCGAACCTATCCCAACTGCTTGCTCTTGTTTCTACTCAACTACACACACACACGCCCCCACCGTCGTACACCCACCGTACGCCACCCTCAGCCGCCCCGACCCCAGCACCAGCGCCATGGGCTGGTCCCCCTGCATCCGCCAGTACGTGTACGGCCCCTTCCTCTTTCGCATTTTCTCCCCCTCGACCGGCTTGTGCTGCGGGTGCATGGGCCGCAGCACCTGCCGTACATCTAGCTGGCGGAGCGAGGCGGCGTCGCCGCCGGCTGCAGCATGCGTGGAGGCGATGGCGACGGCTCCGTCGGCGGTCACGAGAGCCAGTTCGGGCAGGTGGGGGTTCCAGCAGATGTGTGCGGTGAGGCGCGGTGTGAGGTGGCTGGCGCGCCACTCCAGACGCCAGCTGCGCCTGTTGGGGGGAAAGGGGGAAAAGAAGAATCCCAAGGGTTTTAATGATGCTAGCAAACATGTGCTGACGAGTTCCTGGTGCCTGTGTGGGGGGGCGGGGTAGGGGGGGGTGGGGGGCCCGGCTAACGCGTTCGCACCCCCCCATGGTGAAGCCTACATGTGATGCAGTTCTCAAGGGTTCCTTTCCTTACCCCCTCATTACCCCCCACCTTGGCTTAAACCTCCAACCAATCCCCCACCATTCATCGTCAACGGGTCCTCCTACGGTCACAGTCAGTGGCTCACGTTACCTAGAACCCCCCACCACCCCCTCGTCAGTTTCCTCCTCTTCACTCCCGGCCTCCCCCTCTCCACACCCCCCTCACCAGTCCTGCGGGTCCACCCCATCCCCCTCTCCACACCCCCCTCACCACTCCTGCGGGTCCACCCCACCCCCCTCTCCACACCCCCCTCACCAGTCCTGCGGGTCCACCCCACCCCCCTCTCCACACCCCCCTCACCACTCCTGCGGGTCCACCCCACCCCCCTCTCCACCGCCCCCCTCACCAGTCCTGCGGGTCCACCCCACCCCCCTCTCCACCGCCCCCCTCACCAGTCCTGCGGGTCCACCCCACCCCCCTCTCCACCGCCCCCCTCACCAGTCCTGCGGGTCCACCTGGTGCGCCAGCAGCACATTCACACAGTAGTTGCACCGCACCGCCACCCACACCGCGGGGGGGGCGAGGCAGCGCTCCTCCCCCTCCTCCCGCCCAGCAGCAGCAGCAGCAGCAGCAGCAGCAGCACCGTCATGCGATGGGTGGGCGTGGGCTTTACCTCCGGCCCCAGCAGCAGCGGTCCCAGTCGGCGCCCCAGCCCAAGCCCCAGCAGCAGCAGCGGTCCCGACCCCAGCGGTAGGCCGCAGCGGTGCGGGCGCTCGGTGCTCCTTGAGCTCAATCTGCCAGATGGACTTGTTGAGCGAGAGTTGGGCGGCGGGGTAGGCCTGCAAGCGGGGCGGTGCCGCTGCGGCTGCAGCTGTCCCCGACGCAGGTGCAGGCGCAGGCGCCCCTCCACAAGCAGGCGCAGGCGCCGGCGGCATGTGGGTTTCGGAGCCTCCAGTCGGCGCAGCTCGTAGCAGCGTCAATGACAGAACCTCGCCTGTCGTACGAGGTACATCACATGCAGTACGAAAGTAGTTACAGTGCGACAGGGGAACACACGCACGTGTACCGGTTGGTGTTGAGGACAATGGTGTCGTACAGCCCTGCCCTGCCTTCGACCTTGCTCCCGGCTCCACACATAAGGCCTTCGCTCTTTCGGGCTGGGCGGGTCGGGCTGGCTCACATGTTGCAACCCATGTTGACGCCTTATCCCTCAGTCAGTTAGTTGTTTCCTCTTTACCCCCACCTATGACTGTACCCCTTCCCTCCTCTCTCTCCAATCAAGGGAGGCTTTTTCACCACAGCTTGCCACTATACCCCTAACAAGACCCTTCCTACACGCACCAGCTTATCGTGCCTATTTCACCCGCCACCAGCTGACACCCCACCCCGTCAGTTAGTTGTTTCCTCTTTACCCCCCCACCCCCAAATGTCACACCCACCAATCTGCCCCGTCGCTGAGAACACCACCGTCATGCCGCCCGGCAGCGTCAGGGCAGCTGTTCGGTTGCCTGCCAGCTCCGCAGCTGCGGCCTCGTAAGAGGGATAACCAGACGCGTAAGCAGCGTTAAGATCGCTCCAGCTGAATTTGGAGCTGCCAAATGCGGGGTCGCGCTCCGTGTTTGCGCGGATGTCCTGTGAGAGCAGGCGGAGGAGCACGTCTCGAGGCACATAGGTGCCCGGCTGCGTGGACTGCAGCCAGTTGCACTGGTCGGTGAGGAATTGCTCGCGGCTGCGATGTGGGTCGGTAGGGCGGGATGGAGGTGAGGGGATGTTAGGGATGATGTTGAAAAAGGGGGAGAATGCTAGCGTGGATTAGGCGTTGGATAAGGTGTGTGTAGATAGCCATATTTCAAGGAAGGCTGATGGATGTTAAAGGGTGTTTACGGGGTAGGACAGTGCGGCACATGCTTGCTAGCAAGATGACCTGGCGTCAATCGCCGGATGGTGTATGGCTAACATGCTTACTTTACGATGACGTCCTGCTCGTGTGGCGTGGAAAGGTAGTGATTTCTTGGTGTGAAAGTTGGTAGCATAGCAGCGGGGCCCGCCACCAGGTGGCCATGCGCCCTGGATACGGACCCGGCTGCTCGGCTCCGTGCCCCATAGATCGGTGCATCGGGATCAAAGTTTGGCCAATTTACAGGCCCTGAATAGCCCAGGTCAGCCCGCACCGCAAGGATTCCTAAGTCATCACCCTTGTCCTTCACCCGCTTGCGTTTAATTTCGGGCCCAGCGGGCCGGGCCCCTGAAACTAAAGGTTCAGCCATAACCTTGAAACAATTGTAGCTCTACCAAAGTTCCTTTGCGCAGGCTTAGGAAGTTGGCGCGCAAACGCGCCAATATCGTTAAGCGACAAGCCAGTATCTGCACGTTCCAAACAGTAAACGAATTCACAAAAAAGGATTGACCTTAATAGTCGGTTATTGTGCAAATAAGTGCCAATGATGCGCAGTACTTCCCTTCACGCACATCACGCATATGTGGGGCGTGCAGCGCTATGCTAAAGAAGAGCACTTCCTCGCATCGCAGAGGAAAACGTAAGCCAGCACCAGTCATTCACCGATTGGCTGCCGCGGCAGGATTCCGTACAGCCGCAGTCGACCGGTCTCCGATAGCATTGCCAGGTAGCCCGGAGTAGCCACCACCGCGGTCACCACCTCCTCAGCGTCCTAGCAGTTTGATCCGTCACAACGCAAGTCGCCGACATGCCGGGCCGTCAGTAGAAACATGCCAGCACGGGGGAACGAGCGAAAACATGTCAACAGCGGAGGTGCCAGTCTGAGGTTGTCGTGCCCAGGAAGCTGCTACCGCTACCGCTGCCCTGATTGAAGCATTTTGCTATTTAGATTCCTTTTATCCCCTCTGAAACCCTCAGACCTTTAACAGCTGCCCACCCACCCCTCCCCCGCCTCACCTCGACAACCTCCTCCCACGGTATTCGCTCCTCCTCCGAAACCACCCTAAAGCCGCCTCCGCTGATGCTGACGCCTCCTCTGCCGCCTCCACCGCCCCTCCTGCTCCTCCTCCCCAACCCTCCTCCTCCACCAGCCCCCACCTCCTCCTCCACCTCCTCCTCCTCCTCCTCCTCCTCTGCCCCTCCAAACGCATGCGTTAATCCTAACAACTGGTGATGCGGCGACCTCACACCTCCTCCTCCTCCTTCCCCCGCCCCTCCCCCCGCCCGCTGTCTAGGTGCTGTGAGCAGCATCAGGTCCTCACTAAGCGCCATGAGGGGCCGCATGCGGCCCAGAACCAGACTGCGGGGATGCTCCAACTGCAGCCTGGAGGGGGGGCCAAATTAGACCAGATGAAACCATAAAGGGCAAAAAAGGAAAAGAGGCGGCAGGGATGGAAGGGGGCGGGGCGGGGCAGAAGGAAGTAAGGGGGTAAGGAGGAAACAACTAACTGTCATCATCCGTAAGTTAGGGAGGGCGCCTGGAGGCGGGTGGGGCGGCGCGGGGCGTGGCGGGCGACCCCAAGTTGTTAACATGGCGATAAGTCCATGGTGCATGTGGGGGGCGGGCGGGCGGGCGGGTGGGGTAAAGAAACATCCCACCACATCCCACCATATCACATACCTGCTGGAATAGAGTCGTTGGCATTCCCCCCATGCAGCAGCACCCTCACCACCACCACCCCCCTCATCCTCGCTGTCGTACTCCACCTCCCTTCCCCTCCCCCCCCTGGCCCCGCCCGCCAACACGGCCCCAGGTAGCCTCCAAACGGCGGCGGTTACGGTGATGAGCACCGAGCTGCCGCCGCTGCCGCCGAATCGGGCCTGGCGGGGTAGGGTTGAGGGGTGAGGGGTGGGCAGGGCAGAGAAGGGAAGGGGAGAGGGCAGGGAAGGGAAGGGGTGGGAAGGGCCTGAAGGTGAGAAGCAAGCGGCCCTCCTTCAGCTCGGGCATTCCTATCTCCCTTCATTCCCCCACCTTATCACCTACTATTCCCCTTCCTTACCTTCCTTCCTTCCTTTGCCCCTCCCTCCTCTCTCCCTCCCCCCCCTTCCTCACCCCCATCACGTCATTGCACAGCACCGCCATCGTCACCAGCCGCCCGCGGAACAGCGCCAGACCGTCCCCCGGCGCCCCGCCCGGCAGCGCCAACACGTGCAGCAACTGACCCACGGGTCGCCTTCTGTCTCCTCCTCCGCCAGCCTGCTCCTCCCACCTGGCACCGCCGCCTCCGCATGCGGCTGCTGCGGGTGTCCCCCCCAGGAGCTCCGCGGCCCTGTACACGCGGACCTCGGGTGACAGCGGTGACGCCAGCAGTACGGCAGCTAGGCCGGATGCGGCACACACAGCGAGGCGGAGGCGGTGTCGGAGGGTGCTGGAAGGAGCTGTGAACGGGGTAGGAGTGGGGGTGGCGCGGGGGTGGGATGGAATTGGGAGAATGGGTGAAGGGTGGTGGGATCCCATACGAAGCGGGGGCGGACGTAGGCACGGTCAGCGAAACGCATGTACTGCATGATGCAACCAGTACCATCGACGAACAGAGCGTTGTAACTTGTAAGCCTTACAACACGTGTAAGGTAAAGCTCGTACCGGTATCCGCTCGCTGCCGCTCCCTTCTTTATCCCCCACCCCGCTTCCCCTCACCTCCCAGCTGCGGGAACGCCGGTACCACCGGCAGCCCCGTCAGTCCCCGTATGTCCGCCCACCCCAGCTGCCGCCGCTCCACCGCCCGCCAGAAACACAGCCGCCCGCCCTCGCAGCCGCTCACCGCCAGCGGACCGTCCGCAGCAGCAGCCAGCAACCGACCCGGATGAGCCTCCGGAACCAACCAGTACGGCAGCAGGGGCTGTCGTACGGCAGCACGAGGGTACGGCAGCAGGGGTTGCTGCTGCGTGTGTGGGTGCGGTTGCGTGTGCGTGTGCGGGGATTGTGTTTGGGGGTGCAGGGGCGGGGGCGGGTGCAGCTCTGTCGTGCGGGTGGCAGAGGTAAGGTCCCACACGGCGACTCCACGACCCATGGGTCCGGCGGGAAGGTACAGCAGCCCCCCTGCCGTACACATTACCGAGGGCAGCAAAGCCGCGAGGAGGTCGCTATCAGCCGCCGCCGCCTCTGCCGACGCTGCCACTGACGTCGCTGCCGCCACTGACGTCATCGCATTGGGTGTCGTACGGTGGTCCGGCGGCGACGACCAAGGTGACGACGGATCCCTGACGAGGGAGTCCAATGATCCGTTACCTGATGCGGAAGGGCCCTCCTGGTCGTCATCATCACGGCCGTCAGCGGGATCCGATACCGCGTGTTGTCGTGAAAGCGGAGGTGGGGGTGGAGGCTGCAGCTGTCCATCGGGAGACAGCATACACACCCATTGCGGTTCCCCTGCAACACCACCCGTCACTGCTGACGTCACCTCCACAGACGCGGATCCTGCAGTACGGATTCCTGCCGTACCACGTCGCTCGCTGCCTCCCTCCTCCTCCTCCGGGTTCCGCCGCTGTTCCCGGAGCTGCTGATGACCCACGGGTCGCGACTGACCCAGCGGAAGCGCCTCCACCGCCACTCGCGCTCCATCGCCCAGCAGCGTACGACAGCGTACGGCTCGTATGAGCGACTGAGTGACGGGATCGTACGCCACGGCTAGTGTCGTAATGCCGTACAATTCGTCGTACCGCTCGAGTGGCATTCCGGGGCATGGGGCCCCGGGCAGTGGCGGTGCGGGGCGGGGGCAGCGCAGCCAGGCTCTGCGGGCGCATTGCTGGCGATAGCTGCGTACGGAGGGGAGGGCAAACGGCTCATGCACAGCTCATCACCGCAAACAAATCTAGGGACTGCCGTGGGGGGTCAGTTACCCTTTGTCGCTGAGTCATCCCCCCCTTCACACAACTTAAAGCTTAACTCTGGCATTCACCGGTAGGAAACGGTGGCAACATCCCTGCCAAGGGCGCGCAAGGACTCTCCAGGGGCACAGCGGGAGAAGTAATAGCGGAAGGCTGGATACGGCAGTGGACGAGGCATATGATGTTTAGCTTGGCGTTTGGCTGGGCTACCCCTAGACTGACCCGCTGCGTCACACACCTGCCGCATGCCTCCCAGTCGTGCGGTTCGCCGTACTGCCGTACGTATAGCCGCCGCCAGGGGAGGTCCAGGGTAGCCGCCGTACGCCAGGCGCGGCAAACCAGGCAGGCTCTGGCCAGATCTGACAGGGAGGGGAGCCTGGGGGTGGGGGGCCCGAGGGCAGCGGGTGTTCACTTGGAAGGAATGGATCATGATGTGGCATCTTGTTTGAACAAGTGGTTGCTGTGGTTTAGCGGGAGGAGATTGCAGAGGCATTACTTCGTAAGTTGCGCAGGCTAGTGTGTGGCTATCTCTAAACATTGTGGCATTCATGGCATGCGAACGTCAACGCATGGTTGGAGAGGACGAGCGCTTGCCTGCAGAGAATTTCCAGAATAATGTCTTCTTTCGAGAGGGCTTCATGGGCAGGGCATTCTAGCTCGTCTGGGTCGGAGCAGGAAGAAAGAGGAGGGCCGGCGTCCGCAGGCATGCTGAATTGAGCTGCGGTCCTAGAGGTGGTGCTTAATAAGGTTTCGGGCCGTGAATTCATCGCAATATCGAGGATGGCGTTCCTTGTAAGCTAGTAGGCACCTCTGTTTGACTCGCTTACGAGGCGTGACCTACTACCGGTACATGAACAACAGGGTTGGGGGCTAAAGTCAGCCTGAACTAATGTTCAATAGACGAGGTGGAACAATTGAGAAGGACACAGGAGGAACGCCACTTAGTGCAGATCCTGGCAGATCGCAGCGTTGGCTCTGACCGTTCGTTCCAACTGCCGTCCAGGGTCCGAAAACCTGCAAAGCGAAACCTTGCGACATGCGAAACGGGACAACGCGACAGCCCTAGTGACGTTACTTGCAGGAATGGATGGATTTGATTGAAACACCGCTGCGCTGAAGTGCTTTCACATGCCAGCATGGCCTTTACTCGGTCGAACTCCGTTTACCCACTGCTGTTGATAGGGCTTCTACTACACAGTAGCTGCTGTGACATTGCTGAAGGGTTGTCGGGCTCAGCTTCAAAAAGCGACAAACGGCAGCTCAAGCGCAGCGCAGCAAAGCGATGGGAGTCAATCAACGAGGTTGTACGTGATGAAATAAAGTCGGCAACAAAGCATTTTCTGGAAGAGCGTTCTCGGGTAAGCAAGTCCTTGCAAGCGGCACGGTCGATCTTTGTCAATCGGCACAGCCGGCGACTGAACACGTTGAACAAGACATAACTTTAGCCACCCACAAAACTCTCATGTTTGATCAAACAATCAAACCATGTCAATCCGTAACAGGCGCTCATCCTGCCCATCGAAGTTGACGTGCTGTTGTTAGGCTTTGATGGTGATGGTGGCTATGGATATCAGCTTGAGCGTCAGGCTTTGGAGGAGCTGCTGGGGTCGGCAACGGGTATGTGCAGTTCAGGACAGGGTGCTTTCAATGTCCCCTTTTAGGATTCTCAACCCTCCAGCAGTACGTATTCGCTGACCTGGCATAACTTCACCGCTGCCCTGCCCTTAGCACCCCCTCCCTTCCCCCTCCCATACTTCCTCCTCCTCATCCCTCCTTACAGAGGACAACACCATATGTCCTACGGTTTGGGAGACTGGCGAGCCGGCCGCGGTTTGCTTCTCAGTCAACTACCTCACGCTTGACAACAGGCTAGTGGACAATGTGAGCGGGGTTTCGGGGCTTGATCGGGGCTCAAAACCACACTTTACCAACCATGCATCCAGCATCCATGCGTACCTCTACCCAGGACACGTGAAGCAGCCCCGCCCACCCCGTCACAGCCGGCCTGTCCACACCCCACACCCACACACGCCCCTTCCACCCAGGACGGCATGGGCGCCCAGCCGCCCTCCCGGCACCCCGCCTGCACCCTCAGCACCCGCATCCAAGCAACCACAAGCACAGGGTTTCGGTCCTGCCAGCCCTCACGCCCCCATGCATGCATTCGCTCCGAACCGCACCCAACCCCTGTCCCTGGGGTCCAGCTACCTCCTCCAACCCTGCCCTGTTCCCGCCGCCTCCTCACTTCTTCCCTCCCACCCCCACCTCCCTCCCACCCCCACCTCCCTCCCACAACCCCTTCTTCCCTCCCGACCCCTTCTTCCCTCACACACCCAGGCGATGTCCCGTCTTGAGGCGGCCCTCACAGGCAACATGGAGTGGGTGGGGGACAGGTCGCAGGTGAGGGAGTGGGTGGGGGACAGGTCGCAGGTGAGGGTGCACCGAGCAGCCCAGGATTTTAGTGCTACAGAACCTAATGAAAAATGGGTTTCTGATATTACATATTAGGAATTACATATTCCGTGGGGAATTTTGATCCCCACGGAAATACAAAAACTTGCATGCAACACAACACCCCTCGGCTTCATCGTTTCCCACATAATAGCTTCCTGTGCCTAAACTAACGCCCACCTCCTCCCTCCTCCCCACCCCCACCCCCCCCCAGGACTGGCCCGACGGCAGCAAGGAGGTGCAGGTGTTCGAGGTGGAGGCGGTGGGGGAGGTGGAGGCCACGGTGTGGGATATGCTGGACGAGGTGGGGGCGGGGGGGAGCGGTTGGGGAAGGGTGGGGGGGTGATGTGTATGGCATGGAGGGGGGGGGAGAGTGTGGAGGGGGGGGGGGGTACGGTGTTGGGCGTGTGTAGGCCCCCTGCACACCTCCACGAGCCCTCGCACTGCCGTACTCGAAGAACACCTCCACATGCCCGCCCCAGCATCTGCTCCTCCCTGCCTGTTGGGAACATCTGGACTTGCAGCTCCCGTCCTGTCCCTTCCCATCCCCCACCCCTCCGCCCCCCCCCACCCCACGCGGAATCTTCATCCCTATTAACCCCCCACCCCACCCCACCCCCGAAACCCCACCTCCCCCCGCACCTCCCCCCGCACCCCCCCCGCACCCCAGGCGTACGGCGGGCAGCAGCCCGAGATCAACCGCGACCAGCACAGCCAGATCGTCATCATCAACCCCAGCAAGCTGCGGATGAGGCCAGCGCTGCCGCCGCCTCCACACCAACACCTGCAGCAGCAGCAACAGCAGCTGAATTTCGGGGCTGCTAACGCAAACTTCATTGCGGAATGGAAGAGGGGCGCTGTGGACTCCTCGCATGTGGTGGACCAGGAGGCGGGGTTCCTCTACCGTTACCGTTACAACGGTCGCGGCGGCTCGTCGGCGTTCGTTGGGCAGTACAACTTCATCGTCATTGACATCAGTGCGGGGCCCGTGTCGTACGGACCGTTGGCATCACCCTCGGGAGCCGTTGCGCCAACCGCCATGCCTCGTCTCATGGTGCGCCTCTCGTGCGTGCGGCTGAGCAGGAGCCGTACCTGTCTTGTTGCAGCAGGAAGGAGTGTTAGGAGACGGTGTTAGGAAACGGTTGGTTTACAGTTTCTCGTGTGGTGTTAACAAACCCCCATGCAAACATGTTTCCCTTTCTTACCCTTCCTTTCCCACTCTCCTGCTGATTTCCTATGCTCTGGTCTTTCTGTTAACCCCCAATTGCCCCCCCCCCTTCTCCCCCCCCCCCCCCCGCAGCCCCTGCTGCTCCGCATGACCCAGGAGCTGGAGCAGCACCCGCAGCCCGGCACCCTGCGTGAACACATGCTGGCGGAGGCGGCGCGGGGGCAGTCGGCGGTGTTCACGGGGCAGCTGGCGGCGGCGGTGGCGGCGGCAACAAGACACCTCTTCGCCTCGGACTTGCTGATGAGCGGCGCGGAAGCGCTAGCGGGGCCGCAGACTGGGGCGGGAGGGGGAGGAGGGGGAGAAGGAGGGGGGCTGTGGAGGGGGGGAGCGGCGAAGGCGGCGGAGGGGCCGAAGCGAGTGGCGGTGCCAATTGTGGTGATGCAGGTGAGGGAGGGAGGGGTGGGGGGAAAACGTTGCGTGTGTGCCGTACCGCTGGCCTGCCTCCTTCCGACTGCCGCTGCCCAGCACGCGCGAAAACACACATACACACCCACGTACGTTCCTACTCGCGGCCAGTTTTCTTAATACCCACCCACATGTTCCCATGTCGTTCTCATGCACATCCCCGCCTTTCCTTGCCTCCCTCCTCACCCTATTCCCATTGCTTTGCCCCTACCTGTGGTTTCCTATGGTTCGGTATGGTCTTTGACCCCCCCACACACCTTTCCTTCCCCCCCTCTCCCCCCAGGACCACACTCGCGATCTGGAGGACGAGCGCTCCTCCCCCTCCCGCTGGGTGGACACGGATGCCGTACAGATGGCGCTGGACGAGCTGCTGCCCGCGCACGTGCAGGGGGCGGTGTCTGTGAGCCGCCACCTGTTGAGCCATCACAAGGAGCTGGCGGCGGCACTGGTGAAGGCACGGCAGTCCAGGTGAGGGGGGGGGGGCACGGGGTAAAAATAAGGAAAATGTGATGTGAGTTTACAGGGTGGGGCCCCTATCAGGGCTGCCACAGACCAATTGACGGCTCGTTAATTCAGTTATAGTTTTTTTGACAGTAGTTCTTGCTCAGTATCCGTCGCTCCGTATCTGTAGTAACTGTTAACTGCGAATTGCTCATTAGCAGCAATACCTGAGACGGGTATAGTTTTCTGATATGTTACAGTTATAGTTTTCTTGACAATAATTTTCCCTTGTCAACATCCATAGTAGCTGTAAACTGCGAATTGCTCATTAACCCAGTTATAGTTTTCTTGACAATAATTTTCCCTTGTCAACATCCATAGTAGCTGTAAACTGCGAATTGCTCATTAACCCAGTTATAGTTTTCTTGACAGCATCCCCCCACTCATCCCCCCCATCATATCCTTTATCCCCTCCCCCCTCCCGCAGGTCCGCCGCCGTGCTAGCTCAGCCCCCCTCCTCCGGCCTGCACCGCAGCCTCACCTCTTGGCTGTCCCCGCGCGCACTGCTGCGGGAGGTGCGCCGGGCGCTGCGGGACGAGGAGCTGCTGGCGGGTCTGGCGCCGGCGGTTGGGGAGGACTACGTGGCGATGCTGGGGGAGATGGAGGACGTGGGGGAGTTTATTGAGGGGAAGCGGCACGAGACCAAGGTAGGAGGGCGGATGATAAATGAAAAGTGAGGCAGCGGAGTCGCAGTAGAGGAGGGGGAGGAGAGGGAGGGTGGGGTGTGTGTGTGAGGGGGGTTGAATGTGTTTTGCAGCGGTTCCTGTGGTTTGATCATATGGTATGGTTTTTGTTGACCCGCCGCCCCCATGCCTCCCGGCCCCCCCCAACACTTTGTCTTGCGGCGCCCTGCCAACTCCTACCCCCATTGCTTTGCCCTAACTTGTGGTCTCCTATGGTTTGGTATGGTCTTTGACCCCCCCCTCCCGCCACATGCAGGTCCTGCCCGTGTTCGTGTTCTCGCTGGAGCGCGCCCCGGACCAGCTGCTGCTTGAGGGCGGGCAGCTGGCGGCGGCGGGACCGGACGTGGTGGCGGTGCTGCAGCTGCTGGGCAGTGTGAGGGGGCGGGAGGGGGGGCGGGGGGGGGGGGTAAGGAAACTGGCCGCGAGTGTGTGTGTGTGTGTGTGTGTGTGTGTGTGTGTGTTTTGGATCCATTGAGGGCTGTGTATGCAACAGCCATGTGCTGGCGGAACAGAAAGGCACTTTCATCCCCCCCCTCCCTCCCGGGTCGGGATTGCCTCTGCTTTAGACAGCTGTTCATGCATTCTTAAGCCTCGTAACCCCACAATTGTTACCCTTCCCCTCTCGTAACATGGCATTGCTATTCTTTTTTCATTCCTTTCCTTTCCTTTTTGAATGTCTTTTGACCCCTCCCCCCCTCTCCCCCCCTCTCCCCCCCTCTTTCCCCCCCAAGCCCTCCCTGGATGACTACTCCCGCGGCCGTGTCTACAGCGGCCACATGAGCGAGGGCCACCACCTGCTGATGGACGCGGGGGAGGCGCCCACGCGCGCCATCATCGCCGGCCTGGCCACCGCGCTGGGCGGGGTGGTGCCTCCGCAGCAGCGGGTGTGTGGCGCGGAGGGGCAGGTGGTGGAGGACTGGCGCTGGGCGGTGGGGGCGGTGCCCTGGGGACCGTACGGCAACTACACGGGGATCAGGTGAGGGGGGTGGGAGGGGTGAGGGAGGGGTGGGGGAGGGAGGGAGGGGAAGGGTGCGGGGTTTGATGTGCAATGGTTTGCTGGTGGGGGGCAGACGAGGGTGATCGGTACGGTCATTGACCCCCCTTCCCCCTCCCTCCCTCCCTCCCCCCCTCAGCTCCATCTTCGCCGCCACCGTGCACCGCAACCTGCTGCTAGCGCGCATAGAGCGGCCGCTGAGGCGCCTGATCGCCTCCCTGGAGCGGCTGGACGCCTTCATTGCGACACACCTGCAGGGACCCTTCGCCTTCCTGCACCGCAAGCAGCCCCACCCCTCCGCCTCCTCCTCGGATACGGACTCGGTGTCCTTCTCTCGGATGCTGCCGCAGCACCACTTGCTGGACGATCTGGCCAGGTGAGCGGTGTGTTGGCGGCGGGAGGTGGGGGAGCGGTGCGGGCCATTGTGATGACGGGCCATTACGATTGGGCCGCGTTGCCAAGCGCAGCCTGTAAGGAAACGCTGCCAAGATCGGAACCTAATGGCGCAAAACGAAAGTCCTAGAATCTTTCCTTGCCCATCTTTCCCCCTCCCCCCCAATCACCTGCAGGCAGCACCTGCGCTACCAGAACGACTCCTCCCCCGCCGCCCTCCTGCGCTCCCTGGTCGCCCCCGCCGCCGCACTCAAGGCCCGCCTCACCTCCGCCGCCTCCTCCAACACCTCCTCCTCCCCCACCTCCTCGCCTCACGAGGAGGCGGGCGGGGACCATGGGGAGCATTACCACAGTGATGGAGGAGAGGAGGGGCAGCAGCAGAAAGAGGGGCAACAGCAGCAGCAGCAGCAGGGGGTGGAGGACCTGGTTGCGGACCAGCAGGTGCTCAGTCCCAACGTGGCGCAGAGGCTCAAGGTGGGTGCCGCAACCCCCCCTCTTCCCCCCCGGTGGTGGTGGCGTCTGCGTTAGCTGCTCCCCGTCAACTGCCGCTCGCTGCCGCTGCTGCTGCCGCTTCTGTTGCTCGTGTGGTGTGGTGCGGTGTCTTCCGTCGTGCCACTGCTGCTCCTTCAGCTGCTGCTGCCTGCTCCATCCTCGTTGCAAACCCGCACTGGCAGGCAGGCAGCCAACTACCCCTCTTACCTCTGCCCCTCCTTCACCCCCTGCTCTCCCTCTCTCCCCCTCCTCCCGCCCCCCTCCTCCCGCCCCCACATCTCAGGAGTCTCTGGACCGCATCGGAGAGCAGTTGGAGCAAATCGGCTTCCTCCTGTACAGGTGGGCGGGGGGAGGGGAGGGGGGGTTGAGGGGTCTGTTAATTCTTGGACCTTCAATCTGACTGTTAGCGTTTCTCCTCATCCCACGCGCGCCCCCCTACCCGCAGTCGCAGCTGGGCCGAGCTAGATGACCAACTGCCCCTGCTGGCGGCCGCCGTGGACGCCTTCACAGCAGCTGTGGACTCGGATCTCCGTACGGCAACTGAAGTACTCGAATGCTGCGCAGTACGACACGAACCGTACGGCAACAGCGGCATGTGGTTTGCCGTACTTGTGATCGTGCTGGCTTTGGTTGGGTTTGGGGTAGCTGCGGGGGTTGCGATTCGGAGTCAAGAGGTGTATAGGGGGGGTAAGGGGGGCGGTGTGTTACCGGGAGGGGGCGCGAGGAGGAGTGGGGGTGGTAGTGGGATGGGGAGCAGGAGTGCGAGTATGGGGGGCTTGCTGGGTTTGAATCGGGGGAAGAGCAGCTCGGGGTCCCTGCATGGAGGTGCGCTGCCCATGTATGAGGGCGTGCGGGTGTAGGTGTGTGCAGGTGGTGGTGGTGGTGAGGAAGGATAGGGGGTATTGGTAGTGAGGTATGTATGAGCTTGTGAAAGGAGGTGGGTGTTGAGATAACTGGCCGCGAGTAGGAACGAAACGTACTGGATTGCCGGAAGATGATGTCCACGCCAAAACGCCACGCTAGCCCGGGAGGAGGTGGGTGTGTAGAAGTGCGTCAAGCATGATGTAGGTAGCGGTTTTGTGCACCGTATGCTGAAGGCTTTGTTCAAAGGGTGGGCTAGCTAAGTAAAGCTCATGGTGGCAAAAGAATGGGGGAGATGCGGATCGCGGTGAAGACAGGCAGTTTTAAACCATTCTTACGAACGTCTCTTGCAGCATTGTCCCCTGCACCTGCAGCTAGCCTGGGTTGCATGCAGCAAGGGCAGGGAAAGTTGCTGCTAGGCCTGATAGTGAAATACAGTGGGGGGGAGACACGAAGAGCAAATCATGTGGTGTAATTCCTAATCGGTTAGCAAACGTCGGGCCAACAAGTAAGGTAAAGCGAGCATGGTGGGATCACTGGGGGGGTCCCTGCAGCCCGCTCCCGCATGTCCACACATGTACATGTACCCTTGGCGTGGGGGGAAAAAGAAATTCCAAAGTGTGGGGAGGAGGAACGCCGCACGTGGCTGGCGCGCTGCAATGCAATGCATGACAGCACGCAACAGTACAGCTCGGTAGGCCTACACGCATCTAACCCCCTCCATACTAAATGATGCCTTATCACACGGTTCGTTAGTCGTTTCCTCTTTACCCTCCTACACAGCGCTTCATTCCCGCACGCACGCGCGTAGGGGACCCGATTCCTTTAATCTGATACAAGCAGACGTGTTGTACTCACTCCTTTAGTAAGCCCTTCACGTCATGGGGGCCCCACATCATGCCTAAATCCTGATCCTCCTCTTCCTCCTCCTCTCCATCATCATCACCCGCATCACCATCAATCCATCCTCTATCACATGTCATCCCCACAGCATTACTTGGGCGCCTGCCAGGTCGCCTTGATCCGCTTGCGCTCCTCCTCCACAGCCGACTGGAAGGCGGGCGAGTGCCAGTGCGTGCCACGGCGGATCTCGCCGCTGTCGATAATCTGAGGGGCGAAACAACACAATCCAAGATACAATACAACAAACAGAAGTCGGGAGAAGTCGGGACGAGGCGACCGGCCGAGGCCGCGGCAGGGATCACGGGTGGGTTACGTCAAAAGCAGACGGACGCATGGCAGGCTGAAGTGAAGACGAGTGGAACAAAGGGCAAGGGACTGCTTAGAGCTGCACATCTGCATGCGCATGGTGGTGATGACAGGGAGATGCGCCTCCCCCCACGGCTTGTTTGCCAGCCTCATTCAACACACTGGGTATTCTTCTTTTCCCCCCCACCCCACTCAACACCTGCGCGTCCTTGCTGCCCGAGTGTTCGTTGCCGGGCTCCCCGTGGGCCAGCGCGTTGATCTCGTAGGCCACGTGGTGCCTGCGGGGGGGGGCAGGGGGGGGGCACGGAGGAGGCGGTGGAGGAGGAGCAGGAGAAGGGGTTGGTTGGCTTTAGAGCATGTGGCGTGCCCTTTGGCACACACAGAGCGAACACCTCTAAGCTACGGTTAAGCTGAGCAAAGGCAAGCCAAACTGAGCAGAGGTAAGCTGAGCAAAGGCACCGGTAGGTAAGCTAACGGCTACACAGCTTCGCTAGCTTGGCTAGCTCAGCACCGCTCAGCCCGCTCAACCCCGCACTCGTCAGTCGTGCGAGCTCAGGCTGGGTCACGCACCCGTCCACGATCTCCCCGAATATGGTGTAGTGCCCGTCCAGGTGGCGGGGGGCGCCCATGATGATGGAAAAGTGCGCGCCGTTGGTATTGGGCCCGATGTTAGCCATGGAGAGGAGACCCTGGGAGGGGGTGGGGCGAAGGGAAGGGAGGGAGGCGGGATGAGTAGGGCGTAAAATGAGGGGGATATTAAAAAAGGCATGCTGTGAAAGGGTAACAAGAGAGGCAAAAACCTTGGGAAAGCAGGAGGAGTTGATTACTCAATACTTCATCCTCCTTCTCCTCCCCACTCCGCATTGCGGTCAACCCTATACGCTAATACACGCCCCCTCCCCCCCCGCTGCTCCCGCTCCCGTACCATGTGCGTGTGCTGCAGCTTCAGTCCCTCGCTGTCGTCCCGAAACAGCCCCCCCAGCGGCGAGTCGGTGACCTGCCCCGCCTGGTCGATGAAGCCCTCGATGATGCGGTAAAAGTAGATTCCCTGCGTGCTCGTGGGGGTGAGGTGGGGTGGGGGTGCAGGAGGAGGTGAGGGGGGTTGGGGGTGAGGTGAGGTGGAGGTGAGGTGGGGTGGGGGTGAGGCGGAGGTGAGGTGGGGGTGCAGGAGGTAAAGAGGAAACAACCAACTGACCGTGTGATAACCCATCATCATGGCTTGCAACGTGTGAGCCAGCCCGACCCGCCCAGCCCGACTTAGCCAAGCCAGGAGGAGGGTGCATGAGGAGCGGATAGGGGGGGCCACACACCTCGGAACTTGTCATCTTGTTCTCCGTCCTCATTCAACACATTGGGTATTCTTCTTTTCTCGCCCTCCACACCCCCGGCCCCTCACCTTGAAGTGGTAGGGTTTGCCCGCTCCCTCATGCCCCGGGGGCGCCACTCCCGCCTCGCCTGCGTGCCCCGAGCCACGTCACATACACATGTTCCCCTAACACATGAGGTCACTTATGTCACGTGTCACATACACAACACATGCCAGCATGTCACATGTCACATGCCATGTCGGTTGCTAGGGCAGCATGACACAGAGCAGCAGATGGCGCATGGAGCAACATGCTCCGGCACACCAAACGCCCGTAGCCATGGTACGCAGCGAGCTGCTAACAGCGTGCCAACCTATCGTCAAAACGTAGCCATGCATGCAGCAGCAACAAGCAGCAGCAGCACCTCCACGCTCCCATGCTCACACTCGCCACCCCACCACCACCAGCGACACATGGTGGCGGTAAAAACACATGTTTCCTCTTTCCTCCCTCCACCCGTACGCACCGCCCTCCTCACCCGTGCACAGCAGCCTAAAGTTCTCGGCAGCCAGCGGCGACTCCTTCACGAACAACACCATCTCGATGCGGCCCGCGTACACTCCCTTGATGGCCACCTGGGGGGGACGGGGGCGGGGAGGGGTTGATAGTCGGGAGGGGGGGCCGGGGGAGGGGTTGAGGAGGACAGGGATAGGGAAAGGGTTGAGGAGGAAGACGTCTGCATCACCAGTACCACAACCCTTCGCCCCCCCCTTCCACCCCCCTCACATCCAGGTACACCAGCGGCAGGGCGCTGTCCTCGTACAACTTGCGCAGCCGCTGCAGCTCGCCCGGGGGCTGCTTGCTGGGGGGGAGGGAAGAGCAGGTGCGGTGAGGGTGGGGGGTAGAATAAACCAAACCACAAAGTTAGGGCGGTGAGGGTGGGGTGAGGGACGTGGGAAAATGAAAGAGGACAGCCCGAAAGGATTGCGCCCAAGGACTGCTCCCAACCTATACACTGGGAGCAGTGCCGGGAGAGACCCCAGACACCTCCCAGCCTCCTCGCCCGCCACCGTCCATTCTTCTCCTCCCCTCCTCCTCCTCCCCCCCCCCGCTCCCAGGTTGACGCCTTATCCCTCAGTCAGTTAGTTGTTTCCTCTTTACCCCCCCGCTCCCTTACCTCCTCCACGCCACTCTGCGCTGCTCCGCCTCCACCACCGCCCTGAACTCCGGGCTGCTCACGATGCTGCCGGGGCGGGTCTGCCCCGCATCCACGATCTGAGCCGCCTTGGACTGCAGCAGCTCGTTGTTGGGCCGCCCCTTGGCCAGCTGGTTCACTCGCTCAGCCACCTGGGGTGCAGGGAGGGGGGGAGGGAGGGGGAAGGAGAGGTGTATCAGTACCACGGGTCAGGGCAAAGCAATGGGGATAGAGGGAAGCAGGTCGCAGGGAAGGGGGGGAAGGGGAGTAAAGAGGAATCAACTAACTGACTGAGGGGAAGGGAAGGGGATTAGCAGGAGGTGGATAGCCCGCACTGAGCTGGCTGCATTAACCGCCGCCCTTTCCCCCCGCCCCGTCAAGACTGCAGATGCGCACGTGCGCCGTACCAGCGTACGTCCCCCGCGCCCCCGCCCCTACTCCCAACCCAACACGTCAAAACACATCCAAACACGCGCAGACACGGATACCCCCGCCTGCCCCCGCCCCAACCCAACCCAACCCGCCCAAACCAACGCACGTCAATACACACACACTGACACACACGCGCCCCTACCTGGATGCCCGACACGATCTCCCCGAATATGGTGTAGCTGCCGTCCAAGTGGTGTGCCGGGCCCATGATGAGGGAGAAGTGGCCGCCGTTGGTGTTGGGGCCGCCGTTGGCCATGGAGAGGAGACCCTGAGGGGGGGGTGGGGAGATAAAATAAATGCAAGGGGTGGGGAGGGAGGGACGGAGGGAGGCGGGCGGGGCCGATGGTGGTGAGTTACGGCAGCGTGTGGGGAGAGTTAAGCCCCTAACTCCTCAATCAACTGACAGCCGCAGAGAACCGACATGGTAGGTTATACGCGTGTGCGTTAAGAAAGCTGGCCGCGAGTCGGAACGTAGGGTGATTGCCGGAAGATGAAATCCACCCACAGAAACGCCACAGGAGCCGAGGAGCGCACCTCTTCAAACCTGGCTCCCTCCCTCTTTACCCCGACGTGCCTAGTGTTAGTAAACGGGCCCCACCACACACATACACACGCGGCCAGTTTTCTTGACATGCACGCACGTGCCTTGTGTGTGTGTTTCAGCGCCAGGCCCCCCGGGTCATCGTGGAACTCCCCGTCGTAGATGCCGTCCGCCTCCGCCCCCGTCTGGTCGATGAAGCGGTCTGGGAGGGGGGGGGAGGAAGGGGGGGAAGGGGAGGGGAGAGACGAACATCCAATGTGTTGTGGGGGAGAGGCGGGTGGGAGACGAGGGGAGGAGAGGGGGACAAGAGGAGGATGGAGAGCAAAACCGTGTCAGCAAGCTCACCTCCCAGACTCAGATCAGGGGCTGAGGGGGCTGCCAACGGCATCCTAAACACACGTGTCCCCATACCCCATCACTCACCCCCCCCCGCCTAACCCCCCTTCCCCTCCCACCTATGATGCGGTAGAAGTAGCTGCCCTTGAGGTGGTAGCGGCGGCCCTGCGTGTTGGTGCCCTTCTCGCCTGCATGGGCGCAGACCGCAGACCGCAGTTGAGGCATCTGCTGACACGCATCGGACAAGCACAGTGTTGCAACACAGCAAGAGCAGGAGCTGGAGCAGCAGGGGCAGCAGCCGAGCCTCTCTTGCGAAGGACAGAGCTGCAATGTCTGCTCACGACACACCATTACAAACACCAAGAACAACCCCTCCCCGCCCCTCTCCTCTCGCTCCCTCCCTCACCGCCCCCCCCCTTCACAACCCCCCTAACTCCCTCCCCCCTACGCACCCCCCTCCCTCCTTCCCCCCCTCTTCCGCGGATCAGTTTATCCATTCCCCCCCTCACCGCTGCACAGCAACCGCATGTTCTCTGCTGCCCTCGGCGACTCCTTCACGAACAACACCATCTCGATGCGACCCAGCAACGTGCCGTTCAGGGCCACCTCAATCCAGACCTGACATCAGTCAACCAGGAAGCCAAGCAGAGGCAGGTGGGGGCAGCAGTGGAGGGAGGAATGGACGCAGGTGGGGGTAGGTGGTCAGGCAGGCGGTCAGCGAGGGAACAAGGAGTTAGGGGTGACACCAAGCAGGGACGACTGACCCTCCCACCCTCCCCACCAGCGGCAGCTCCGGATCCTCCCTCAGTCGCTTCAGCCGCTCCTCCTCCGCCTGCACGAGCCGGAGGGGGGGAGGCAGGGAAGGCAGGAGGGGTGAGAGAGGTGGCAGAGGGGAAAGCCAATGGCGGCATGCAGGCGTGTGCTGGGTTGGGGCGACAAGCGGCTAGTTGTTGTTGTTCAGGGGGGGGACAGCAGCGCCTTCCTTGCTTGTCCTTTAGAGCACCCGGGCGCTGATGTGTGAGCAGCAACAGCAGCAACCGAAGCGCAGACCTGCTCCCCCCAACCCCTCACCCAGCCCCCACCCCCCACCAGCCCACACCTTGAGCGCCGCCTCGTGTTCCCGCAGGTATGTGTCGTACTCCTCCTGGCTGTACACCGCCCCCGCAGTCCAGGAGATGCCCGAGTGCCCCTGCCCGTAGTTGTCCATGATGTACGACAGACTGTTGCGCTTCAGCCAGCACTCGCCCTGTAGACGTGGGGGTGGGGGTGGGGGATGAGGGTCATGGGAGAGGGTCATGAGTGTACGGTGGTATAGGACCGGAGAGAGGAGACTGGAAGGAGGAGATGGGAGAGGGATGGGCGGGAACGTATGGGGCAGGAGTTAACCCGTCAGCATCAAGCGGAGGCCCCAGCAAGCACAGCGCTTTGGAGCGCCTCTCTTCCCTGCTTTGGCTCCCTCCCGTTCACCATCTTCCTTGTATTGCTGTTCCGACCACCCCCACCTCACCATAGCACCCCACCCACCTCACCCCCGCCCCAACCACCCCCCACCCCACCTTGGGTCTCGGCGGGGTGGTGTATCCGCACCCCTCCTCCCGCCCGCAGTAGACCCAGATGTTGCAGCCGGGGGAGGTGGCGCACGAATCGCAACACTCCGCAGCGCTGGCCTGGAGGGTGGTGGTGGGTGGGGTGTGAGGGAGGAGGGAGTGGGTGGGGGCGGTGTGACGGGGGTAGTGTGAGGGCGGTTAGTGGGGGGGCGGAGGGAGGTTAGTGGTATGTACCGTGGTAGGGAGGGAGGCTGGTAGGGAACACCGCTGGCCTGGCGGGTGCGACGTGTGACAGGGGTAGTGTAAGGGCGGTGACAGGAGGGAGCGAAGGGGAATCCAACCATCAAGACTACAGGCAAACCAGCCAGCCAGCAGAACCCAACGGCCCGTGTTTGCCGAAGCCAAGGCAACCGACGAGGGCAGGGAGAGGGTGGTGGCGAAGTGCAAGCCACGCAGTGGTGGTGTGCCCCCCAGGGCCCCTACCAGCTTAACCCGTATGAGGGGACCTCCTGGCGTACCTTGATGTTCTTGTCGCCCCAAGTTACCACGTCGCCGTGGTACTCGTTGTTGTCATCGATGTGACATTTGTCGCCCCCATTGCCGCTGCCGCTAGTGCTACTGCTTACGCTGCTGCTGCTCCCGGAATTCGAGTTGTCCGTTGTCTCACCTCCAGCACCGTTCACGACCATGCTTCCTGCCTCGCCTAGCCTTCTTGGCTGTTGGACTACATCGTGGTGGTGGTGGACTGGGGAATCGCGGGGTGTTTTCGAGCATTAGGTTTATTACCGAGCACGAGAAGCTTACAGCAAAATTCTTACCAGTATGCAGCGACCAAACCATAACGCCGACGGCCAGCGCGAGGCCCGCAAGCAGGATCAATGTGTGAACTGGTATTCCTGGACCTCCCTTACGGGAGGCATACCGGGTAGCTGATCTCATGATGGACTCTACTTTGCGCTAGTTCGCCATGCGGAACGGAAACGCGCGAGTTTTCGCGCAACAAGAGGCCGCTGTGAAAAGACGAAAGGCTCCTCCCGTTCAAAAGGAGCCAACACTTAAGAAAGACAACAACCAAGCAACTTTGTATTATAATAGGACAATCGTATAGCTGGAAGAACTGACAAGGAAGCCAAAAATACAAACTTTCAGAAATGGTTACCGGCCCTAGCTACCGGTAAGCTTTATCCCCAGTTATTGCTAAACTTGCGACAGCATACTAAAGAAACATAGGTAAGCATACCTAGAAACGTTACCGTAGCAACGACAAACTGGCTGTACGGGAGGAAGAAGTTCAAGAGCCAGAACCAAACAGATAGAGCATACCGGTACCATGTGCAGCAGAGACATACGTGAACATAGTCTTACGTGAAATTCAATTCTTTCCAATCCGTTTCCATGATATGGGCATCGATTCCCGAGCTCTGTAATCCAGAGGCCACTGCTTCGCACCCAACCACCAAATCCATCGCCCTCACCACCTGACCTTCACACCCTCCCATCTACCCACCCACACCTGCCACACAGCCCCAGCCATCCCCAACCCCATCCATGAGCCTCGTCCCTGCTCACGCCCACCACCCTGCAAGCCGCAGCCACCCACGCTCCAGCCACACCGCCGCCTGCTCCGCTGCCCCACACCCCGCACCGTACACCGCTCCTGCCGTACTGCCAACGAACTTCCCAACCACCTCGCCAATGCGGCCGGCGCTGGCTCCGAAACCGGCTCCGAAACCACCACCTTGCAGTACAAGGGTTCCTAGCGGCGGAGACTCCAGGGCCGCCCAGACTAGGACGCTCGCTGCCGCCAGCAGCAGCAGCGTTGTGGCCGCTAGTAGCCAACGTGTCTGTCGGCGACACGGGAAGCAAGCGGAGGAGGCGGCGCAAGAGGCAACGTAAGAGGCAAAAGATGAACACGGCGCGAGAGGATGTTCCAAACGGGACCGAATGTCACAGGGGAAGCTAGCGGATGGCAGGTACATACGGTATACGGCACACTCAGCCGTATCCAACAGCAGTCCACAACCCCACCTGCGACAGCCGCCGGCGCAGCTGCTGACGCTCCAGATCAGTCTCCGATGCGGCCTTCTCCGCTGCCTTATTGTACGTGTTGTTGTACGGATTTAGTACGATAGATAGTACGACAGGGTTGGGGGACCCCAGCAAGCGGCATCATCAGTGGACGCTATCGCGGCATACATAGCTTGTGCTCCCATCGCAACGCTAGGCGCCTTCCGTTACTGCAAATACTAGGGATGCAGCAAACTACCGGTATATGGCTAGGCCAAAGAAAAAGCTCTGATACCAACTACCAGACAAGTAAACGCCAGGTTACCTGGCGTGTAACTTCGGCCTCCACTAGACGCTGCTTCAACTCGAAAACCTGCCAGACCGGCAGCAAAAAGCGGAGCATGTACGCAGCAGCTTACCCACCGGAGACTGACCCACGGGTCAGTCGGGTCTGGGAAACCCGCATGCAGGCATGCCCTTGCACGCACACACCTTATTACACCGCACCACGCAATCCGCAACAAATGAGGCAGCAGGGCGTCCGTGCTCTCGCTCCCCAACACTCCAGCTTTCTTAGCGCACCTGGTGTTCAAGCTGCTGGTTTCGGGCCGCCTGGGGTGCAGGCCGCATGAGAAGCCGGAGGTTGCGGGGGTCCAAGGTGGGTTTCAGGGTAGGCCGCGGTGCAGGGGGAGGAGCGAGGAGGTGGGGCAGGGCAGGGAAGGTAGGAGGTTGCCGCAGGGAGTTCAAGGACAGCAAGTTTGAGGCTGGCATTGCTTTGTAAAGGCTGGAACACAGCTTAGTAAAAGCATCCTGCTTTGGCAGCTGCAGTCCCTGCAGAACTGCAGAAGCGCCTTACGCAGACGTTGCCGCGGCATCCTAACAGCCCGTGTTATGACACACAGATAGAGAGTCGCGATGCGCCATGGACCAAGCTTGCGGCGGCAAACCTGATTTCTATTTGCTTTTGCTCACCTCTTCTGGACCGTTGAAGCGGTGGTTAGCGGAGCCAGCAGCGCGGGCAGCGGTGGCGATTACGTTCCTACTTCTTGGCCCAGCTGTTACCAAAGTTGCCAGCGTCACCGCCGGCGGTGCTCGACCCAAGCGATGTTGTATAGGCCGCCAAATATTATAAGAACTAATTGACAACTCCCACTTCTGATTGCGAAATGCAGTTGTCGCAGAGCGAGAGAAACGACGAGGACCAAGCCTACTGTGGGAGCCGTTGCACATGAAACTAGCAGACATGAGTAAGAACTTGGAACTCTGTAGGGATTAAGGACTAAAAGAATGTGCGGGGAGGCAAAGGAGCTAGGACTATTCTTGTTGCGTACAGCACTTTGCTTGTGCCGCATGACTGACGGTCGCGTCAAAGGATCTGCTGATATGCGACGCCAAAAATGCAATAACAGTTATACCAGCTATGGGGTCTCATTAGGCTGTGAGCTGGTCATAAGACATGCGAACGACCCTTGGGTCCCAGCAACCAATCAATGAGTTAAAAGATTTTTTTTCAGCAGCACAAACGCCACAGCGTCGGATTGCGGCATCTGAGATGCGCCTGGATAACGCGGACTGACAATAGTGTGATAGCGATTTGCACAAGCCATGCAAGCAAGCAAGCAATACCGCCGACGGCAAGCATAGGCCCCCCGCCGCTTGCCGGCGGCCCGTCCGTGAGCCCATTGGCCCCAGAACTGTAAGGAGGACCACTTCAGGCAAGTTCAACATGCACGTGGCAAATGCAAGCTGAAGCCATCCCCGTTCCGCAGCAGCCGATATCTTGGCCTTAATCATCGCTTGCATGCTTGTAGGTATACGCCCACTTAAGGGCTGCTGTGCCCCATGACGGTATGCCAGATATGGCTTGATGTCGCGCGATTTCGTTCGTTTTCGTACGGCATTATCGAGGCGGAATCGTCTACAGCCGAAACCTTTTGCTTACGGAAATCTTTCTATGCTATCTGACGTCCAAGTAACTTTAGTATATGTCGACTCGAGCGGAAAGACGCGAAATACAAGACAGTCAAGTAAGTATAATATGCGCGGTTGCCCTGCGGAGTGAGCTGAACCATTTTGCAACATTAATAGGCAACATCCATATATCCTTTTTGCGATTCACAGTGGCAACGGAAGCTACTCGCTCGGATGGATAGTACGATTGCCACGGATTTCGTCCTGGTTAGGCATGGCGAGACGGACTGGAATGCGGAGACAAGGCTGCAAGGCCATCAAGATCCTCCGCTTAATGCAGTGGGCGTCGAACAAGCCGAGGAGGTCTGTACCGTCGAGCCCGGGTCTTGACTGTGCATGTGGATGCGGGAATCACCCACTCCCAAGCCCCGGAAGAAGACTAGCACTTACGAACAATCCCACCTGTCTCGCAGTTAGCCATGGTGCTCCAAAGAGAGGCCTTCCACGCCATGTACAGCTCGGACCTCCGGAGGGCATCACAGACTGCAGAAATTATAGCCGCACGCCGTCAAGACGGCATGCAGGTGCGTCCCCTCCGCATTCACAAATGAATGACCCCCCAAACCCCTCTCCCTCCTTCAACCCTTGACCAGTGCATGCCAGGTGCCACGCACCGCCCGGCTCCCGCCCTACCGGTGCCCCCCAGTCCCACCTCGCTCCATGCCTCAACCCCCCGCCCCTCCCCGCACCCCTCGCTGCCTGCCTCTTCCACGCCCCACCCCGCCCCGCCCCCCTCAGTAGATCCTCACCAGCCCCAACCTGCGCGAGCGCAAGCTGGGGGTGCTGGAGGGCCTCACTCGCGCGGAGGCGGTTGCAGCCCACCCCGCCGCCTTCCAGAACCTGCAGACCGCGGATGACGGGGTGCGGGTGCCGGGCGGCGGGGAGAGCATCCGAGACATGCGGGAGCGGGTGATTTCGGAGTTGCAGCGGATAGCGGGGGAGCACCCGGGTGGGTGGGGTGGGTGGGGGGTGTTGGAGGTTGTGCTGAGGGGTTGTGAGGGGTACCGGGAAGTGTGTGCGGGTTTGGGGCGTGGTGTGATGATGATGTGAGGCTGCACTGCAGGTACCGCAGGTGCACACGTTTTTATTCATTGCACGCATTAGAACTCTATGTAAGTTGATAAGATGAGAACCGCTTTTGGAAGCTGCATGCGAGTAGTATCTATCAATGAAGGACCCCACAGACGGCCCCGCGGCAATCAGAGTATGCATCGTACCGCCTTCCTTTTGCCGTACTATCACAGGTCAAAGCGTGCTGGTGGTTGCGCACGGCGGCGTGCTTCATCAAGTCTACAGACACGCGGTGGGGCACCCTTTCAGCGGCGCGATAGCAAACGCCTCCGTACACCGAATCCGGATCCAAGGCAGTAGCTGGGCGGTTGTGGAGTGGAATGCCGTGCAAACCCGAGTGCAAGCGGCGTCTGCTGGGCAGTTTGGAGGGAGGGCGAATGAGGGGTAGATGGTTGCGATGGAGGTGTTGCCATGCAGTCCCACGGTCGCTGGATGTATGTATGTGAGGGAGTTTGCGTGCTCTCGTGGCTTCACTTATCGTGGCTTTATTTATTGTGCTTCCTTAATTTTAGATGGGCGGTCAATAGACAATTACGCATGCATGTTTTGCAAGGCAGACTGGTTATTAGCCAACCTTGACCACCCCTCGTGCACCTTCGTGGCACAGTCCGCATGGCTTCGTGAACAGAAGATGAGCTAGATGCATGCGTGCCCCGTGTTAACACCGGTAGGGCCCCACAGTCGGCTGGATGAGCGTGCGAACACGTGAACACTTACACGGCTTTGCATAATGGGAGATGACCGGGGGGGTCGAGAACTCGAGATACCGGTACAAACCCTAGCATGCTGTGACATGCCCGATGCAAGCACGAGTGGCCCCTCCATGCTACCAGTCACTTTCCCTGTTCACTCATCGCTGTGATCCCACCCTCCCTCCACCCCGTACCCCTCCTCCCCAGCCACAACACACTTCTCCCCGCTCCGCCCTCAACGCCGGTTCCCCCCTATCGCCTCCCGCTGCTCCGATGTGAAGTTGTCGGGGCGAGTGGGCTTGGCGGGGCGGGCAGCCGCAATCACTCGCCGTCCGTACTCTGTTTCATGCAGCCCCACCGCCGCCAGCGCTTCCATGATCTGCATGCAGGCAGGCACACAGGACAAGTACAGCAGCGGATAATGAGGATTGGGGAAACAACACACTGACATCAGCAAGTAACAACACAGCAGCAAAGGCAAACACAAGAAGCTAGGCAATCCAGACACAACAGCAATACAGCACCAAGAATAACACTAGCTAGCCTGCAAGGACAACAGCGGCAGGACAACAGCAGCAGTCGCCATCCCAGCCCTCCTCTTCTGTCCCTCCTCTTTCCTCCTCCTCATCCCACCTTGAAGCGCTGGTCCCGAACCACTTGATCCGTGGTGTAGCCATTCACGGGGTGGAACGCGCCCTCCGACCGCTCCCCCATTGCAGCCAGCGCTGCGTTACTGGCCGCGGTGTGCGCCAGCAAGCGGGCGGGGTCGGCAGCCACCTCGGGGGCGACCAGGGCGGCGAGACGGGCCAGGCGGGCGGCGCGGGCGGCGGCGGCAGCTGCGGCGGCCTCTTGTCGCTCCTGGGGGAAGGGAAGCGAGGAGGGCAGGGCGGGAAAGGGAAGCGGGGAGGGAGGAAGGATGGGAGGAAGGAAGGAAGGAAGGGAGAGGGGCGGACCGCGAGGATGAGAACGCGAGTGTGTGTGGCGCGGTGTGAGAGGAGAACGGCCGTGAGGAGCAAGAGGATAATCACTAGTTCAGCATACCCTTGCAACTCGGTATACCCGAACTCCATATCGGTACTCCATACTACTGAAGGGACACCAGTACGCGTCCTCCTCCGTACCTTGGCTTGTTCCTGCCGTTCCAGGTATTCCGCCTGTCGTACTTCCACTCGTTCCCGGTTGTACACCGCCTGCTGCTCCGCCACCAGGGCCGCCTGCCGCTCCTCCTCCGCCGCCGCGGCAGCCGCCTCCGCCTGCTGCCGCTCTAGCTCGGCCCTGAAGGCGTAGCGGGGGAAACAATACATGAGAAGTGAAGCAACTGGAGGGGGGGTGCCGACCAATGGGAGGGTCTCGTCGGAGGTGAGGGAGACAGCAGCGGGCAGAGAATATAGCGGTAATAAGAGAATCCAATTCCGTCCCGCCCCTTTGCAGAAGGCAGTATGGTGCCCCCCGGTACCCCGCGGCAGAAGAAGAAGGATGCAACGGCGACGACGGCGACATCGGGAGCGTGTATCTTAGGGGATCTCAGCCAACAGGGTTGTGCACTTGCCGTACCCATGCCGTGCAGAACAAATGCCGTACAGATGCCGTACACGTACCTGTATGCTGCTACCATGTCCCGCTTGAGCGCCTTCTCCTGACGCGCCCGGGACTCCGCTGCGGCCGCCGCCTCCGCCTCCGCCGCCTGCCGCGCCGCCCGCTCAGCCGCCACCACCTCGTCCTCGCGAGCCCGCTCCGCTAGCAGCTCCTGGGGGGGTGCGTGTTGCGTGGTGTGTGAGGGTTGCATGTCGTGAGGAGGGGGTTGCAAGGACCGGTGTGATCGACCAACTGACCAAGCAGCCGTACGTCCCACCACCACCCTGTCGTACCTCCAGCTCGTCACGCGCCCGCTCCCGAACCAGCTCTGCTACCAGCCTGTGTGTAGGGACAGAGGAACCGGGTGACCCACGGGTCAGAACGTCGACAATGCACTGAGTGGATCTAGCGCTGGTTTCAGCACGTTGGGAGGCACCCTGTGTCATCACCATTGGTCCCATCAGATATGCCTTTCTATCAACAGGACCTCCACATGCAAGCGCTCAAGTACAGCAAACGAACGAACGAACGATTTCCCTCAATGCACGGCACCTGTCAGCTGCTGCCTCGGCCTGTGCCAGGAACGCCGCCTCGCTCTCCTGCACGGACAACACGGCGGCATGCATGCGCGTCATAACATAACAACGTAACAAGGTCCAGCGTCCAGCACGCAAAACAGCACAGCGGCAGCAGGAGCGCTACACCCAACGCCGTGGAAGGCGGCCACGGTCTTTGACTTCGACCCCATCGCAGTTTTTAACGCCATCCAAGTTCATAACCCTGCCCCCAGACCTGCAGGAAGCTGGCGCTGTCTTCCAGGAACTGCCGCCGCTCGCGCTCCCAGCCCTCCGCCAGGTCCCTCCGCCGCCGCGCCGCCAGCCGCGAGGAAGTGGCCCAGGCCTCGTGCGACCGCAGCTGGGCGAGGGAGGGGCGCGAGGGCAGCAGGCGGCCGATGCGAGCCAGCATGTCGTCGCGAGGGAGGTTCCTGGGGCGGGTTGAGTGGAAGGAGGGAGGAACGGAGGGAGGGAGGAAGGAAGAGGGGAGGGACGACGGGAGGGGAGAGGGAAGGGTGATTGACAAGAAAAAGTAGTTCAGTTGGAGCAAGGGGAGGCAGGCACACAGCGCACGACGGAGCGCTGCCGGTGCGATAGTACTCTGGGGCAGAGAGGGGCACGGAACACGTCACGGAACACGCCACGGAACACGTCACGGAACACGGCGCGGCATACGTCGGCACGGATTACTGCACGGAATACGTCGGCACCTGGTACACCACCACTCACTTGCCGCTCTGCCCTCCCTCTCGCAGCAGTCTATCCCGGTGCCGAACGAACGCCGAGTGCTCCTCCGCCGACCAACCGCCGTAACCGCTGAGCAACCACGAAACCGCCGCGCTGCTACTGCTGCTGCTGCTGTTACCACCACCACCACCACTACCACCGCCCAACAAGGAACCAGGTTCCGGGCAAGCCGTCATGCACCATTCCGTGTCGTTGCTGCCGCCGCCACCAGCACTAGTACTGGCACCGCCGCTACCACAGCTGCCAGTACCGGCTCCCGCCTTCCCTCCTGGTCTTGCAGGCCCCGCCACTGCCGCTGTTCCCCGCTGTTGTTGGTGCTGCTGCTGTGGCAGCTGTCTTGGTTGCTGTGTGGATGCTGTTGCTGGGGATTGCGCGCTGGAGGAGGCGGAGGTGCTAGCGAACAGGTTGGAGGCGGTCCGCTCGGTTTCCAGCCTCCAGGTCTCTAACCGCTCCAGGTAGTTGTTCTACAAGGGGCACAGGACGGGAAAGTACGGTAATCGGGAAACGCAACAAGTTTCGGAGTGAAGTTTGACATGGCGACAGCGCGCCTCATTCCCGGGCATCGGGAGAAGAAGAAGGACAACGAGAGCGACGAAGAGGGGATGCCAGCAATGAACAGCAAGCGCACCCGCAGCACCGCATGCATACCGTTAACTTCCCAATTTCTTTCCCATTCGCCACACGCCATGAGCACAGGAGCACACGCGACGCAAGAGGGGTGCTGCTGATGTAGCCCACCGGACACCTCTTTCTTCCTGGACCTTCCGAACTCATTCGGACAACGCAGCCTTCCCAACCTTTTCCAGGAACACCGGCTGCCGCACCAGCCTCCCGCCCCAACCCACACGCGGTGTATCCCTCCCTCCCCTCCTTTCTTGCCCCCCCACCTGCAGCGCCAGGAGCACCTCCCGAATGCGTTCCTTGATGTCCGGGGACGCCACCGGATACCTGCCACACAGCAGGGGGGGGCACAGCAGGGGGGGGGGCACAGCAGGGGGCACAGCAGGGACTGCCGGTCAGCCCAGGGTCAGCCAGGAAGCCAAGAAGCTGCGCTTTTGCCTGACCAGCCCAGTTGCATGCTGCCCCCTCCCTCCAGGCCGCCCTCAGATACGCAGACCGCCCCCCCACCATCACCAGCACCAGCACCATCGCCGCACCCACCTAGCCAGCATGCGCTCCAGCTCCTCCAGGTCCTCTCCGCGACTATCGCCCGGGCCGGGCAACGGCACGAGATCACCTCCTCCACCTCCGCCTCCTCCGCTGCTACCCTCTCCCACCTGCCCCTCTGCCTGCCCCCCGGCCAGGGCTCCCAGCCCGGCTCCCGGTGTCGCGAGTGCTGAGGGCCAGGCGTCCCGTAGTTCCGAGGTTAGGGTCGCCGCCTCCCTGCATGGCCGGCATGGGGGGTTAGGCTAACTGAGCCGCGAAGAACCAGGCATGGGGGGGGTGGAGCGGTGGAGCGGGGACGCGGGGGGGTCGGTGGGGCTTACTAAGCAGGCAGGAGAAGGGAGTCGGAGTGGAACCAACCAAGGGGTTCAAGGAGAAGGGGGCCGCGGCAGGGTCAAGGCTCATGGGGGTCATGGCTCATGGCTGTATCACCCATTACTCTTTACCCCTCCCATTTCCCTTTGCCCTCCCTCCCTCCCTCCCGGCCAGGCCTCCCTCCCTCCCCAGCAACGACTACCGGAACTCACTCCCCCAGCTGCCCCAGAGCGGCGGCCAGCTCCTGGCCCAACACAGCCATCTCGTTCTGCAGGGGGGGCGAGCGCTCGAGTCAAGGCTGGAGTAAAGGGGGCATCCAGGGGACCGTCCAAGGGACCATGGCGAGGCAGTGTGCATGGGGTTACTCGCAAGGTGCTGGATTCGTCGTAGCTGCAAAGCTGCAGTATGGTGAGGGGCTAAGGGGCGAGGCGTTTTCCTTTCCGGGTGTTCCCGAGCTGTCTCCCACTCCGCATCGCTTACTTTGAGAGCGCTAGCCTCCTTGGAAAACTGCGAGGGTGCGCCGTACGCTCGGAAGCTAGCGTGTACGGAAGAGAGGCCCTTGACCCGGGACCGAAGCTGCGCGCGTTCCGAGCGACATGCATCGGACTGGGTGTGCAGCAGTGAGAGGGCTTCTGCCGCCTCTCGCAACTCAGTGCTCGGCTGCTCCGCTAGCTGCTGCAGGCATGTTGTTAGCTCCCGCTCAGCGTCGTCTTGCTCGTTCTGAGCCAAGGCGGGAAGGGGTTTGGTGACGGGTGCAAACAAAGGAGATGGGTCAACTAAAGGACTTGGATGTACGAGTGCTCGGACTTGGATCCTTACGGATCGTGGGTAACAAAGCGATGATTGTTGCAATAGCGGATATGGGTCTGCAAGGCATGGTTGCCCCTGATAGTGTCAGTTCTACGTGAAATTACCTGCAATTGCTGGTACGCAAGTAGCCATTCCGTCTTTGCCGCAGAGGCACCAAGCTTCCCGCGCTGCTCTGCTACAAACCCTTTAAGTTTGTTCGCCTTTTCCAAGAAGTTTGGCCCCGCATTAAGCAGCGACGATGGCGAAAAGTTGGGATCCGCCTTTAACTTCCGAAGCAGCGCAATATCCGCACGAGGTCCGCGGTTTGATGATCGAGACATTGCACAGTTAGACGCTGCTCGTTTGGAAAACGTATTGCAAGCTGCGGGCGCACATTGGTCTACCGCGGCCACTGTCAAGTGCAACGATACTGGCCCTAATGTGCTAAATAAAGCTAATAATGTGAGCACGAAAACTGAAATGCTGTTTCGGCCGTAAATGCGGTCTTATAGCGGCCCCCTGCCTTGTAGAACGGTGACTAGGTCTTCGACAGTTATCGGCATTACTTTAATTTGTCAGCACGCAATAGGAGAGGCGGAAGGTACTATGTCAACTGGCCCTACAACATAACGCCTGTTAGGCTGCGACGCCTGGACTCCTGTACAGGTAGTACGGGCCTTAGTAACAATGCGTAACTGTGGATTCCACCCGTCCCAGGCTGAATGTACTTTCATCACTTGAAGATATACTATTGATCCCAATGACTTATATTTGTGGCATAGCCCCTCACCCTTGTTGTATGTGCTCCGGTGCCCCAGTCCTCCTGCACCCCTTCTCATCAGCCAAGCCCATGCTGGCCTCATATGACGCCATGCGTGCATCCGTTCGGCCAACACTATTGATCTTTTACTGACCTTGTGACCATACGCATCGTGGTGATTGTTGGGGTTGGCCTCCTCCAGACGGTAATTATATGCACTGTTTTAGGCTACTGGCGCCAAGCAAGGCAGGACCCGTCCGCACCTCTTCCATTTGCATTACTCCACTCCAGGGCAAGCCCACATTACAGATCCCCACGATAGACCACCAAGCCTCACCGCCTTCCCCACTGCCCCAGGGCGCTACACGTATCCCTTCATGTCTGCTCCAGCCATGACCATTACATACAGCCCACGTACGTATGGCCCTGCCGCCGCTAACACGTCAACACGGTCATACCACGCCCTGCATGGCCGGGTGCCCCAGCACCTCGCCCACCCCCCCTCTGCTGCCCAACCGCATGTCGGGCCGGCACCGCAGCAGCGCGCGCACCCACTGCTGCATGCTGGGGCTCACCTGCATCGGGGGCGTGAGGGGGTGAGATTGGGCTGAAGCAGGCGAGGTAAGGATCCGCTGAGCAGGTTTTTAAGAACGAACGAAGGGACCGGCTGTTTGCATGCACGACCATGCATGCATGCACGCCGGACATGCCTGCATGCTTCATCTTTGTGTAAGCATAGCGCTTGCGCGCATGGAATATCATGACACAGGAATATCATGACATGTCCTGACGAGCGAGCTATGGAAAACCGCGGCAACCGGCGCCTACATCCTACCAGCAGTTTGAACCACGGCAGCCCCACCTGAGGCCCCCCATCCGCGGGTGGGGGAAAGGCCGGCGTATGGTGGGCCATGCGCATGAGCAGTGCCTCCAGGGTGGCCCCCATGTACGGCGGTCTGCCGTACAAGAGCTCGTACGACAGCACACCCAGGGCCCACCAGTCACTTGCGGGAGAGTATGCAGCAGGGCCGTCCTGCGGGCGGGTGCCAGTACGGGTAGCTTGTGGTTGGGTGAGGTACCGGCAGCCAGACAAAGTGCCTAAGTAAGCACCCACCTGCAGGAGCTCGTAGGCTAGGTACTCCGCAGTTCCCCAAATAGTGCGCTCCGAGGCCGGCTGCGAAGTGGCTGCGGTTACCCCTGTTGTAGGTGCTGTCCTGCTCCCAGGTGCGGCAGCGACTGCAGTACAGGCGGCGGTACGAACGGCCGCAACGGCTGCTTCGCAGTTGTCGTACCCGGGCAGGTCGCGGCAAAGGTCTAGATCCAGCAAGACCACCCTGTCGGGATCCTGCAAATGGCGTACAGTTGTCGTACAAATGTCGTACAGATAGAAAACAGGTGGAACTATTAATAACCACGTTCGGCAGTCTATATCGGTATTAAGATGAGTCCGGCATGCCGGGCACAAACTTTGTTCTTGCGGGACCAATTGCAATACCGGTAGCGCACAAAGAAGTCCTCTAAGCAGCAGCGACGTAGCCCTCAAAGCCCAAAACCGCCGCCCGGAGGCTTTGACCAGGACTCTTACCTCTTCAGAAGCGTCTAAAACGACGTTCTCGGCCTGCGCGGCAGCACGGGAGACTGGAGATCAGGCATTGATGAGCAGTCCGAAGGCCCGGAAACACGCTTAAAACATCCTCACACCTTGACCTGCACACGCCCTTTCGGTCCGTAAACCCTGACAGGCCGTCAACACAGCCCCCCACCCACCTTGAGGTCCACACACAGCAGCCCCGCTGCATGCAGCTGCCCCAGAGCGACCGTCACCCCGCCCACCAAGCGGCGAACCCGGGCCTGTGCGGGCAGCGGTGCGGGCGGACAAGGCGGTATGTCAGCATGGCACGTACGGTGTACGGCAGCGGTGCCCCACATCTCGTTTCATTTTCTTTTCCTCCTTTGCATGATGAGGTTGATGACCCCCCCTGCCGATTCCCCAGTTTTGTTTCCTTGTTTCCATGTGGAACCATCACCTGCTGCTGCTGCTTCCAAGGCGGCCTGCTGGCTTACCTCCGGCAGCCTTCCCGCCATGCCCTCCTTCTGCCTGAGTTCCGCTAGGCATGGACCCTTACATAGCTGGATGGGAGGAAGAGGGAAGAGAAAAGAGCGAAAGAAGCTCACACCGTGGAGATTGCGGTACGGCAGTGGAGATTGCGGTACGGCAGTGGAGATTGCGGTACGGCAGTGGAGATTGCGGTACGGCAGTGGAGATTGCGGTACGGCAGTGGAGATTGCGGTACGGCAGTACGGTAGTATGCAGGACTCAGCATAGCTGTCAGAGTTTCAGCTCGGGCGTGTGTGCAGGTGGCATACAACGCATGCGGCCCAAGGGATTTAAGGGAAGCAAGCCAGCACTCGCCACACTACCGGTACCACTGGCTTTTCATGTCCTCACCTGCATTACGAATAGTACTTCATCCGTGGAGTTGTCGTACAGGCACGCAAAGTGCCGTACAACTCCAGTTGGGTGTGGTGACACCGATGATAGCACGCGAGCAGCAGCCGCTTCCCGTGCTACTCGCTGTAAGAGGGGAGCGGCAAGAAGTGTGTTAGTAACGTCTGAAAAGGGTGTGCCAAGACGTGCGTGGGCAGTACGGCACGGACTCCTGCCGTGAACTGTGCAGTCGCCCCCTTACACCCTAGGACACTGAGAGAACCAATGCCTTGCAGCACCTGCAAAATGGTCACACGCTTCTCCGCTGATGCCGGCAGGCGCACTCTTTTGACGGCGAAGCACTCGCGGGTGGCTGGACACTCGGCATGTTGTACCCTGGAGACATGTATGTATAAGCTGGCATGAGTGTTATATAAGGAGAACACCTTAAGGACCCTTTTTTTAATCTTGTCCAAGCTAACAATTGTGCATTGCTCGTTGGAAATACAATGGAAGGCTCCGAACCATCGGAAGTTGGGTCACCCCTTTCGCGTCTGACCTGCCAAGGCTTCCTTGACCCAATTCATGGGCAAACTTGAAGGCATTAACACGTCGAAGCGCAGAGTCAAGATCGCTCGCGAATCCAGGGACAGAGAAGCAAAATGGCTGCATTAGAGCAGCAAAACAAAGCAATCGCAAAGACGATAGCGAGTGTACAATGACTTAAGAAAGCTTAATGCTTGTCGGATGCGTCTGGCGATTGTATGCTTGCTTTGTACGATTACATGCTGAGCCGTGCTGCGCACCCAACGCGTTGCGACATAGCGCATATCTTCTATGCTAATGTTTTTGTTATACAAGGCTATAGTACTGTGCAGTGATGTTAAAGAGTATTTCAGGCTAGTCGCCTGTCGGAGCTGGAATTGTTTTTGACACGACTTTTTTACTGCAGTATCTGCTTACGATGCAGCAAGTAATGTAGCTTACCACACGTATTCAGTGCGCAGTGTACTTGCTGAGCCTATCTGACGACCTGCGTTTGGGCGAATGGAAATCGGGGAGTGCATTTTGCTTGCGAGAGGCAATGCTAGCAGGTCAGTGGCTAAGAACGGCGACTCACTCTACTATTTCCCAGAAACAAGATGCTACGATGTGCACTTTGTGCGCTTTGGTCGTCTACCGACTGCGTTGGTCGTCTACCTTACATGAAGGCAAATCCCGGCAGCGGCTGAGCTGGAGTTGCTCTTCAAAGGAACGGGAAAGAAAGCGGCGCTACACCTAGTATGGGTTTCACAGGTGGGCGCTGCGCTGCTTCTCGTTCTCCCTTGCGCACCATTGATAAGCATTACCTCCTCCATTGCCTTTACAGACGGGCGGCGGCGCCGATACTCCTGGCGGCGGCATTCCAAATAGTGGACGGCATTCATCAGCCGCTTATGACGCCCCCGTCGTTGCCGTTGTGGACCGAGCCCTCACCAACCGCGCTCCACACTTGCGGCAAAATTCCAGGGGCTTACGCGACGCAGCAGGCCGTCTGCTGTCCACCGCTGCAGCTGGGCTGGTGAAGCTGCGGGTAGGTGCGGGTGTACGGCAGCGCTCCAGGGAAAGCAGCAACCCAAAGGATGAACCGTGGGACTTCCAATGGGGTGCGGAAACACGAACCTTCCCAGTACGGCACCGGTAAACCTTGGATAAGAGCCCACTCAATAATCGAATGTGTTTGTAGTTGGCAGTGCCTGCCATCAAAAAAGGTGCCGGTACTTGTTTCCCTTCGCAACCTGCCTTCCCTATCCATGCAGGTGGTTTCGGTGCGACCCGCGCCGACCCATGGGTCCGGCGTCCTGGAGATAGCCGCTGCCGTAGTGCTTCTGCCCTCCGCCTTTGACGCAGTCATCCCGAAGCACACGCCCACACGGGCAGCCATGGGCCTCATGAGCGAGCAGCTGGCAGCAGCGGCGGCGGCAGCGGCGTTGGCTTCATCTCTAGTTGAGATTGTGGAGATGCTGGAAGATGGAGGTCCTCCGGAATCAGAAGACGACGATGGTGGCCCCCTGGGCAGCCAGGATCCCGCGGAGGCGGCCGCCGCCGCCGATGCAGCCGCCTTTAATGGCGTTGACGGAGGACCCGCGGGAGCTAATGGCCCGTCTACCTCTGCCGCTGCGGCAGCGGCAGCGGGCCGCGGCCGCCCCTCGACCTCTGCAGCTGCCGCCGCGGATGTAGACATGACAGGGGGTGATGCCGCGGGTCACCACCATGACGAGGAGGAGGAGGAGGAGGAGCCCCAACAGGATGCCACGGAGGGGGCAGCGGCGGCGGCTCGTAACGATGTGCGCGACGAGGTGTTTGACATTGTGGCCCCACGTGACTGGAGCGTCACGCACCCTGATCCTCCGGGTGGGGGCAGGGGTTGGGGTGCTCTGGGGCGGGGACGGCTGGAGCAGCAGGAGGATGAGGTGGTGGAGGGGACAGAGTGCGTGAGAAACTGAAGGCGTGGTGGTTACGTGTGCGGTCCGAGAGTGAGGTGCCGGGAATTTACATAGGGGGCTGTGGTGGTTGCGTCTGATTGCGGAGGAAACTGGCCGCGAGGGAGAATGCACCGTAAACCCTTCACCCCCTTCTCACCCACTGCTGCCCTCTGCTGATCCCCTTTCCCGCCTCCCTTCCGCCAGGCCTCAAGTGCCGGCTCTACCGCTACCAGCAGCGCGCCCTGGCCTGGATGGTTTGGCGCGAAACGCAACCGGAGCTGGGTCCCGAAGGATGCGAGGACGGAGAAGGCCGAGGAGGCGACCCAGCAGCAGCAGCCGCATCCTCATCAGCGGACGGCCGGGTGCCTGCGCCATCGTCGTCAGCAGCAGCAGCGGCGGCAGCAGCAGCAACCGCACATCTAGGCGACTTTGCGACCCAGGACCTCTTCTGGCGGCGAGCAACGCTGCGTGACGGCCAGGAGCTGTGGATCAGTCCCTTCCCGGGCGGCGGGGTACGGAAGGACCCACCGCCGCCGCCGCCGCGGCAGCGCGTGGGGATCTTGGCTGAGGAGATGGGGTTGGGAAAGACAGTGGAGGTGATCGCGCTCATGCTGGCGCGGCCGCCGCCGCCGCCGGCGCTTCGGTCGTCGTCAAAGGGGTCCTTGTCGTCGTACGACGGCACTGCTGCTGCCGGCGGTAGCGGTAGCGGCAGTGGTGACGGCGGTGGTGAGGGCAACGGCAACGGTGGGACAAATGCTGCGGGAGGCGGCGAAGGGAGCGGCAGGGGCGGCTCACGTGGAGGTGCAGGGAGAGGCGTTGATGGCGGCGGCGGAGAAAGCGGTGGAGGTGGCGGCGGGGCCAGTGGGAGGCTGCCGGGCCCCAGTCTGATTGTGGTTCCTGCACCGCTGCTGCAGCAGTGGTCGGAGGAGCTCGCGCGGCACAGCAACCTAAAGGTGGGATACGCGGGCTCACAGGGTGCCGGGCTTACACCTGGGCTTGCATGGGAATAGGCGTGCGTGCATGATGGGCCGAGCAGGGGCGGGAGCGGGAGCTGCATCTGTGCCTAGACATGACTCCGTGGCCCCTTCGGCCGGCGCCCTGAACCGCTAATTACATCACCTTCCTGTGCTCGAATTGCGATTACGATACCGTATTCGCATGTGTTCCTTTTAAATCTTATGGTCGCCCTTTTTGGCTGGCGATGGTGGTTTACCGTGTTGGGTGGTGGTGGTTGGATTGCTGCCGTTGTTGCAGGTGGTGGTGTACGATGGACTCAAATGGCAGAACCAGCAAACGCAGGAGAAGGAGAAGGCCAAGGCAAAGTAAGCCAGCCTGCGGTATCTGCCGTTGACTTCACCCCGGTATACCGTTTGTATGTAATGGGGTTTGACATGGCAAAAGCTATTGCGGTACCACTAGTCGTAATGCCGTACATGTACCGTGCATTTTATCATATATCTACCGTACATTTACCGCGCATTTGCCGTGCATTTGTTGTACAATCCGCCGCTGCCTGCAGGGAGGCGAAGCGCCTAGCGGTGGAGCGGGAGAAGCAGGCCAAGATCGCGGCACGTGAGGCCAAAGCTCGGGAGCGGGAGGCCAAGCGGCAGCAGCAGGCACGAGCGAGGGCGGAACGGGAGGCTGCGAGGCAGCGGAATGCGGCCGCTGCTGCAGCGGGAGCCAGCGGCAGCGGCGGGACCAGGAAAAACGGGAGGAGGAAGAGCAAGCTGGGCGGAGCGGAGAGAGAAGCCAAGAAGGGGCGGCGCAGTAGCAGCAGTCGCGCACGGCATGAGGATGACGATGGCGATGATGATGATGACGACGGCATCATTGACTTGTTGGAATCGGAAGAAAGAGATGGAGGGGACAGTAGTGAAGAAGACGATGACAGCGAGGACGAGTCGTACGAGGTTGGGAAGTCGTACAACAAGCGGACTCGGCGCAACAGCAGCAATAACAGCAACAGCAAACGACAACGGCGCGGATCGGAACCGCCGCCTCGACGAGCATCAGAAGCCGACAACGGGGCAGCCGCCGCCGCTGCCCCCGCAGCCTCCGCATTAGCCCCCGCCGACGGGGCTGGGCCCTCCACCTCCGCAGCCGCTGCAGCAGCCGCAGGCCCCTCGATGTCCGCAGCAGCAGCCGCAGTACCCCCTACCGCAGCCGCTGCCACCACCACGCTACTTCCAGCCTCCGCAGCCAACCCATCCACAGCCAACCCGCCGCCGCCGCTGTCCCGCCTTGAGCTGTACCAGCGGGAGCTGGTTGCGGCTCTGTACGCGGGCACCCCGCTGTGCCCCCCCAGTTGCGATCCGCAGGCGGAGGCGGCGGAGGCGCTGGCGGGGCTGCTGGGGGCGGAGGTGGTGCTGACCACGTATGCGGTGAGGGGGGGGGTCCCGAAGTAGACCAAACCATAGGTGGGGAGAAGAGGTGGTGAGAGGAGGAGAAGGGTGAGAGGAGTTGTGGTGAAGTTGCTGCTGTGTGATGACCTGAGATTCCCTCGCGCCGCCGCCACCCCATCCCTCATTGCTGCTAACGCCACATTGCGGATTAAAAACAGCAGCCCAACAAGTGTCTTGAAAACTAATACGTCTGCCCGCTAGTACGGACTTCATTAGCCATTTACCCCAGCCACCTCTACCCACCTGCCCACCCGCCTGCCCAGGTCCTGCGCGAGGAGGTGCACTACAGCCCGGGCAGCCAGCGGGGTGTGCTGTCGGGGCTGCGATACGAGAAGAAGTACGCCGTACCCGAGTCCCCGCTGATGCAGGTGGGTGGTGGGGGAGGAACCACTTACGATGCAGGTGGGTGGGTGGGTGGGTGCATGCATGCAAGGCAGCGCATGTGCTTTGCTTGCTTGCTGGGTTACCGCAAAGCGAGTACTGCTCCCTGCCCCTTGCTCCGCTCCGTGTTCCCGTGACAAACTCCGCTGCATTTCCGTGCATCGGCAGCAGCTCACAGCCCGTAGCGCTCAAGTTACCATAGCTCTAACCCAAGCAAGTCTTTAACCGCATGCCAGATGCCGCATGTCAGGTGCAAGCATGCACCCCCACCCCTCCTGACCGCCCCCCAGGTCCGGTGGTACCGACTGGTGCTCGACGAGGCCCAGATGGCTGGGCACTCCATGTCGCACGTGGCGGTCATGGCAGCGCGGATGGAGGCGGAACACAGGTGGGTGTGTTTAGGAACACTAAAGGCCGCGAGGAAGAACTGGATTGTCGGAAGATGATGTCCCCACTAAATATGCCACGGGAAGATGCCGTCGACTCGTCGTATATAGATCCTCACCCTCCTCCTCCACTCCACTCCACTCGACCCACCTGCCCACCAACAGGTGGTGTGTGACGGGTACGCCCATCGGTCCGGGCGGGCTGGAAGACATCTTGGGGCTCGTACGGATCCTGCGGTACACACCGTACGATGATCCGCTGGTTTTCAGGTACGGCATGGTTAATCGCACGTACGGCAGTACGGGTAATGTAATCATGCCATGTACCGGCCGTGCCCTACCTGCCACGCTGCTAAAAGAATTGCAACCGCCAAGGGCGAGCGCCCGACTCTCCCTTGCCGTGCTGCTATTTATACCAACGTATTCAATGCTGGTCGAAGACCTCGCAGCTTGCAACACCAACCAACCAATAACAACATAGATCTTACTTTCATGCCCACCCGGAATGCTATCGTACGGCAACTCGTACCCCAAAAACCACCTTTCCGCTGCTCTCTCCATCCGTCCTCCCTGTTACTGCTCGAACAACTCCTTTTTGCCCCGCTCCGTCCGCATACCGTACAACACGGTACGCTGGTCCTTATATTAATTGAACTTTGTACATTTTGTACAACAAAAGGCGGTTGATTTCGGAGCCGTACAAGTCGGGTTCCTCGGAGGGCCGTTCCCGACTTGCAGCTCTCCTCAAGCCCATCATGTGGCGCAACAGCAAGGCGGTGCAGGCGCTGGACCACCCGCTGCCGCCCAGGACGCTGCAGGTGGGGTATTAGGTAACCTGAGCCGTGAGGTGGGGTGCGTGGGGTGCTGGGGTGTGTTGTGATGCGTTTAGCCCTGCACCTGGTGTGTTCCACCGCGGCATGTAATGCAGGACGCTAGGAGGTGCTTTCAATGCCGGGGTATTGTGTACCTTCCGTAATTAGTAGTTGCTATTACTGCGGGTACTGCTCCGGAGTACTGCTCCTGTCACTAAGGAACCTGCTGCTGTAACCTGCTGCTGCGGATGCTCCAGGAAGCACACCTGCGGTTCTCCGCGGCAGAGGAGGCCTTCTATGAGGTCATACTTGGGGAGACGCGCCGGGCCTTCGATGAAATGACCTCACACCAGCGCCAACAGCAGCAGCAACAACAACAAGACCAAGAGCAGCAGCAACAGCAGCAACAAGGTAGCCAGCAGCAGCAGCGGCGGCCTGCAGACGGCCCCCTTGACCTCACGGGAGACGATGACGCTGGTCACCAGGGTCGGGACGGGGGGCATGCACACGCTGCCCACGCTAACAGCACTCCTGCTGCTGCTGCTGCTGCCGGGGCGGAGAAGAAGAAGCACCCGCGGGCAAACAACAGGCGGCGTCGCGGTGAGGTTTGGCGGGGAGGGAGGGAGGGTGGGCTGGAGGGTCGGGGTCTGTTGGAGCTCCCATCCTATTATGCTCAGCCGTCAGCCCCAAAGCCCCTTGGGGTCCCCACCCGCTCTGAACCCCTGGCCCCTGCCTCCTTCTTCTCCTCCTCCTGCTGCTGGCCGGTGCTGCAACAGCCCATGCACACCCACCCTTCCTTTGCCTCCCCCTCGCTTCACCCCTTGCCTCCCATCCATCTCCCCCCTCGTCATTCCCAACCACCAACCTCCTTTTCCATCATATCCACCTCCCTCCCTTGTCAACGCAACCATCCCCCTCCCTTTTCATTCCACCCATCCTCTTCCCTCTACCCACTCCTACTGCTGCCCCGCCCCTCAACACATCACCTCACCTCAAGACCGCGGTGCCGAGCTGGTCCAGGAGGCTCACGGCGAGCTGCACCAGCTGCGACTAGCCTGTGTGCACCCCAAGCTAACCCGCTACTGGCGCCAGATGGCCTCGGAGCTGGGACTGGGGGCGGGCGGGGGCGGGGGACATGGGCATGGGGGGGCACATGGAGGGGGAGGGGGGGCGCATGCAGGGGGGGCGCTGCCGTCGATTGATGAGCTAATGGCTAGGCTGCGGGACAAGTCGCAGCTGCAGCTGCAGGTGAGGGAAGAGGGAAAGGAGGAGGAGGAAGAAGAAGAAGACCCAATGTGTTGGATGAGGGAGGGAGTGAGGGAACATGAAGAAGGGTCGGAGGAGAGGCGACCGTTGCCTTTGCAGGCCTGCCCCCCCCCCCTTTCTGCGCAAAACAACTTCCCATTATCCTGTTCAGATAAATTTACCTCCACCCTTGCCTCTCGGCACCCTCTCTTCGTTACTTTTACAGAACGCGGAACGAGACCTCTGCATGGTGCTCAACGCGCTCGCCGCCCGCCTGGCTGCAACCGCACGCAAGCTGGGCGCCATGGCAACCAAACGTGCGGCTCAGGAGGCGGCGGGGGCCCTGCCCTCGCCGTCAAAGAAGACCCCTGGAGAGGAACAGCGGCCACAGAAGCGAGCGAAGAAGCAGACGGGGGCAACGACAACTGCGGCAACGGCGGTGGTGGAGGAAGGCGAGGCGGCGGCAGGGGCTGAGGAGGCGAAGGGTGGTGACGCGGCTGCTGCGGAGGGGGAAGCGGCGGTGCCGGCGTTTCGATACAATGCCAGCGGCAAGAGCGCGGGTGGGTGGTGGTGTTCTGTTCCTGCCTTCACCTCGCACTTTTTCCCACCCTCGCACTTTCTATTGTTTGTCGCTGTCGCTCTAGACCTCGGTGTATCCAATAATCCAAAACACAATTGAGCAGCCAAGCTTGGACCTGCACCGCATCCGTGCTTTTCCACCACGCACCGCACCATGTTGCTTATCCTGAATCCTGCTTATCCTAAGTACTACTCAAGGCGTCCCTGCCTTTTCCCCTGCCACGCTCCGCCCCACCCTTCCTCAGCCGAGCTAGCTGCAGACGGCCAACGCATGCTGCGGGAGGTGGCGGAGATGCTTGAGACCAGCTGGGCGGTGGGGGAGAACGGCATCGAGGCGGCGGAGGGGGCTGCGGCGGCGGGAGAGGGAGAGGGCGCAGCAGCAGCAGCAGGGGAGGGCGGGGATGTGGAGATCCAAGCGGCTGATGCGAGTATCAGGGCTTGGCGTCTGGTGCAGGTGGGTAAGGGAGGAAGTGAATGACAAGTGCAGCAACGGAGTGGAAGGGTAGGGGTAGGCTGTTGGGGCTGGGTGGGCGGGTGCGGCTGTTGCCGTACATGCGTGTTTCCACAGCCGCCGTTGGGAGTATACCGTATTTGGTTAAAAGCACTGATTCGTACGCTTCCTGGCTAAGACTTGCTAGGACTCTCGCTCCCTTTTTCACGTCAGTTCGGGGCCTCTACCTCCCGCGACTCCCGCGTGTTCCCGTTCGTCCCACCCGCACGTCCGGCTGCATCGCACCCCCCAACGGCAACTAACTTGGCCGGGGCCACTAACATTTTTTTCTTTCATGATCAATTGCTCTGCCCTTATACCCCCAGGCCCACACCTCGCAGCTCCTAGCCGACCTCCTGACCGCCCAACCCGAACTCGTCACTGCGGCGCGACCTGCGGCCCCGACTGCCGCCGCTGCTGCGGCCGCTACCTCCACTGCCGCCGCCGCTACCTCCACTGCCGCCGCCGCTACCTCCACTGCCGCCGCCGCTACCTCCACTGCCGCCGCCGCTACCTCCACTGCCGCCGCCGCTACCTCCACTGCCGCCGCCGCTACCTCCACTGCCGCCGCCGCTACCTCCACTGCCGCCGCCGCTACCTCCACTGCCGCCGCCGCTACCTCCACTGCCGCCGCCGCTACCTCCACTGCCGCCGCCGCTACCTCCACTGCCGCCGCCGCTACCTCCACTGCCGCCGCCGCTACCTCCACTGCCGCCGCCGCTACCTCCACTGCCGCCGCCGCTACCTCCACTGCCGCCGCCGCTACCTCCACTGCCGCCGCTGACGTCATCACTGCCGCCGCCGCTACCTCCACTGCCGCCGCCGCTACCTCCACTGCCGCCGCTGACGTCATCACTGCCGCCGCATCTCGTGCTTCCGAGCTGCGTGCTTACGTGGCAAGTCGCGAGGCAGACGTGCGGTCTACCGCGGACCGAGAGCTGCAACGAGCACAGGAGCGGCGAGATCGGGTGAAATCCACAATTGAGCGGTTGGAAAAGGAGCTGACGGAGGCGTACGATACTGCTGTACGACAAGGAATGCCGGCGGGTTTGGTTTCGGAGCCAAAAGGCTGGTTGGAGGCGTTGTACGGCAGGTTGGAAGCGGCTCGGCAGCTGGAAGCGAAGCAGCGGGAGGAGCAGCAGGTGGGCTCTGGGTGGGTTGGTGGGTTGCGGCAAAACTTTAGGTACTCACGTTCTATAAAGTGACCCATGGGTCTTATGATACCCCTGTCCTCTCTCTTTACTGGCCAACTACCAAGACAACCAATTCTCCTTCCTAATTTGTACGTCTGTACGGCAGGCCGCTGCTGACGCCGGCGCCACGCTCGCGCTGATGGGTCGCGAGGTGACGGGGCTGCTTGCTGAGGAGGAGGCGGCGGTCAATAAGCAGCGAGTGGGGTTGGAGGCGGTGACGGGCTCCATGCTGGTAGCGGCGGCGGTGGGGCGTGTGCGGGCGGCGGATCGGGGGCTGCGCATGCAGGGGCCGCACGGACAGGGACTTGGAGATGCCTCTGGCGCTGCGGCAGGCCTGCAGGCGTGGCGGGAGGTGCTCGTTGGTGAGTATGTACCGATATGTGGGCGGCAGGGGCGGGCGGGCGTTAAAAGTAGGCTTACGGCAGGTCGAATCTCCTCCTACAACGACAGCGCCGTGTGTGCCAGTTATGAGCTTATGAGCTCATGACGGAAGATCCTACGCGACACTGTCCTCTCATGTCAGGTATTACGGCGATATATCCTCCCCGTCTGGCCCTTTGCCCGCCTAACAACCCGCATCCTCCTCTCCACCCCCTCCCCCCCAGGCGGAGTCCACGTGCATGTGCCACCCGAGGGCGTCACGCAAGTGTCCCAAGACCCACGGGTCGCTTGCCGCGCCGCGTGGGCCCTATCCTACCCGCCCTCGCTGGGGCTGCTGCGCCGAGCGGTGGCGGTGTGCGAGGCGCCGGGGCCAGTGGAGGGCGCGGCGCGGGGGGTGCTGCATGGCTGCGACCAGATGACAGTGCTGCTGGTGGGTGGGGTGGGGGGGGCTGCGAAGTCTTTGCGCTGCTGTGTTGTTGAGAAAGCTGGCCGAGAGTCGGAACGTACCGTGTGTGCCTTGTTGTCTTGCTCCTGTTTAAGCTGTGGAGGGCAGTTCAATGTGTGGCAGCTACCTGGTTGAACCTGCCAGTAGTCATATGCTTGTCTCAAAGATTAAGCCATGCATGTTGAAGTATAAAATGCTTATGCTGTGTAACTGCGAATGGCTCGTTAAATCAGTTACAGTTTATTTCATGGTACCTACTGCTTGGGTACCCGTAGTAATTCTAGAGCTAGTACATGCGCACAACCCAACTTCTGGAGGGGTCATATTTACCGTATTAGGTAAAAGGCCAGGCATGTTGCATCTCGAGTAAACAATGTGGCCTGGGTGTGTGCAGTGCGAGCGGCACCTGCGGCAACCGCTGCGCTGGCTGGAGTCACGACTACAGGTGTGGGTGTGTGGGGGGGGCAGCGGGGGGAGGGGACAACCGCATCGCGCATCGGTTGTTGTCACAGCGGTAACGGTGCCGGCGCCTGGGCGGCTGTTGGTGTGCGCATGCTTCGGGTGCATTTCAAGCCGCTTGGTACGGCAGCGTAACGTGGGTTGGTGTATGTGCATGTATGCCTGTACCTACCCCAAAAGAGTAAATCTCTCTCACCTGCATCGCTGCCCTCTCGCAACCCGCCCTCCCCCCCCCAACAGGAGCAGCGCAAGACTGCGGAGAACCACGGTACCAGCAGCCTCAAGGGTACGATTGCGCGTGTAGCAAACCACGTACCTTCACATGCAGCCTGTTTGAAGCGCAGGTGTTGACGCCTACGTCGCCTTGTAACACTGCGTTCATGTCCCCTCCCATTCCGCCATCTCCCCCCACCGTCATCCTCCCCTCGTCTCACCCCCTCCTCCTCCCTCCCCCCAGACCTGGGTCTCCCCGTGCTGCTGCCCGCCCTGGAGGCGGTGCGGGGCCGAACGGAGCTGCTGCGAGCATGGAGGGAGATGCACCGGGCGGACCTGAGGGTGGGGGAAGGGGGGGGGGCGTGTGTGTGTATGTGTGTGTTTTAGGTAAACTGGCGTGTCTGTCGGTGTTTGGGTTGCCGTCGGGTTTGCTTGGAATCTTGACGGTGCTTCCCGACTGAGATTCCCCAGTACTCCCCAGGGTAGTTGCCGTGCTTGTTGAAACGTGTGTTGTGTATACACAACACGTTGAACCTTCTTTAGCGTTTCAACGCCCGACTCACCTCGCTGCAGGTGGAGGTGGCTGCGCACGGGTGCCAGGTGGTGAGTGAGGAGGTGACGGCGGCGGCGCACGGCGCACTGCCCGGCCTGGGCCCCCTCATGCGGCTGGCGGAGGAGGAGCTGCGGGCGCGAGTGGGGGAGCTCAAGGTAGCTAGGGAGCTGGGGGCTGTTGGGGGCTGGGGGCAGGGGACTGCTGGGTTCAGGGGTGCTAAGTGCAGGGGGCTGGGTGCTAGTAGTGCTACCTACTACCTGGCTCATGTGCCCCGCGATGAGGGCCCTCAGGGGTAGCCACCGTGCTTCACAGCATTCTGTTGTGTCAGTGCTATCGCGTTATACACTTGCTTAATGTTGCTGCATTACCCAACCGCCATCATCACACAATCACGCACCCCGCTGGCGTCCCCACCACCACCCCCCCACCCCACTCCCCCAGGCCCGCTGCGAGCAGCACCGGCGTGAGAAGGCGCACTTCCACAGCAAGTACCTGGAGGTGCTCAGCGCGCGGGGGGAGGACGGCGACGTGGCGGGGGCGGGCGGCGGCAGCACGGCGGCAGCTGAACAGCAGCAGCGGCAGCAGCAGCGGCTAGCAAGGGAGGAGCAGCAGCAGCAGCGAGGGGAGGAGGAGGAGCAGTTGCAGGGTGCAAAACAGGAGGGACAGGAGCGGCCCGCTAATAGCTTCCCAGCCGGAGGCAGCAGTACTAACCCTAGCAGCAGCGGTAACGGCGGCGGCAGCGGTAGCGGTGGTGGTGGCGGAGGTGGAGCCTCCGCCGCTGCCGCCGCCGCTGGGGTGCTTCCAGCAGCAGCTACGGGTCCGGTACGGCATGTGGGGGTGGCCTGTCGTACAGGCATCTTTGCGTGCCTGCATCCCTGGAGTGCATGGCGGAGTAGTACGACACAATCTAGCAACCGTACGACGTACGGCATTGCTGGCGGCGGCGGCGGCAGCGGTGGAGCGAAGCAGATTGAGGTGGTTGATTTGGTTGATGACGACAAGGGCTCGGCGGCGGCGACTGCGGCGGGTGTTAAGTCGACGACGGAGGCAGCTGACGGCGCCGCCGCCACCATTGGCGTCCTGATGAAGCCTGTGGATGGTGTGGAAACGATGCGCGGTAGTAGCAACCAAGTTGCCGCTGACGGCGGCAGCAATAGCGCTGCAGCGGCGGCGGCGGCGGCGACACCAGCGGAGCCGTCAGCGCCGCCGCAGTCGGCCGCAGCGGCGGCGCGCGCGCGTGTGATGGCGCAGATGGCGGCGCAGCAAGCGAAGATGGCGGCGGCACTGGGGATGGGGGCGAGTGGTGGTGCGGGTGCGGGTGGTGCGGAGGAGGGCAGTGCAGGTCCCGCTCCAGCATCGACAACAGCAGCAGCTGCGGCGCCTGTGGCCGGTGCTGGTACTGCTGCCGGCGGCTCCAAGGCTGGTGCCTGTGCTGGCAATGGGGGTGGTGGTGGAGGCAGCATCTGCAGCATTTGCTACGAACTGCTTACGCACATGTTTCAGGTCTTCCCCTGCGGCCACTACTACTGCACCCCCTGTACCGACGCCATCATGGCCCCCACCGGCAGCCGTACCTGCCCCACGTGCCGCCGACAGCTCAAGAAGGAGGAAATCCGAACGGCGGGAGGCGTCAGCGGGGGGCCGGCGGGTGCGGGGGGGCGCAGGGGGGCCGCTGCTGCGGGGGGCGAGGTGGATCCGCCGGAGGGCGCCTGCATCCTGCGAGTCAAGGTGCGTGTTAAGAAAACTGGCCGCGTGTGTGTTAAAATAACTGGCCGCGTGTGTGTGGTGTTTAAGAGTGCACCCATGCAATGTGGTCATGGTCGTCATGTTTATTTGCTGTCTCGTGTTTCTGTTACCACCTACCGGTATCATTGCCTTATCATACATGCATGCTAACGAGTAATGGCCCCATGCATGCATGCATGCAAACAAATGATGGCCCCATGCGCGCATGTAAACAAACAAACCCCCGTGCAGGTCGCTGGCTCGGATGAGCTAATGGTGAAGATCACGGCACTCGTACGGCGGCTGGTGTGGCTGCGGGACGAGCGACCCGACGAGAAGAGCCTGGTGTTCAGCCAGTGGCCGGAGGCGCTGCAGGTGGGGAGGATGAGGTGATGACCCATGGGTCAACAAACGAGAGGGTTGCTTCTTTTAGGGATATTAGCGCATGTTTGTTGCTGTTTCGAAGCTCTTCCCTGCATCTCATAACCCGTAGCATGCAACAGCCAGAAGCACCACGCACCTCCACTCCGTCACTGGGTCTCATGCCTCCCCCCCCTGCTGCCACCCCCCCGCTGCCGCCTCGCCTCCCCTGCTCAGATCGTGGAGCGCGGGCTGCAGCTGAACGGCATTCGCTGCGTGACCCTCGAGAGCGGGCGGCGGGGTCGCAGCGCCGTCAAGGCGTTCCTCAACGACGATTCCTGCCGCGTCTTCCTGCTCAGCCTGAGACAGGGCGCCGCGGGCCTCACGCTGGTACGGAGCGGGGCGGGGGTGGGGGGGTGGGGGTGGCGGAGCGGGGCGGGTGAAGAGGAAACAGCTAGCGAACCGTGTGATAAGGCATCATATTCTTATACCATGTGTTCACCCCTGCTGCACCCCTCCCCTGCTGCACCCCTTCCGCCTCCCGCCTCCCTGCCTCCCGCCCCTGCTGCCCCCCTTCCGCCCCCCCCCCGCCCCCCAGGTTCGCGCCAACCACGTGTTCCTGCTGGAGCCCTCCCTGGACCCCGCCATCGAGCAGCAGGCGGTGGCGCGTGTGCATCGCATCGGGCAGGAGCGGCCGGTGCGGGTGACGCGGCTGCTGGTGGAGGGCAGCGTGGAGGAGAAGGTCATGATGATGCTGCAGGTGGGTGGGTGGTCGGCGGGGTGCTGGGTGCAAGTCAGCTGGAGCTCAGCTGAGCTGACGGACACGCTTCTGTGTGTGTAGTGGGAAGCGGGAAGCGCTGTCTTCGTGTGAAGTCAAATAGACTACCTGTGTTGTGGCACTGCTGCTGACACGATGCTAATGACAATGCTAGTGAAACCTGGAACGGCAAGCGCACGGTACCAGCCCCCCATCCGGGTGTTCCTCTGTACCACCTGCGGCAGGCCAAGCAGCAGCTCTTCCATGAGGACGTCCACACCCGCCGAGCAGCCGCTGCCGCCGCCGCTGCAGCCGCAGGCCCCTCCACCTCCACAGCCGCAGCAGCAGCAGCCGGTGGCCCCGCAGCTGCCTCCTCCTCGCTGCTGCTCTCCCCCGCCCTGGTTCCGCTGCTGGAGGGCGGTGAGGGCGAGGAGGCGAGCCTGGTGACAGCGGCTCCACGGCACGAGGTGGTGGCGGGGGGTGATATGAGTTACCTGCTGGGGGCGGTGCTGGGGTGAGAGGGCGGTGCGAGCGGGGGGGAGAGAAGCGGAAGTGTAAAATCACATTAAATGCTGCCCGAAACCCAACCCAGAGGGGGTGAGGGGAAGGGTCGGTAGGAGGTGGGCTAGTTCCTATGGTTACAATGCTCAGATACTTGGATGCGGTACTTCATGCCATTACTTCGTACACGGTGTGGCAGTGCTGGGCAAAGTAAGGTGGTAGGGGGGCAGGGTGGAAGAGGAGATAGGGCGGGCCGCAAGCAGTTGGGGACAGGAGGTGGTTGCGGTTGGGGTGGAATGTGAAACGTTTGTTCTTTTCCTGAAGGACGGGAGCAAGGTGTACGGGTTGTGGGATCGTCCCTTTCGTGGCCTGACCTTTGTAGCGGTCATCAACTCGTTCATCAGTTACCAGCAACCATTGATAAGGGGAACAGAAATGCGGGCTCAGGTGGCCGTCACAAGGCAGGACCACCTGCCTTAGGTCTCATGTTTAAGGTCTCATGTACGGTACACTGTTTTGTCTGGTTTGGATATCAGGTCGTGAATTGTGTGCGATGCAGCGCTGCGAGCACCCCTGAAGCAAAATTGAAGACAAAAAATGCCGTTGTGGGACTAGGCTGCGCTTGGCCTGTTGTCGTGCCCCTCTCCCTACACACCTCTGCTGGTGGGAGAAGGAACTGTGCCCACTTAGCGCATGTCAGTGGCTTCCATGATTAGTTACTTACAAACAGTTCCTCACCCACTAGTTACTTACAACAACGACGGGCACGTCCTCACCCAGGGCTGTAACAGTGCACGTCCTCACCCAGGGCTGTAACAGTGCTTGGAGTCAGACAATCATGTCCCCTACTAAATGTTGCCAATTCCTCACAAAAGGTATGCAGCAAAAGGTATGCAGCAATTGATATTCCCTTGTTGGGTGGAGCCCCGGGAAAAGGGAACACGGATTAAAAACCCAACTTGCACGGCAAACAGAAACAAACCAGCAAAACACCTGAGCCAACAAGTCCACAAATGACCGGCAACGAAAAGTACAAAAGAAACCGAGGAAAGGCGGAGAAGAGGCGCCAAAGGACAGATGCAACCAAAAAAGGCTACTAATAGTAGTCTTCAGAATCCCCTACCAAATCCCTCGACTCCACCTCCTCATGTTCCGCAATGAACAATGCATACCTCATCGCCTCAGCCACCGACTCGAACACTCGCTTCCGCCACCAGTCATCAGCGCTGCTGTTCTTTTCCAGCCACTCCCACACCTCACATGCATATCCAGGCCAGTCGCCCTCCGCTGCCATGTGATTGGCCGCCTCATCCACCGCCGCTCCCCAGTCCACCGGGCAGCCTGCCTGCACCAGCCAAGTCAACGTGGGCAGTGGGCAACGCTCCTTGATGCACCTGCAGAAGGTACCACCAGCCTGTGCCCAGGGGTAGCCCAGCCGCCGGAGACACTCCAGTGTGGCCAGGTCCCCATTCCTAGCAGCCGATGTATATGGGTCCAAGGTTGCATCCGTGTTGTTGGTTTCCATGGGGCAGCCATTGTCTGCCAGCCACTCCAGTGCCTCCACACATCCAGCACCTGCAGCATAGGTGTACGCACCCACTTCCCACATGCAGGCACGCTCCTCACGCAGCCACCTCATAAGCACCACACTGCCCGAGGATGCGGCAGCACGGAAGAGATGCATGGTGCGCAGTGGCTCATCAGGGCCCAGGAAGTCCAGTAGTGCAGCCACAACGGCCAGCTGGCCACCCCTTGCGGCTTCCTCCATAATGTCCTTGTTCATCTGGTAGTCCTGTTCTGCCAGCAACCTGAACACCTCCAGGTGGCCTGACTTGACAGCGGCACCCACAGCATGTGTGTTTGGTAGGACACCCTGCGCCAGGAGGTAACGCAGTGCCTCTGTGTTGTTGTGTATGGTGACGCTATCTGCGGCTTTGCGATTCACTGGATAGCCTCTGTCCAGGAGCCACAACAGGCGGTCCAGTGCGTCCGGCATGCAAGCGGCGTTCTCACAGACAACAGTGGACCGTGGAAAGCCCTGCGCCTCCAGCCATTCAACCTTGGCCTGCCAGTCCGCTGTGCTGCTGCTTGCTGCCGCTGCCAGCAAGAAGGGCTTCCATTCCTCTTGCTCCCCCTCCTCTAGCAGACCCTCGGCTTGCCACTCCTGCATCAGTCGCTGCAGCTCCGGCAGCTCGCAGCCCACCGCCGCAAAGCATACGAGCTCGCGAAAGTTAATACGTTCCCTCCCGTACCGCGGGTGCTGCTGCAGTAACCAGTGCATCAGGTGGATGTGGTTCTTGTCTGCAGCAAGGTATACCGCGCGGTTGCTCCAGGGACAGCTGAACTGCTCCAGGCACATCCGGCAAGCCTCTAGGTGCCCCGCATCGGCTGCAGCTTCCAGGGCGTCCAGGCGGGTCAGGTGATCTCCATGGGCCAATGCCTCTTTGAAGGCCTCGATGTGTCCACCCGACAACGCGGCCTCAAGAACTTCGACGGATGGAGCACAGCCGGCCTGCTTTATTGCATACAGCAGATTGGACGTGACACCAGTGCCAGCCGTTAGGCATAGAAGCTGCATGCGCTGTTTAAGCGTCAGGCCCCGCATCGCATTCGGCGAGCCCCAGCGCCATGTGAACGCGGGTGCTGGAACAGGAAGCGAGAGCTTCACAACCTTTTCGTGTGGTCTGCAGAACTGAGCTGCCGCAGCCTTATTTATAAGCCGGACAGTGCACGGAATTTCATTGGATGGCAAGAATCGGACGACGTGACCTACTAACTGTGTTGGCAGCGGTATCCAGGGGAACCGTTGTTCATTATCTGCGTACCCAGAAACAAGAGAGGGCTGATTTTGAGTCATAATGAAGCGCAGGGTAAGCATATGTCAGGCTCACAACCTCCCAACGACATGGGAGCGCAGGAAGGAATACGGGTCGGAAATACGTACGGCAGGTACGGTCGCAATGCATGCACTTCACGCTCTTGGCATCTTCCATAGATCTGCTCTCTAAAGCTGCTTTGGGATGCACCTGTCCAATTGTAAACTAGCTTGAAGGAATGGCAGCCATTACAATGCAGCGGATTCGGCCGTTCGCTGGCGTGACGACCACATTTCCTTGCCGCACCCGCATAGTAACACGTGCTCAGCTTATAACAAAGCGGAAATGCACTTCAAATGATAAAATTGACAAGGCATGGGCTGCATCCTTTGGCGAAAAGCTCAGCATGGCCATTCCACTCTCGCTTGGGGCGTTGGCCGTGGCAGCACCGCGTGCTATGTCTGAAGACTTAGCGACTATGCCAACCAGCTCACCTGCAGCTACGGATGATGCGCTATTGCTAGCTTTAAGTACCCCCAGCGGCAGCATCGAGGAGCTCATCGTGCCGCTGCTTTTTGGAGTTGTGGCACTTCTCCTAACCGTCGTAACTGGAGGGGTGCGTAATGTGGTTTACCTATACACCGTGTTCCTACGCCGAAGCTCCCACCCGCGGGACAGACACCCGAGCCCCCGCCCCACCCATGGTGAAGCCTTGTCATACAGCAACACCAACCACCCAATAACAACATAGCTTTTTTTCGTGTCCACTGGAATGCTGTCGTACCCTTTCCGATTCTCTCTCTCTCTCCATCCGTCGTCCCTGTTACTGCTCGAACAACACGGGTAACGCTCCTTTTTGCCCCGCTCCATCCTTACGCCGTACGCTGGTCCTTACATTGATCCTAAAATGGTACGACAGGCGGTTGATTTCGGAGCCGTACAAGTCGGGTTCCTCGGAGGGTCGCTCCCGACTGGCAGCTCTCCTCAAGCCCATCATGTGGCGCAACAGCAAGGCGGTGCAGGCGCTAGATCACCCTCTGCCGCCGCGGACACTGCAGGTGGGGTGCTGGGATGCTGGGTGGGTTCGGAACTTAGGATGCGTTTAGCCCTGCATACTGCGGAGTGGTCCACCGGGTGGATGTCCACCGCGGGGGTGTGGAGTAAAGAGTGCTAGGAGGTGCTGCTTTCCATGCCGGGGTATGCATCCGTTGTGGGGTGATTGGGGTAGACTGTTGACTTTCCTAGTTCTTCGCTACTACTGCGATACTGCTCCTGTTACTACCGCGATACTGCCGCGATACCGCTCCTGTCACTGCGGATGCTGCGGATGCGAATGCTCCTGTTACTGCTGCCGTTACTGCTCCTGTAACCTGCTGCTGCCGCTGCTGCTGCTCCAGGAAGCACACCTGCGGTTCTCCGCGGCAGAGGAGGCCTTCTATGACGTCATTCTTGGGGAGACGCGCCGGGCCTTCGATGAGATGACCTCACACCAGCGCCAACAGCAGCAGCAACAACAACAAGATCAAGAGCAGCAGCAACAAGACCAACAAGATCAAGAGCAGCAACAGCAACAACAAGGTAGCCAGCAGCAGCAGCAGCGGCCTGCAGACGGCCCCGTTGACCTCACGGGAGACGATGACCCGGTTTACCAGGGTCGGGACGGGGGGCATGCACACGCTACCCACGCTAACGGCACTGCTGCTGCTGCCGGGGCGGAGAAGAAGAAGCACCCGCGGACAACCAACAGGCGCCGTCGAGGTGAGGTTTGGCAGGGAGGGAGTGGCGGTGGGCTTGACAGGCTTGGCTGGGAGGGAGAGTGGGCTGCAGGGTCGGGGTCTGTCAGTGCTCGCGTCCTGACATGCTCTGCCCCAAAGTCCCTTGTTTCCCACGCGTCCTAAACCCCTGGCCTTTGTCTCTTTCTCCTCCTCCTGCTGCTGCCCGGTGACGCCACTGCCCATTATGCATACCTACCCTTCCCTGCCCCTCCCCCTCCCTTCACCCCTTGCCTCCCGTCCATCTCTCTCCCTTTCCATCCCATCCACCTCCCCTCTCTCCCTCTTCCCGCCCTCTTCCCATTCCCACTGCTGCCCCGCCCCTCAACACATCACCTCACCTCAAGACCGCGGTGCCGAGCTGGTCCAGGAGGCTCACGGCGAGCTGCACCAACTGCGACTAGCCTGTGTGCACCCCAAGCTAACCCGCTACTGGCGACAGATGGCCTCGGAGCTGGGGCTGGGGGCGGGCGGGGGCGGGGGACATGGGCATGGGGGGGCACATGGAGGGGGAGGAGGGGGGGCACATGCAGGAGGGGCGCTGCCGTCGATTGATGAGCTAATGGCGAGGCTGCGGGACAAGTCTCAGCTGCAGTTGCAGGTGAGGGAAGAGGAGAAGGCATGACGAGAAGAAAAGGCCGAATGTGTTGAATGAGGGATGGGGTGAGGGACCATGGAGAAGGGTCGGAGGAGTGGCTCCACCCTTTTTTGAGCTACCCTTGCCTCGCGGCACCCTCTCTTCGTTACCGTTACAGAACGCGGAACGAGACCTCTGCATGGTGCTCAACGCGCTCGCCGCCCGCCTGGCTGCAACCGCACGCAAGGTATCCGCCATGGCAACCAAACGTGCGGCTCAGGAGGCGGCGGGGGCCCTGCCCTCGCCGTCAAAGAAGACCCCTGGAGAGGAACAGCGGCCACAGAAGCGAGCGAAGAAGCAGACGGGGGCAACGACAACTGCGGCGGCGGCGGCGGTGGAGGATGGCGAGGCGGCGGCAGGGGCTGAGGAGGCGAAGGGTGGTGACGCGGCTGCTGCGGAGGGGGAAGCGGCGGTGCCGGCGTTTCGATACAATGCCAGCGGCAAGAGCGCGGGTGAGTGCGGGTGTTCTGTTCCTGCCTGTACCTCGCACCTTTTCCCACCCTCGCACTTCCTGTTGTCGCTGTCGCTCTAGACCGCTGTACCCGATACACGTTTCGGCAGCGAACCTTGGACAATGCTACACGGGTACAAGGCTCGCACCGCATCCGTGTTGTTTTTTTGGTTATCCTGAATTGCCTATCCTACATTGCCCATCCTGAATAATGCTAAGCGCGTCCCTGCCTCCTCACCTGCCGTGCCCCGCTACCCCCCGCGCACCCTCCCTCCTCCCTCCCTTCCTCAGCCGAGCTAGCTGAAGACGGCCAACGCATGCTGCGGGAGGTGGCGGAGATGCTTGAGACCAGTTGGGCGGTGGGGGAGAACGGCATCGAGGCGGCGGAGGGAGCTGCGGCGGCGGGAGAGGGAGAGGGCGCAGCAGCAGCAGCAGCGGGGGAGGGCGGGGATGTGGAGATCCAGGCGGCGGATGCGAGTATCAGGGCTTGGCGTCTGGTGCAGGTGGGGTGGTGGCGCTGGGTGGGTGGGTGCGGCTGCTGCGGTCATGCGTGTTTCCACAGCAGCAGCCGTTGGGAGTAGTACCGTACTGGCTAAGAGTGTGCTTCGTACGCTTCCTTGCTAAGACCCTCCCTCCCTTCTCCATGTCAGTTTGGGCTCTACCTCCCGCGACACCCCGCGTGTTCCCCTTCGTCCCACGCGCATGTCCGGCTGCACCCTCCCCCCCCAGGCAACTAACTTGGGCGGGGCAACTTACCTTTTCGTTTCATGACAAACTGCTTCACTATACCCCAATTGCGTTGCCCTAACCTGTGGTTCTGGTATATCTTTGCCCCCCCCCAGGCCCACACCTCCCAGCTCCTAGCCGACCTCCTGACCGCACAACCCGAACTCGTCACTGCGGCGCGACCTGCGGCCCCGACTGCCGCCGCTGCTGCGGCCGCTACCTCCACCGCCGCCGCCGCTACCTCCACTGCCGCCGCCGCTACCTCCACTGCCGCCGCCGCTACCTCCACTGCCGCCGCCGCTACCTCCACTGCCGCCGCCGCTACCTCCACTGCCGCCGCCGCTACCTCCACTGCCGCCGCCGCTACCTCCACTGCCGCCGCCGCTACCTCCACTGCCGCCGCCGCTACCTCCACTGCCGCCGCCGCTACCTCCACTGCCGCCGCCGCTACCTCCACTGCCGCCGCCGCTACCTCCACTGCCGCCGCCGCTACCTCCACTGCCGCCGCCGCTACCTCCACTGCCGCCGCTGACGTCATCACTGCCGCCGCATCTCGCGCTTCCGAGCTGCGTGCTTACGTGGCAAGTCGCGAGGCAGACGTGCGGTCTACCGCGGACCGAGAGCTGCAACGAGCACAGGAGCGGCGAGATCGGGTGAAATCCACAATTGAGCGGTTGGAAAAGGAGCTGACGGAGGCGTACGATACTGCCGTACGACAAGGGATGCCGGCGGGTTTTGTTTCGGAGCCAAAAGGTTGGTTGGAGGCGTTGTACGGCAGATTGGAAGCGGCTCGGCAGCTGGAAGCGAAGCAGCGGGAGGAGCAGCAGGTAGGCTCTGGGTGGGTTGGTGGGTTGCGGCAAAACTTTAGGTACTCACGTTCTATAAAGTGACCCATGGGTCTTATGATACCCCTGTCCTCTCTCTTTACTGGCCAACTACCAAGACAACCAATTCTCCTTCCTAATTTGTACGTCTGTACGGCAGGCCGCTGCTGACGCCGGCGCCACGCTCGCGCTGATGGGTCGCGAGGTGACGGGGCTGCTTGCTGAGGAGGAGGCGGCGGTCAATAAGCAGCGAGTGGGGTTGGAGGCGGTGACGGGCTCCATGCTGGTAGCGGCGGCGGTGGGGCGTGTGCGGGCGGCGGATCGGGGGCTGCGCATGCAGGGGCCGCACGGACAGGGACTTGGAGATGCCTCTGGCGCTGCGGCAGGCCTGCAGGCGTGGCGGGAGGTGCTCGTTGGTGAGTATGTACCGATATGTGGGCGGCAGGGGCGGGCGGGCGTTAAAAGTAGGCTTACGGCAGGTCGAATCTCCTCCTACAACGACAGCGCCGTGTGTGCCAGTTATGAGCTTATGAGCTCATGACGGAAGATCCTACGCGACACTGTCCTCTCATGTCAGGTATTACGGCGATATATCCTCCCCGTCTGGCCCTTTGCCCGCCTAACAACCCGCATCCTCCTCTCCACCCCCTCCCCCCCAGGCGGAGTCCACGTGCATGTGCCACCCGAGGGCGTCACGCAAGTGTCCCAAGACCCACGGGTCGCTTGCCGCGCCGCGTGGGCCCTATCCTACCCGCCCTCGCTGGGGCTGCTGCGCCGAGCGGTGGCGGTGTGCGAGGCGCCGGGGCCAGTGGAGGGCGCGGCGCGGGGGGTGCTGCATGGCTGCGACCAGATGACAGTGCTGCTGGTGGGTGGGGTGGGGGGGGCTGCGAAGTCTTTGCGCTGCTGTGTTGTTGAGAAAGCTGGCCGAGAGTCGGAACGTACCGTGTGTGCCTTGTTGTCTTGCTCCTGTTTAAGCTGTGGAGGGCAGTTCAATGTGTGGCAGCTACCTGGATGAACCTGCCAGTAGTCATATGCTTGTCTCAAAGATTAAGCCATGCATGTTGAAGTATAAAATGCTTATGCTGTGTAACTGCGAATGGCTCGTTAAATCAGTTACAGTTTATTTCATGGTACCTACTGCTTGGGTACCCGTAGTAATTCTAGAGCTAGTACATGCGCACAACCCAACTTCTGGAGGGGTCATATTTACCGTATTAGGTAAAAGGCCAGGCCTGTTGCATCTCGAGTAAACAATGTGGCCTGGGTGTGTGCAGTGCGAGCGGCACCTGCGGCAACCGCTGCGCTGGCTGGAGTCACGACTACAGGTGTGGGTGTGTGGGGGGGCAGCGGGGGGAGGGGACAACCGCATCGCGCATCGGTTGTTGTCACAGCGGTAACGGTGCCGGCGCCTGGGCGGCTGTTGGTGTGCGCATGCTTCGGGTGCATTTCAAGCCGCTTGGTACGGCAGCGTAACGTGGGTTGGTGTATGTGCATGTATGCCTGTACCTACCCCAAAAGAGTAAATCTCTCTCACCTGCATCGCTGCCCTCTCGCAACCCGCCCTCCCCCCCCCAACAGGAGCAGCGCAAGACTGCGGAGAACCACGGTACCAGCAGCCTCAAGGGTACGATTGCGCGTGTAGCAAACCACGTACCTTCACATGCAGCCTGTTTGAAGCGCAGGTGTTGACGCCTACGTCGCCTTGTAACACTGCGTTCATGTCCCCTCCCATTCCGCCATCTCCCCCCACCGTCATCCTCCCCTCGTCTCACCCCCTCCTCCTCCCTCCCCCCAGACCTGGGTCTCCCCGTGCTGCTGCCCGCCCTGGAGGCGGTGCGGGGCCGAACGGAGCTGCTGCGAGCATGGAGGGAGATGCACCGGGCGGACCTGAGGGTGGGGGAAGGGGGGGGGGCGTGTGTGTGTATGTGTGTGTTTTAGGTAAACTGGCGTGTCTGTCGGTGTTTGGGTTGCCGTCGGGTTTGCTTGGAATCTTGACGGTGCTTCCCGACTGAGATTCCCCAGTACTCCCCAGGGTAGTTGCCGTGCTTGTTGAAACGTGTGTTGTGTATACACAACACGTTGAACCTTCTTTAGCGTTTCAACGCCCGACTCACCTCGCTGCAGGTGGAGGTGGCTGCGCACGGGTGCCAGGTGGTGAGTGAGGAGGTGACGGCGGCGGCGCACGGCGCACTGCCCGGCCTGGGCCCCCTCATGCGGCTGGCGGAGGAGGAGCTGCGGGCGCGAGTGGGGGAGCTCAAGGTAGCTAGGGAGCTGGGGGCTGTTGGGGGCTGGGGGCAGGGGACTGCTGGGTTCAGGGGTGCTAAGTGCAGGGGGCTGGGTGCTAGTAGTGCTACCTACTACCTGGCTCATGTGCCCCGCGATGAGGGCCCTCAGGGGTAGCCACCGTGCTTCACAGCATTCTGTTGTGTCAGTGCTATCGCGTTATACACTTGCTTAATGTTGCTGCATTACCCAACCGCCATCATCACACAATCACGCACCCCGCTGGCGTCCCCACCACCACCACCCCACCCCACTCCCCCAGGCCCGCTGCGAGCAGCACCGGCGTGAGAAGGCGCACTTCCACAGCAAGTACCTGGAGGTGCTCAGCGCGCGGGGGGAGGACGGCGACGTGGCGGGGGCGGGCGGCGGCAGCACGGCGGCAGCTGAACAGCAGCAGCGGCAGCAGCAGCGGCTAGCAAGGGAGGAGCAGCAGCAGCAGCGAGGGGAGGAGGAGGAGCAGTTGCAGGGTGCAAAACAGGAGGGACAGGAGCGGCCCGCTAATAGCTTCCCAGCCGGAGGCAGCAGTACTAACCCTAGCAGCAGCGGTAACGGCGGCGGCAGCGGTAGCGGTGGTGGTGGCGGAGGTGGAGCCTCCGCCGCTGCCGCCGCCGCTGGGGTGCTTCCAGCAGCAGCTACGGGTCCGGTACGGCATGTGGGGGTGGCCTGTCGTACAGGCATCTTTGCGTGCCTGCATCCCTGGAGTGCATGGCGGAGTAGTACGACACAATCTAGCAACCGTACGACGTACGGCATTGCTGGCGGCGGCGGCGGCAGCGGTGGAGCGAAGCAGATTGAGGTGGTTGATTTGGTTGATGACGACAAGGGCTCGGCGGCGGCGACTGCGGCGGGTGTTAAGTCGACGACGGAGGCAGCTGACGGCGCCGCCGCCACCATTGGCGTCCTGATGAAGCCTGTGGATGGTGTGGAAACGATGCGCGGTAGTAGCAACCAAGTTGCCGCTGACGGAGGCAGCAATAGCGCTGCAGCGGCGGCGGCGGCGGCGACACCAGCGGAGCCGTCAGCGCCGCCGCAGTCGGCCGCAGCGGCGGCGCGCGCGCGTGTGATGGCGCAGATGGCGGCGCAGCAAGCGAAGATGGCGGCGGCACTGGGGATGGGGGCGAGTGGTGGTGCGGGTGCGGGTGGTGCGGAGGAGGGCAGTGCAGGTCCCGCTCCAGCATCGACAACAGCAGCAGCTGCGGCGCCTGTGGCCGGTGCTGGTACTGCTGCCGGCGGCTCCAAGGCTGGTGCCTGTGCTGGCAATGGGGGTGGTGGTGGAGGCAGCATCTGCAGCATTTGCTACGAACTGCTTACGCACATGTTTCAGGTCTTCCCCTGCGGCCACTACTACTGCACCCCCTGTACCGACGCCATCATGGCCCCCACCGGCAGCCGTACCTGCCCCACGTGCCGCCGACAGCTCAAGAAGGAGGAAATCCGAACGGCGGGAGGCGTCAGCGGGGGGCCGGCGGGTGCGGGGGGGCGCAGGGGGGCCGCTGCTGCGGGGGGCGAGGTGGATCCGCCGGAGGGCGCCTGCATCCTGCGAGTCAAGGTGCGTGTTAAGAAAACTGGCCGCGTGTGTGTTAAAATAACTGGCCGCGTGTGTGTGGTGTTTAAGAGTGCACCCATGCAATGTGGTCATGGTCGTCATGTTTATTTGCTGTCTCGTGTTTCTGTTACCACCTACCGGTATCATTGCCTTATCATACATGCATGCTAACGAGTAATGGCCCCATGCATGCATGCATGCAAACAAATGATGGCCCCATGCGCGCATGTAAACAAACAAACCCCCGTGCAGGTCGCTGGCTCGGATGAGCTAATGGTGAAGATCACGGCACTCGTACGGCGGCTGGTGTGGCTGCGGGACGAGCGACCCGACGAGAAGAGCCTGGTGTTCAGCCAGTGGCCGGAGGCGCTGCAGGTGGGGAGGATGAGGTGATGACCCATGGGTCAACAAACGAGAGGGTTGCTTCTTTTAGGGATATTAGCGCATGTTTGTTGCTGTTTCGAAGCTCTTCCCTGCATCTCATAACCCGTAGCATGCAACAGCCAGAAGCACCACGCACCTCCACTCCGTCACTGGGTCTCATGCCTCCCCCCCCTGCTGCCACCCCCCCGCTGCCGCCTCGCCTCCCCTGCTCAGATCGTGGAGCGCGGGCTGCAGCTGAACGGCATTCGCTGCGTGACCCTCGAGAGCGGGCGGCGGGGTCGCAGCGCCGTCAAGGCGTTCCTCAACGACGATTCCTGCCGCGTCTTCCTGCTCAGCCTGAGACAGGGCGCCGCGGGCCTCACGCTGGTACGGAGCGGGGCGGGGGTGGGGGGGTGGGGGTGGCGGAGCGGGGCGGGTGAAGAGGAAACAGCTAGCGAACCGTGTGATAAGGCATCATATTCTTATACCATGTGTTCACCCCTGCTGCACCCCTCCCCTGCTGCACCCCTTCCGCCTCCCGCCTCCCTGCCTCCCGCCCCTGCTGCCCCCCTTCCGCCCCCCCCCCGCCCCCCAGGTTCGCGCCAACCACGTGTTCCTGCTGGAGCCCTCCCTGGACCCCGCCATCGAGCAGCAGGCGGTGGCGCGTGTGCATCGCATCGGGCAGGAGCGGCCGGTGCGGGTGACGCGGCTGCTGGTGGAGGGCAGCGTGGAGGAGAAGGTCATGATGATGCTGCAGGTGGGTGGGTGGTCGGCGGGGTGCTGGGTGCAAGTCAGCTGGAGCTCAGCTGAGCTGACGGACACGCTTCTGTGTGTGTAGTGGGAAGCGGGAAGCGCTGTCTTCGTGTGAAGTCAAATAGACTACCTGTGTTGTGGCACTGCTGCTGACACGATGCTAATGACAATGCTAGTGAAACCTGGAACGGCAAGCGCACGGTACCAGCCCCCCATCCGGGTGTTCCTCTGTACCACCTGCGGCAGGCCAAGCAGCAGCTCTTCCATGAGGACGTCCACACCCGCCGAGCAGCCGCTGCCGCCGCCGCTGCAGCCGCAGGCCCCTCCACCTCCACAGCCGCAGCAGCAGCAGCCGGTGGCCCCGCAGCTGCCTCCTCCTCGCTGCTGCTCTCCCCCGCCCTGGTTCCGCTGCTGGAGGGCGGTGAGGGCGAGGAGGCGAGCCTGGTGACAGCGGCTCCACGGCACGAGGTGGTGGCGGGGGGTGATATGAGTTACCTGCTGGGGGCGGTGCTGGGGTGAGAGGGCGGTGCGAGCGGGGGGGAGAGAAGCGGAAGTGTAAAATCACATTAAATGCTGCCCGAAACCCAACCCAGAGGGGGTGAGGGGAAGGGTCGGTAGGAGGTGGGCTAGTTCCTATGGTTACAATGCTCAGATACTTGGATGCGGTACTTCATGCCATTACTTCGTACACGGTGTGGCAGTGCTGGGCAAAGTAAGGTGGTAGGGGGGCAGGGTGGAAGAGGAGATAGGGCGGGCCGCAAGCAGTTGGGGACAGGAGGTGGTTGCGGTTGGGGTGGAATGTGAAACGTTTGTTCTTTTCCTGAAGGACGGGAGCAAGGTGTACGGGTTGTGGGATCGTCCCTTTCGTGGCCTGACCTTTGTAGCGGTCATCAACTCGTTCATCAGTTACCAGCAACCATTGATAAGGGGAACAGAAATGCGGGCTCAGGTGGCCGTCACAAGGCAGGACCACCTGCCTTAGGTCTCATGTTTAAGGTCTCATGTACGGTACACTGTTTTGTCTGGTTTGGATATCAGGTCGTGAATTGTGTGCGATGCAGCGCTGCGAGCACCCCTGAAGCAAAATTGAAGACAAAAAATGCCGTTGTGGGACTAGGCTGCGCTTGGCCTGTTGTCGTGCCCCTCTCCCTACACACCTCTGCTGGTGGGAGAAGGAACTGTGCCCACTTAGCGCATGTCAGTGGCTTCCATGATTAGTTACTTACAAACAGTTCCTCACCCACTAGTTACTTACAACAACGACGGGCACGTCCTCACCCAGGGCTGTAACAGTGCACGTCCTCACCCAGGGCTGTAACAGTGCTTGGAGTCAGACAATCATGTCCCCTACTAAATGTTGCCAATTCCTCACAAAAGGTATGCAGCAAAAGGTATGCAGCAATTGATATTCCCTTGTTGGGTGGAGCCCCGGGAAAAGGGAACACGGATTAAAAACCCAACTTGCACGGCAAACAGAAACAAACCAGCAAAACACCTGAGCCAACAAGTCCACAAATGACCGGCAACGAAAAGTACAAAAGAAACCGAGGAAAGGCGGAGAAGAGGCGCCAAAGGACAGATGCAACCAAAAAAGGCTACTAATAGTAGTCTTCAGAATCCCCTACCAAATCCCTCGACTCCACCTCCTCATGTTCCGCAATGAACAATGCATACCTCATCGCCTCAGCCACCGACTCGAACACTCGCTTCCGCCACCAGTCATCAGCGCTGCTGTTCTTTTCCAGCCACTCCCACACCTCACATGCATATCCAGGCCAGTCGCCCTCCGCTGCCATGTGATTGGCCGCCTCATCCACCGCCGCTCCCCAGTCCACCGGGCAGCCTGCCTGCACCAGCCAAGTCAACGTGGGCAGTGGGCAACGCTCCTTGATGCACCTGCAGAAGGTACCACCAGCCTGTGCCCAGGGGTAGCCCAGCCGCCGGAGACACTCCAGTGTGGCCAGGTCCCCATTCCTAGCAGCCGATGTATATGGGTCCAAGGTTGCATCCGTGTTGTTGGTTTCCATGGGGCAGCCATTGTCTGCCAGCCACTCCAGTGCCTCCACACATCCAGCACCTGCAGCATAGGTGTACGCACCCACTTCCCACATGCAGGCACGCTCCTCACGCAGCCACCTCATAAGCACCACACTGCCCGAGGATGCGGCAGCACGGAAGAGATGCATGGTGCGCAGTGGCTCATCAGGGCCCAGGAAGTCCAGTAGTGCAGCCACAACGGCCAGCTGGCCACCCCTTGCGGCTTCCTCCATAATGTCCTTGTTCATCTGGTAGTCCTGTTCTGCCAGCAACCTGAACACCTCCAGGTGGCCTGACTTGACAGCGGCACCCACAGCATGTGTGTTTGGTAGGACACCCTGCGCCAGGAGGTAACGCAGTGCCTCTGTGTTGTTGTGTATGGTGACGCTATCTGCGGCTTTGCGATTCACTGGATAGCCTCTGTCCAGGAGCCACAACAGGCGGTCCAGTGCGTCCGGCATGCAAGCGGCGTTCTCACAGACAACAGTGGACCGTGGAAAGCCCTGCGCCTCCAGCCATTCAACCTTGGCCTGCCAGTCCGCTGTGCTGCTGCTTGCTGCCGCTGCCAGCAAGAAGGGCTTCCATTCCTCTTGCTCCCCCTCCTCTAGCAGACCCTCGGCTTGCCACTCCTGCATCAGTCGCTGCAGCTCCGGCAGCTCGCAGCCCACCGCCGCAAAGCATACGAGCTCGCGAAAGTTAATACGTTCCCTCCCGTACCGCGGGTGCTGCTGCAGTAACCAGTGCATCAGGTGGATGTGGTTCTTGTCTGCAGCAAGGTATACCGCGCGGTTGCTCCAGGGACAGCTGAACTGCTCCAGGCACATCCGGCAAGCCTCTAGGTGCCCCGCATCGGCTGCAGCTTCCAGGGCGTCCAGGCGGGTCAGGTGATCTCCATGGGCCAATGCCTCTTTGAAGGCCTCGATGTGTCCACCCGACAACGCGGCCTCAAGAACTTCGACGGATGGAGCACAGCCGGCCTGCTTTATTGCATACAGCAGATTGGACGTGACACCAGTGCCAGCCGTTAGGCATAGAAGCTGCATGCGCTGTTTAAGCGTCAGGCCCCGCATCGCATTCGGCGAGCCCCAGCGCCATGTGAACGCGGGTGCTGGAACAGGAAGCGAGAGCTTCACAACCTTTTCGTGTGGTCTGCAGAACTGAGCTGCCGCAGCCTTATTTATAAGCCGGACAGTGCACGGAATTTCATTGGATGGCAAGAATCGGACGACGTGACCTACTAACTGTGTTGGCAGCGGTATCCAGGGGAACCGTTGTTCATTATCTGCGTACCCAGAAACAAGAGAGGGCTGATTTTGAGTCATAATGAAGCGCAGGGTAAGCATATGTCAGGCTCACAACCTCCCAACGACATGGGAGCGCAGGAAGGAATACGGGTCGGAAATACGTACGGCAGGTACGGTCGCAATGCATGCACTTCACGCTCTTGGCATCTTCCATAGATCTGCTCTCTAAAGCTGCTTTGGGATGCACCTGTCCAATTGTAAACTAGCTTGAAGGAATGGCAGCCATTACAATGCAGCGGATTCGGCCGTTCGCTGGCGTGACGACCACATTTCCTTGCCGCACCCGCATAGTAACACGTGCTCAGCTTATAACAAAGCGGAAATGCACTTCAAATGATAAAATTGACAAGGCATGGGCTGCATCCTTTGGCGAAAAGCTCAGCATGGCCATTCCACTCTCGCTTGGGGCGTTGGCCGTGGCAGCACCGCGTGCTATGTCTGAAGACTTAGCGACTATGCCAACCAGCTCACCTGCAGCTACGGATGATGCGCTATTGCTAGCTTTAAGTACCCCCAGCGGCAGCATCGAGGAGCTCATCGTGCCGCTGCTTTTTGGAGTTGTGGCACTTCTCCTAACCGTCGTAACTGGAGGGGTGCGTAATGTGGTTTACCTATACACCGTGTTCCTACGCCGAAGCTCCCACCCGCGGGACAGACACCCGAGCCCCCGCCCCACCCATGGTGAAGCCTTGTCATACAGCAACACCAACCACCCAATAACAACATAGCTTTTTTTCGTGTCCACTGGAATGCTGTCGTACCCTTTCCGATTCTCTCTCTCTCTCCATCCGTCGTCCCTGTTACTGCTCGAACAACACGGGTAACGCTCCTTTTTGCCCCGCTCCATCCTTACGCCGTACGCTGGTCCTTACATTGATCCTAAAATGGTACGACAGGCGGTTGATTTCGGAGCCGTACAAGTCGGGTTCCTCGGAGGGTCGCTCCCGACTGGCAGCTCTCCTCAAGCCCATCATGTGGCGCAACAGCAAGGCGGTGCAGGCGCTAGATCACCCTCTGCCGCCGCGGACACTGCAGGTGGGGTGCTGGGATGCTGGGTGGGTTCGGAACTTAGGATGCGTTTAGCCCTGCATACTGCGGAGTGGTCCACCGGGTGGATGTCCACCGCGGGGGTGTGGAGTAAAGAGTGCTAGGAGGTGCTGCTTTCCATGCCGGGGTATGCATCCGTTGTGGGGTGATTGGGGTAGACTGTTGACTTTCCTAGTTCTTCGCTACTACTGCGATACTGCTCCTGTTACTACCGCGATACTGCCGCGATACCGCTCCTGTCACTGCGGATGCTGCGGATGCGAATGCTCCTGTTACTGCTGCCGTTACTGCTCCTGTAACCTGCTGCTGCCGCTGCTGCTGCTCCAGGAAGCACACCTGCGGTTCTCCGCGGCAGAGGAGGCCTTCTATGACGTCATTCTTGGGGAGACGCGCCGGGCCTTCGATGAGATGACCTCACACCAGCGCCAACAGCAGCAGCAACAACAACAAGATCAAGAGCAGCAGCAACAAGACCAACAAGATCAAGAGCAGCAACAGCAACAACAAGGTAGCCAGCAGCAGCAGCAGCGGCCTGCAGACGGCCCCGTTGACCTCACGGGAGACGATGACCCGGTTTACCAGGGTCGGGACGGGGGGCATGCACACGCTACCCACGCTAACGGCACTGCTGCTGCTGCCGGGGCGGAGAAGAAGAAGCACCCGCGGACAACCAACAGGCGCCGTCGAGGTGAGGTTTGGCAGGGAGGGAGTGGCGGTGGGCTTGACAGGCTTGGCTGGGAGGGAGAGTGGGCTGCAGGGTCGGGGTCTGTCAGTGCTCGCGTCCTGACATGCTCTGCCCCAAAGTCCCTTGTTTCCCACGCGTCCTAAACCCCTGGCCTTTGTCTCTTTCTCCTCCTCCTGCTGCTGCCCGGTGACGCCACTGCCCATTATGCATACCTACCCTTCCCTGCCCCTCCCCCTCCCTTCACCCCTTGCCTCCCGTCCATCTCTCTCCCTTTCCATCCCATCCACCTCCCCTCTCTCCCTCTTCCCGCCCTCTTCCCATTCCCACTGCTGCCCCGCCCCTCAACACATCACCTCACCTCAAGACCGCGGTGCCGAGCTGGTCCAGGAGGCTCACGGCGAGCTGCACCAACTGCGACTAGCCTGTGTGCACCCCAAGCTAACCCGCTACTGGCGACAGATGGCCTCGGAGCTGGGGCTGGGGGCGGGCGGGGGCGGGGGACATGGGCATGGGGGGGCACATGGAGGGGGAGGAGGGGGGGCACATGCAGGAGGGGCGCTGCCGTCGATTGATGAGCTAATGGCGAGGCTGCGGGACAAGTCTCAGCTGCAGTTGCAGGTGAGGGAAGAGGAGAAGGCATGACGAGAAGAAAAGGCCGAATGTGTTGAATGAGGGATGGGGTGAGGGACCATGGAGAAGGGTCGGAGGAGTGGCTCCACCCTTTTTTGAGCTACCCTTGCCTCGCGGCACCCTCTCTTCGTTACCGTTACAGAACGCGGAACGAGACCTCTGCATGGTGCTCAACGCGCTCGCCGCCCGCCTGGCTGCAACCGCACGCAAGGTATCCGCCATGGCAACCAAACGTGCGGCTCAGGAGGCGGCGGGGGCCCTGCCCTCGCCGTCAAAGAAGACCCCTGGAGAGGAACAGCGGCCACAGAAGCGAGCGAAGAAGCAGACGGGGGCAACGACAACTGCGGCGGCGGCGGCGGTGGAGGATGGCGAGGCGGCGGCAGGGGCTGAGGAGGCGAAGGGTGGTGACGCGGCTGCTGCGGAGGGGGAAGCGGCGGTGCCGGCGTTTCGATACAATGCCAGCGGCAAGAGCGCGGGTGAGTGCGGGTGTTCTGTTCCTGCCTGTACCTCGCACCTTTTCCCACCCTCGCACTTCCTGTTGTCGCTGTCGCTCTAGACCGCTGTACCCGATACACGTTTCGGCAGCGAACCTTGGACAATGCTACACGGGTACAAGGCTCGCACCGCATCCGTGTTGTTTTTTTGGTTATCCTGAATTGCCTATCCTACATTGCCCATCCTGAATAATGCTAAGCGCGTCCCTGCCTCCTCACCTGCCGTGCCCCGCTACCCCCCGCGCACCCTCCCTCCTCCCTCCCTTCCTCAGCCGAGCTAGCTGAAGACGGCCAACGCATGCTGCGGGAGGTGGCGGAGATGCTTGAGACCAGTTGGGCGGTGGGGGAGAACGGCATCGAGGCGGCGGAGGGAGCTGCGGCGGCGGGAGAGGGAGAGGGCGCAGCAGCAGCAGCAGCGGGGGAGGGCGGGGATGTGGAGATCCAGGCGGCGGATGCGAGTATCAGGGCTTGGCGTCTGGTGCAGGTGGGGTGGTGGCGCTGGGTGGGTGGGTGCGGCTGCTGCGGTCATGCGTGTTTCCACAGCAGCAGCCGTTGGGAGTAGTACCGTACTGGCTAAGAGTGTGCTTCGTACGCTTCCTTGCTAAGACCCTCCCTCCCTTCTCCATGTCAGTTTGGGCTCTACCTCCCGCGACACCCCGCGTGTTCCCCTTCGTCCCACGCGCATGTCCGGCTGCACCCTCCCCCCCCAGGCAACTAACTTGGGCGGGGCAACTTACCTTTTCGTTTCATGACAAACTGCTTCACTATACCCCAATTGCGTTGCCCTAACCTGTGGTTCTGGTATATCTTTGCCCCCCCCCAGGCCCACACCTCCCAGCTCCTAGCCGACCTCCTGACCGCACAACCCGAACTCGTCACTGCGGCGCGACCTGCGGCCCCGACTGCCGCCGCTGCTGCGGCCGCTACCTCCACCGCCGCCGCCGCTACCTCCACTGCCGCCGCCGCTACCTCCACTGCCGCCGCCGCTACCTCCACTGCCGCCGCCGCTACCTCCACTGCCGCCGCCGCTACCTCCACTGCCGCCGCCGCTACCTCCACTGCCGCCGCCGCTACCTCCACTGCCGCCGCCGCTACCTCCACTGCCGCCGCCGCTACCTCCACTGCCGCCGCCGCTACCTCCACTGCCGCCGCCGCTACCTCCACTGCCGCCGCCGCTACCTCCACTGCCGCCGCCGCTACCTCCACTGCCGCCGCCGCTACCTCCACTGCCGCCGCTGACGTCATCACTGCCGCCGCATCTCGCGCTTCCGAGCTGCGTGCTTACGTGGCAAGTCGCGAGGCAGACGTGCGGTCTACCGCGGACCGAGAGCTGCAACGAGCACAGGAGCGGCGAGATCGGGTGAAATCCACAATTGAGCGGTTGGAAAAGGAGCTGACGGAGGCGTACGATACTGCCGTACGACAAGGGATGCCGGCGGGTTTTGTTTCGGAGCCAAAAGGTTGGTTGGAGGCGTTGTACGGCAGATTGGAAGCGGCTCGGCAGCTGGAAGCGAAGCAGCGGGAGGAGCAGCAGGTAGGCTCTGGGTGGGTTGGTGGGTTGCGGCAAAACTTTAGGTACTCACGTTCTATAAAGTGACCCATGGGTCTTATGATACCCCTGTCCTCTCTCTTTACTGGCCAACTACCAAGACAACCAATTCTCCTTCCTAATTTGTACGTCTGTACGGCAGGCCGCTGCTGACGCCGGCGCCACGCTCGCGCTGATGGGTCGCGAGGTGACGGGGCTGCTTGCTGAGGAGGAGGCGGCGGTCAATAAGCAGCGAGTGGGGTTGGAGGCGGTGACGGGCTCCATGCTGGTAGCGGCGGCGGTGGGGCGTGTGCGGGCGGCGGATCGGGGGCTGCGCATGCAGGGGCCGCACGGACAGGGACTTGGAGATGCCTCTGGCGCTGCGGCAGGCCTGCAGGCGTGGCGGGAGGTGCTCGTTGGTGAGTATGTACCGATATGTGGGCGGCAGGGGCGGGCGGGCGTTAAAAGTAGGCTTACGGCAGGTCGAATCTCCTCCTACAACGACAGCGCCGTGTGTGCCAGTTATGAGCTTATGAGCTCATGACGGAAGATCCTACGCGACACTGTCCTCTCATGTCAGGTATTACGGCGATATATCCTCCCCGTCTGGCCCTTTGCCCGCCTAACAACCCGCATCCTCCTCTCCACCCCCTCCCCCCCAGGCGGAGTCCACGTGCATGTGCCACCCGAGGGCGTCACGCAAGTGTCCCAAGACCCACGGGTCGCTTGCCGCGCCGCGTGGGCCCTATCCTACCCGCCCTCGCTGGGGCTGCTGCGCCGAGCGGTGGCGGTGTGCGAGGCGCCGGGGCCAGTGGAGGGCGCGGCGCGGGGGGTGCTGCATGGCTGCGACCAGATGACAGTGCTGCTGGTGGGTGGGGTGGGGGGGGCTGCGAAGTCTTTGCGCTGCTGTGTTGTTGAGAAAGCTGGCCGAGAGTCGGAACGTACCGTGTGTGCCTTGTTGTCTTGCTCCTGTTTAAGCTGTGGAGGGCAGTTCAATGTGTGGCAGCTACCTGGATGAACCTGCCAGTAGTCATATGCTTGTCTCAAAGATTAAGCCATGCATGTTGAAGTATAAAATGCTTATGCTGTGTAACTGCGAATGGCTCGTTAAATCAGTTACAGTTTATTTCATGGTACCTACTGCTTGGGTACCCGTAGTAATTCTAGAGCTAGTACATGCGCACAACCCAACTTCTGGAGGGGTCATATTTACCGTATTAGGTAAAAGGCCAGGCCTGTTGCATCTCGAGTAAACAATGTGGCCTGGGTGTGTGCAGTGCGAGCGGCACCTGCGGCAACCGCTGCGCTGGCTGGAGTCACGACTACAGGTGTGGGTGTGTGGGGGGGCAGCGGGGGGAGGGGACAACCGCATCGCGCATCGGTTGTTGTCACAGCGGTAACGGTGCCGGCGCCTGGGCGGCTGTTGGTGTGCGCATGCTTCGGGTGCATTTCAAGCCGCTTGGTACGGCAGCGTAACGTGGGTTGGTGTATGTGCATGTATGCCTGTACCTACCCCAAAAGAGTAAATCTCTCTCACCTGCATCGCTGCCCTCTCGCAACCCGCCCTCCCCCCCCCAACAGGAGCAGCGCAAGACTGCGGAGAACCACGGTACCAGCAGCCTCAAGGGTACGATTGCGCGTGTAGCAAACCACGTACCTTCACATGCAGCCTGTTTGAAGCGCAGGTGTTGACGCCTACGTCGCCTTGTAACACTGCGTTCATGTCCCCTCCCATTCCGCCATCTCCCCCCACCGTCATCCTCCCCTCGTCTCACCCCCTCCTCCTCCCTCCCCCCAGACCTGGGTCTCCCCGTGCTGCTGCCCGCCCTGGAGGCGGTGCGGGGCCGAACGGAGCTGCTGCGAGCATGGAGGGAGATGCACCGGGCGGACCTGAGGGTGGGGGAAGGGGGGGGGGCGTGTGTGTGTATGTGTGTGTTTTAGGTAAACTGGCGTGTCTGTCGGTGTTTGGGTTGCCGTCGGGTTTGCTTGGAATCTTGACGGTGCTTCCCGACTGAGATTCCCCAGTACTCCCCAGGGTAGTTGCCGTGCTTGTTGAAACGTGTGTTGTGTATACACAACACGTTGAACCTTCTTTAGCGTTTCAACGCCCGACTCACCTCGCTGCAGGTGGAGGTGGCTGCGCACGGGTGCCAGGTGGTGAGTGAGGAGGTGACGGCGGCGGCGCACGGCGCACTGCCCGGCCTGGGCCCCCTCATGCGGCTGGCGGAGGAGGAGCTGCGGGCGCGAGTGGGGGAGCTCAAGGTAGCTAGGGAGCTGGGGGCTGTTGGGGGCTGGGGGCAGGGGACTGCTGGGTTCAGGGGTGCTAAGTGCAGGGGGCTGGGTGCTAGTAGTGCTACCTACTACCTGGCTCATGTGCCCCGCGATGAGGGCCCTCAGGGGTAGCCACCGTGCTTCACAGCATTCTGTTGTGTCAGTGCTATCGCGTTATACACTTGCTTAATGTTGCTGCATTACCCAACCGCCATCATCACACAATCACGCACCCCGCTGGCGTCCCCACCACCACCACCCCACCCCACTCCCCCAGGCCCGCTGCGAGCAGCACCGGCGTGAGAAGGCGCACTTCCACAGCAAGTACCTGGAGGTGCTCAGCGCGCGGGGGGAGGACGGCGACGTGGCGGGGGCGGGCGGCGGCAGCACGGCGGCAGCTGAACAGCAGCAGCGGCAGCAGCAGCGGCTAGCAAGGGAGGAGCAGCAGCAGCAGCGAGGGGAGGAGGAGGAGCAGTTGCAGGGTGCAAAACAGGAGGGACAGGAGCGGCCCGCTAATAGCTTCCCAGCCGGAGGCAGCAGTACTAACCCTAGCAGCAGCGGTAACGGCGGCGGCAGCGGTAGCGGTGGTGGTGGCGGAGGTGGAGCCTCCGCCGCTGCCGCCGCCGCTGGGGTGCTTCCAGCAGCAGCTACGGGTCCGGTACGGCATGTGGGGGTGGCCTGTCGTACAGGCATCTTTGCGTGCCTGCATCCCTGGAGTGCATGGCGGAGTAGTACGACACAATCTAGCAACCGTACGACGTACGGCATTGCTGGCGGCGGCGGCGGCAGCGGTGGAGCGAAGCAGATTGAGGTGGTTGATTTGGTTGATGACGACAAGGGCTCGGCGGCGGCGACTGCGGCGGGTGTTAAGTCGACGACGGAGGCAGCTGACGGCGCCGCCGCCACCATTGGCGTCCTGATGAAGCCTGTGGATGGTGTGGAAACGATGCGCGGTAGTAGCAACCAAGTTGCCGCTGACGGAGGCAGCAATAGCGCTGCAGCGGCGGCGGCGGCGGCGACACCAGCGGAGCCGTCAGCGCCGCCGCAGTCGGCCGCAGCGGCGGCGCGCGCGCGTGTGATGGCGCAGATGGCGGCGCAGCAAGCGAAGATGGCGGCGGCACTGGGGATGGGGGCGAGTGGTGGTGCGGGTGCGGGTGGTGCGGAGGAGGGCAGTGCAGGTCCCGCTCCAGCATCGACAACAGCAGCAGCTGCGGCGCCTGTGGCCGGTGCTGGTACTGCTGCCGGCGGCTCCAAGGCTGGTGCCTGTGCTGGCAATGGGGGTGGTGGTGGAGGCAGCATCTGCAGCATTTGCTACGAACTGCTTACGCACATGTTTCAGGTCTTCCCCTGCGGCCACTACTACTGCACCCCCTGTACCGACGCCATCATGGCCCCCACCGGCAGCCGTACCTGCCCCACGTGCCGCCGACAGCTCAAGAAGGAGGAAATCCGAACGGCGGGAGGCGTCAGCGGGGGGCCGGCGGGTGCGGGGGGGCGCAGGGGGGCCGCTGCTGCGGGGGGCGAGGTGGATCCGCCGGAGGGCGCCTGCATCCTGCGAGTCAAGGTGCGTGTTAAGAAAACTGGCCGCGTGTGTGTTAAAATAACTGGCCGCGTGTGTGTGGTGTTTAAGAGTGCACCCATGCAATGTGGTCATGGTCGTCATGTTTATTTGCTGTCTCGTGTTTCTGTTACCACCTACCGGTATCATTGCCTTATCATACATGCATGCTAACGAGTAATGGCCCCATGCATGCATGCATGCAAACAAATGATGGCCCCATGCGCGCATGTAAACAAACAAACCCCCGTGCAGGTCGCTGGCTCGGATGAGCTAATGGTGAAGATCACGGCACTCGTACGGCGGCTGGTGTGGCTGCGGGACGAGCGACCCGACGAGAAGAGCCTGGTGTTCAGCCAGTGGCCGGAGGCGCTGCAGGTGGGGAGGATGAGGTGATGACCCATGGGTCAACAAACGAGAGGGTTGCTTCTTTTAGGGATATTAGCGCATGTTTGTTGCTGTTTCGAAGCTCTTCCCTGCATCTCATAACCCGTAGCATGCAACAGCCAGAAGCACCACGCACCTCCACTCCGTCACTGGGTCTCATGCCTCCCCCCCCTGCTGCCACCCCCCCGCTGCCGCCTCGCCTCCCCTGCTCAGATCGTGGAGCGCGGGCTGCAGCTGAACGGCATTCGCTGCGTGACCCTCGAGAGCGGGCGGCGGGGTCGCAGCGCCGTCAAGGCGTTCCTCAACGACGATTCCTGCCGCGTCTTCCTGCTCAGCCTGAGACAGGGCGCCGCGGGCCTCACGCTGGTACGGAGCGGGGCGGGGGTGGGGGGGTGGGGGTGGCGGAGCGGGGCGGGTGAAGAGGAAACAGCTAGCGAACCGTGTGATAAGGCATCATATTCTTATACCATGTGTTCACCCCTGCTGCACCCCTCCCCTGCTGCACCCCTTCCGCCTCCCGCCTCCCTGCCTCCCGCCCCTGCTGCCCCCCTTCCGCCCCCCCCCCGCCCCCCAGGTTCGCGCCAACCACGTGTTCCTGCTGGAGCCCTCCCTGGACCCCGCCATCGAGCAGCAGGCGGTGGCGCGTGTGCATCGCATCGGGCAGGAGCGGCCGGTGCGGGTGACGCGGCTGCTGGTGGAGGGCAGCGTGGAGGAGAAGGTCATGATGATGCTGCAGGTGGGTGGGTGGTCGGCGGGGTGCTGGGTGCAAGTCAGCTGGAGCTCAGCTGAGCTGACGGACACGCTTCTGTGTGTGTAGTGGGAAGCGGGAAGCGCTGTCTTCGTGTGAAGTCAAATAGACTACCTGTGTTGTGGCACTGCTGCTGACACGATGCTAATGACAATGCTAGTGAAACCTGGAACGGCAAGCGCACGGTACCAGCCCCCCATCCGGGTGTTCCTCTGTACCACCTGCGGCAGGCCAAGCAGCAGCTCTTCCATGAGGACGTCCACACCCGCCGAGCAGCCGCTGCCGCCGCCGCTGCAGCCGCAGGCCCCTCCACCTCCACAGCCGCAGCAGCAGCAGCCGGTGGCCCCGCAGCTGCCTCCTCCTCGCTGCTGCTCTCCCCCGCCCTGGTTCCGCTGCTGGAGGGCGGTGAGGGCGAGGAGGCGAGCCTGGTGACAGCGGCTCCACGGCACGAGGTGGTGGCGGGGGGTGATATGAGTTACCTGCTGGGGGCGGTGCTGGGGTGAGAGGGCGGTGCGAGCGGGGGGGAGAGAAGCGGAAGTGTAAAATCACATTAAATGCTGCCCGAAACCCAACCCAGAGGGGGTGAGGGGAAGGGTCGGTAGGAGGTGGGCTAGTTCCTATGGTTACAATGCTCAGATACTTGGATGCGGTACTTCATGCCATTACTTCGTACACGGTGTGGCAGTGCTGGGCAAAGTAAGGTGGTAGGGGGGCAGGGTGGAAGAGGAGATAGGGCGGGCCGCAAGCAGTTGGGGACAGGAGGTGGTTGCGGTTGGGGTGGAATGTGAAACGTTTGTTCTTTTCCTGAAGGACGGGAGCAAGGTGTACGGGTTGTGGGATCGTCCCTTTCGTGGCCTGACCTTTGTAGCGGTCATCAACTCGTTCATCAGTTACCAGCAACCATTGATAAGGGGAACAGAAATGCGGGCTCAGGTGGCCGTCACAAGGCAGGACCACCTGCCTTAGGTCTCATGTTTAAGGTCTCATGTACGGTACACTGTTTTGTCTGGTTTGGATATCAGGTCGTGAATTGTGTGCGATGCAGCGCTGCGAGCACCCCTGAAGCAAAATTGAAGACAAAAAATGCCGTTGTGGGACTAGGCTGCGCTTGGCCTGTTGTCGTGCCCCTCTCCCTACACACCTCTGCTGGTGGGAGAAGGAACTGTGCCCACTTAGCGCATGTCAGTGGCTTCCATGATTAGTTACTTACAAACAGTTCCTCACCCACTAGTTACTTACAACAACGACGGGCACGTCCTCACCCAGGGCTGTAACAGTGCACGTCCTCACCCAGGGCTGTAACAGTGCTTGGAGTCAGACAATCATGTCCCCTACTAAATGTTGCCAATTCCTCACAAAAGGTATGCAGCAAAAGGTATGCAGCAATTGATATTCCCTTGTTGGGTGGAGCCCCGGGAAAAGGGAACACGGATTAAAAACCCAACTTGCACGGCAAACAGAAACAAACCAGCAAAACACCTGAGCCAACAAGTCCACAAATGACCGGCAACGAAAAGTACAAAAGAAACCGAGGAAAGGCGGAGAAGAGGCGCCAAAGGACAGATGCAACCAAAAAAGGCTACTAATAGTAGTCTTCAGAATCCCCTACCAAATCCCTCGACTCCACCTCCTCATGTTCCGCAATGAACAATGCATACCTCATCGCCTCAGCCACCGACTCGAACACTCGCTTCCGCCACCAGTCATCAGCGCTGCTGTTCTTTTCCAGCCACTCCCACACCTCACATGCATATCCAGGCCAGTCGCCCTCCGCTGCCATGTGATTGGCCGCCTCATCCACCGCCGCTCCCCAGTCCACCGGGCAGCCTGCCTGCACCAGCCAAGTCAACGTGGGCAGTGGGCAACGCTCCTTGATGCACCTGCAGAAGGTACCACCAGCCTGTGCCCAGGGGTAGCCCAGCCGCCGGAGACACTCCAGTGTGGCCAGGTCCCCATTCCTAGCAGCCGATGTATATGGGTCCAAGGTTGCATCCGTGTTGTTGGTTTCCATGGGGCAGCCATTGTCTGCCAGCCACTCCAGTGCCTCCACACATCCAGCACCTGCAGCATAGGTGTACGCACCCACTTCCCACATGCAGGCACGCTCCTCACGCAGCCACCTCATAAGCACCACACTGCCCGAGGATGCGGCAGCACGGAAGAGATGCATGGTGCGCAGTGGCTCATCAGGGCCCAGGAAGTCCAGTAGTGCAGCCACAACGGCCAGCTGGCCACCCCTTGCGGCTTCCTCCATAATGTCCTTGTTCATCTGGTAGTCCTGTTCTGCCAGCAACCTGAACACCTCCAGGTGGCCTGACTTGACAGCGGCACCCACAGCATGTGTGTTTGGTAGGACACCCTGCGCCAGGAGGTAACGCAGTGCCTCTGTGTTGTTGTGTATGGTGACGCTATCTGCGGCTTTGCGATTCACTGGATAGCCTCTGTCCAGGAGCCACAACAGGCGGTCCAGTGCGTCCGGCATGCAAGCGGCGTTCTCACAGACAACAGTGGACCGTGGAAAGCCCTGCGCCTCCAGCCATTCAACCTTGGCCTGCCAGTCCGCTGTGCTGCTGCTTGCTGCCGCTGCCAGCAAGAAGGGCTTCCATTCCTCTTGCTCCCCCTCCTCTAGCAGACCCTCGGCTTGCCACTCCTGCATCAGTCGCTGCAGCTCCGGCAGCTCGCAGCCCACCGCCGCAAAGCATACGAGCTCGCGAAAGTTAATACGTTCCCTCCCGTACCGCGGGTGCTGCTGCAGTAACCAGTGCATCAGGTGGATGTGGTTCTTGTCTGCAGCAAGGTATACCGCGCGGTTGCTCCAGGGACAGCTGAACTGCTCCAGGCACATCCGGCAAGCCTCTAGGTGCCCCGCATCGGCTGCAGCTTCCAGGGCGTCCAGGCGGGTCAGGTGATCTCCATGGGCCAATGCCTCTTTGAAGGCCTCGATGTGTCCACCCGACAACGCGGCCTCAAGAACTTCGACGGATGGAGCACAGCCGGCCTGCTTTATTGCATACAGCAGATTGGACGTGACACCAGTGCCAGCCGTTAGGCATAGAAGCTGCATGCGCTGTTTAAGCGTCAGGCCCCGCATCGCATTCGGCGAGCCCCAGCGCCATGTGAACGCGGGTGCTGGAACAGGAAGCGAGAGCTTCACAACCTTTTCGTGTGGTCTGCAGAACTGAGCTGCCGCAGCCTTATTTATAAGCCGGACAGTGCACGGAATTTCATTGGATGGCAAGAATCGGACGACGTGACCTACTAACTGTGTTGGCAGCGGTATCCAGGGGAACCGTTGTTCATTATCTGCGTACCCAGAAACAAGAGAGGGCTGATTTTGAGTCATAATGAAGCGCAGGGTAAGCATATGTCAGGCTCACAACCTCCCAACGACATGGGAGCGCAGGAAGGAATACGGGTCGGAAATACGTACGGCAGGTACGGTCGCAATGCATGCACTTCACGCTCTTGGCATCTTCCATAGATCTGCTCTCTAAAGCTGCTTTGGGATGCACCTGTCCAATTGTAAACTAGCTTGAAGGAATGGCAGCCATTACAATGCAGCGGATTCGGCCGTTCGCTGGCGTGACGACCACATTTCCTTGCCGCACCCGCATAGTAACACGTGCTCAGCTTATAACAAAGCGGAAATGCACTTCAAATGATAAAATTGACAAGGCATGGGCTGCATCCTTTGGCGAAAAGCTCAGCATGGCCATTCCACTCTCGCTTGGGGCGTTGGCCGTGGCAGCACCGCGTGCTATGTCTGAAGACTTAGCGACTATGCCAACCAGCTCACCTGCAGCTACGGATGATGCGCTATTGCTAGCTTTAAGTACCCCCAGCGGCAGCATCGAGGAGCTCATCGTGCCGCTGCTTTTTGGAGTTGTGGCACTTCTCCTAACCGTCGTAACTGGAGGGGTGCGTAATGTGGTTTACCTATACACCGTGTTCCTACGCCGAAGCTCCCACCCGCGGGACAGACACCCGAGCCCCCGCCCCACCCATGGTGAAGCCTTGTCATACAGCAACACCAACCACCCAATAACAACATAGCTTTTTTTCGTGTCCACTGGAATGCTGTCGTACCCTTTCCGATTCTCTCTCTCTCTCCATCCGTCGTCCCTGTTACTGCTCGAACAACACGGGTAACGCTCCTTTTTGCCCCGCTCCATCCTTACGCCGTACGCTGGTCCTTACATTGATCCTAAAATGGTACGACAGGCGGTTGATTTCGGAGCCGTACAAGTCGGGTTCCTCGGAGGGTCGCTCCCGACTGGCAGCTCTCCTCAAGCCCATCATGTGGCGCAACAGCAAGGCGGTGCAGGCGCTAGATCACCCTCTGCCGCCGCGGACACTGCAGGTGGGGTGCTGGGATGCTGGGTGGGTTCGGAACTTAGGATGCGTTTAGCCCTGCATACTGCGGAGTGGTCCACCGGGTGGATGTCCACCGCGGGGGTGTGGAGTAAAGAGTGCTAGGAGGTGCTGCTTTCCATGCCGGGGTATGCATCCGTTGTGGGGTGATTGGGGTAGACTGTTGACTTTCCTAGTTCTTCGCTACTACTGCGATACTGCTCCTGTTACTACCGCGATACTGCCGCGATACCGCTCCTGTCACTGCGGATGCTGCGGATGCGAATGCTCCTGTTACTGCTGCCGTTACTGCTCCTGTAACCTGCTGCTGCCGCTGCTGCTGCTCCAGGAAGCACACCTGCGGTTCTCCGCGGCAGAGGAGGCCTTCTATGACGTCATTCTTGGGGAGACGCGCCGGGCCTTCGATGAGATGACCTCACACCAGCGCCAACAGCAGCAGCAACAACAACAAGATCAAGAGCAGCAGCAACAAGACCAACAAGATCAAGAGCAGCAACAGCAACAACAAGGTAGCCAGCAGCAGCAGCAGCGGCCTGCAGACGGCCCCGTTGACCTCACGGGAGACGATGACCCGGTTTACCAGGGTCGGGACGGGGGGCATGCACACGCTACCCACGCTAACGGCACTGCTGCTGCTGCCGGGGCGGAGAAGAAGAAGCACCCGCGGACAACCAACAGGCGCCGTCGAGGTGAGGTTTGGCAGGGAGGGAGTGGCGGTGGGCTTGACAGGCTTGGCTGGGAGGGAGAGTGGGCTGCAGGGTCGGGGTCTGTCAGTGCTCGCGTCCTGACATGCTCTGCCCCAAAGTCCCTTGTTTCCCACGCGTCCTAAACCCCTGGCCTTTGTCTCTTTCTCCTCCTCCTGCTGCTGCCCGGTGACGCCACTGCCCATTATGCATACCTACCCTTCCCTGCCCCTCCCCCTCCCTTCACCCCTTGCCTCCCGTCCATCTCTCTCCCTTTCCATCCCATCCACCTCCCCTCTCTCCCTCTTCCCGCCCTCTTCCCATTCCCACTGCTGCCCCGCCCCTCAACACATCACCTCACCTCAAGACCGCGGTGCCGAGCTGGTCCAGGAGGCTCACGGCGAGCTGCACCAACTGCGACTAGCCTGTGTGCACCCCAAGCTAACCCGCTACTGGCGACAGATGGCCTCGGAGCTGGGGCTGGGGGCGGGCGGGGGCGGGGGACATGGGCATGGGGGGGCACATGGAGGGGGAGGAGGGGGGGCACATGCAGGAGGGGCGCTGCCGTCGATTGATGAGCTAATGGCGAGGCTGCGGGACAAGTCTCAGCTGCAGTTGCAGGTGAGGGAAGAGGAGAAGGCATGACGAGAAGAAAAGGCCGAATGTGTTGAATGAGGGATGGGGTGAGGGACCATGGAGAAGGGTCGGAGGAGTGGCTCCACCCTTTTTTGAGCTACCCTTGCCTCGCGGCACCCTCTCTTCGTTACCGTTACAGAACGCGGAACGAGACCTCTGCATGGTGCTCAACGCGCTCGCCGCCCGCCTGGCTGCAACCGCACGCAAGGTATCCGCCATGGCAACCAAACGTGCGGCTCAGGAGGCGGCGGGGGCCCTGCCCTCGCCGTCAAAGAAGACCCCTGGAGAGGAACAGCGGCCACAGAAGCGAGCGAAGAAGCAGACGGGGGCAACGACAACTGCGGCGGCGGCGGCGGTGGAGGATGGCGAGGCGGCGGCAGGGGCTGAGGAGGCGAAGGGTGGTGACGCGGCTGCTGCGGAGGGGGAAGCGGCGGTGCCGGCGTTTCGATACAATGCCAGCGGCAAGAGCGCGGGTGAGTGCGGGTGTTCTGTTCCTGCCTGTACCTCGCACCTTTTCCCACCCTCGCACTTCCTGTTGTCGCTGTCGCTCTAGACCGCTGTACCCGATACACGTTTCGGCAGCGAACCTTGGACAATGCTACACGGGTACAAGGCTCGCACCGCATCCGTGTTGTTTTTTTGGTTATCCTGAATTGCCTATCCTACATTGCCCATCCTGAATAATGCTAAGCGCGTCCCTGCCTCCTCACCTGCCGTGCCCCGCTACCCCCCGCGCACCCTCCCTCCTCCCTCCCTTCCTCAGCCGAGCTAGCTGAAGACGGCCAACGCATGCTGCGGGAGGTGGCGGAGATGCTTGAGACCAGTTGGGCGGTGGGGGAGAACGGCATCGAGGCGGCGGAGGGAGCTGCGGCGGCGGGAGAGGGAGAGGGCGCAGCAGCAGCAGCAGCGGGGGAGGGCGGGGATGTGGAGATCCAGGCGGCGGATGCGAGTATCAGGGCTTGGCGTCTGGTGCAGGTGGGGTGGTGGCGCTGGGTGGGTGGGTGCGGCTGCTGCGGTCATGCGTGTTTCCACAGCAGCAGCCGTTGGGAGTAGTACCGTACTGGCTAAGAGTGTGCTTCGTACGCTTCCTTGCTAAGACCCTCCCTCCCTTCTCCATGTCAGTTTGGGCTCTACCTCCCGCGACACCCCGCGTGTTCCCCTTCGTCCCACGCGCATGTCCGGCTGCACCCTCCCCCCCCAGGCAACTAACTTGGGCGGGGCAACTTACCTTTTCGTTTCATGACAAACTGCTTCACTATACCCCAATTGCGTTGCCCTAACCTGTGGTTCTGGTATATCTTTGCCCCCCCCCAGGCCCACACCTCCCAGCTCCTAGCCGACCTCCTGACCGCACAACCCGAACTCGTCACTGCGGCGCGACCTGCGGCCCCGACTGCCGCCGCTGCTGCGGCCGCTACCTCCACCGCCGCCGCCGCTACCTCCACTGCCGCCGCCGCTACCTCCACTGCCGCCGCCGCTACCTCCACTGCCGCCGCCGCTACCTCCACTGCCGCCGCCGCTACCTCCACTGCCGCCGCCGCTACCTCCACTGCCGCCGCCGCTACCTCCACTGCCGCCGCCGCTACCTCCACTGCCGCCGCCGCTACCTCCACTGCCGCCGCCGCTACCTCCACTGCCGCCGCCGCTACCTCCACTGCCGCCGCCGCTACCTCCACTGCCGCCGCCGCTACCTCCACTGCCGCCGCCGCTACCTCCACTGCCGCCGCTGACGTCATCACTGCCGCCGCATCTCGCGCTTCCGAGCTGCGTGCTTACGTGGCAAGTCGCGAGGCAGACGTGCGGTCTACCGCGGACCGAGAGCTGCAACGAGCACAGGAGCGGCGAGATCGGGTGAAATCCACAATTGAGCGGTTGGAAAAGGAGCTGACGGAGGCGTACGATACTGCCGTACGACAAGGGATGCCGGCGGGTTTTGTTTCGGAGCCAAAAGGTTGGTTGGAGGCGTTGTACGGCAGATTGGAAGCGGCTCGGCAGCTGGAAGCGAAGCAGCGGGAGGAGCAGCAGGTAGGCTCTGGGTGGGTTGGTGGGTTGCGGCAAAACTTTAGGTACTCACGTTCTATAAAGTGACCCATGGGTCTTATGATACCCCTGTCCTCTCTCTTTACTGGCCAACTACCAAGACAACCAATTCTCCTTCCTAATTTGTACGTCTGTACGGCAGGCCGCTGCTGACGCCGGCGCCACGCTCGCGCTGATGGGTCGCGAGGTGACGGGGCTGCTTGCTGAGGAGGAGGCGGCGGTCAATAAGCAGCGAGTGGGGTTGGAGGCGGTGACGGGCTCCATGCTGGTAGCGGCGGCGGTGGGGCGTGTGCGGGCGGCGGATCGGGGGCTGCGCATGCAGGGGCCGCACGGACAGGGACTTGGAGATGCCTCTGGCGCTGCGGCAGGCCTGCAGGCGTGGCGGGAGGTGCTCGTTGGTGAGTATGTACCGATATGTGGGCGGCAGGGGCGGGCGGGCGTTAAAAGTAGGCTTACGGCAGGTCGAATCTCCTCCTACAACGACAGCGCCGTGTGTGCCAGTTATGAGCTTATGAGCTCATGACGGAAGATCCTACGCGACACTGTCCTCTCATGTCAGGTATTACGGCGATATATCCTCCCCGTCTGGCCCTTTGCCCGCCTAACAACCCGCATCCTCCTCTCCACCCCCTCCCCCCCAGGCGGAGTCCACGTGCATGTGCCACCCGAGGGCGTCACGCAAGTGTCCCAAGACCCACGGGTCGCTTGCCGCGCCGCGTGGGCCCTATCCTACCCGCCCTCGCTGGGGCTGCTGCGCCGAGCGGTGGCGGTGTGCGAGGCGCCGGGGCCAGTGGAGGGCGCGGCGCGGGGGGTGCTGCATGGCTGCGACCAGATGACAGTGCTGCTGGTGGGTGGGGTGGGGGGGGCTGCGAAGTCTTTGCGCTGCTGTGTTGTTGAGAAAGCTGGCCGAGAGTCGGAACGTACCGTGTGTGCCTTGTTGTCTTGCTCCTGTTTAAGCTGTGGAGGGCAGTTCAATGTGTGGCAGCTACCTGGATGAACCTGCCAGTAGTCATATGCTTGTCTCAAAGATTAAGCCATGCATGTTGAAGTATAAAATGCTTATGCTGTGTAACTGCGAATGGCTCGTTAAATCAGTTACAGTTTATTTCATGGTACCTACTGCTTGGGTACCCGTAGTAATTCTAGAGCTAGTACATGCGCACAACCCAACTTCTGGAGGGGTCATATTTACCGTATTAGGTAAAAGGCCAGGCCTGTTGCATCTCGAGTAAACAATGTGGCCTGGGTGTGTGCAGTGCGAGCGGCACCTGCGGCAACCGCTGCGCTGGCTGGAGTCACGACTACAGGTGTGGGTGTGTGGGGGGGCAGCGGGGGGAGGGGACAACCGCATCGCGCATCGGTTGTTGTCACAGCGGTAACGGTGCCGGCGCCTGGGCGGCTGTTGGTGTGCGCATGCTTCGGGTGCATTTCAAGCCGCTTGGTACGGCAGCGTAACGTGGGTTGGTGTATGTGCATGTATGCCTGTACCTACCCCAAAAGAGTAAATCTCTCTCACCTGCATCGCTGCCCTCTCGCAACCCGCCCTCCCCCCCCCAACAGGAGCAGCGCAAGACTGCGGAGAACCACGGTACCAGCAGCCTCAAGGGTACGATTGCGCGTGTAGCAAACCACGTACCTTCACATGCAGCCTGTTTGAAGCGCAGGTGTTGACGCCTACGTCGCCTTGTAACACTGCGTTCATGTCCCCTCCCATTCCGCCATCTCCCCCCACCGTCATCCTCCCCTCGTCTCACCCCCTCCTCCTCCCTCCCCCCAGACCTGGGTCTCCCCGTGCTGCTGCCCGCCCTGGAGGCGGTGCGGGGCCGAACGGAGCTGCTGCGAGCATGGAGGGAGATGCACCGGGCGGACCTGAGGGTGGGGGAAGGGGGGGGGGCGTGTGTGTGTATGTGTGTGTTTTAGGTAAACTGGCGTGTCTGTCGGTGTTTGGGTTGCCGTCGGGTTTGCTTGGAATCTTGACGGTGCTTCCCGACTGAGATTCCCCAGTACTCCCCAGGGTAGTTGCCGTGCTTGTTGAAACGTGTGTTGTGTATACACAACACGTTGAACCTTCTTTAGCGTTTCAACGCCCGACTCACCTCGCTGCAGGTGGAGGTGGCTGCGCACGGGTGCCAGGTGGTGAGTGAGGAGGTGACGGCGGCGGCGCACGGCGCACTGCCCGGCCTGGGCCCCCTCATGCGGCTGGCGGAGGAGGAGCTGCGGGCGCGAGTGGGGGAGCTCAAGGTAGCTAGGGAGCTGGGGGCTGTTGGGGGCTGGGGGCAGGGGACTGCTGGGTTCAGGGGTGCTAAGTGCAGGGGGCTGGGTGCTAGTAGTGCTACCTACTACCTGGCTCATGTGCCCCGCGATGAGGGCCCTCAGGGGTAGCCACCGTGCTTCACAGCATTCTGTTGTGTCAGTGCTATCGCGTTATACACTTGCTTAATGTTGCTGCATTACCCAACCGCCATCATCACACAATCACGCACCCCGCTGGCGTCCCCACCACCACCACCCCACCCCACTCCCCCAGGCCCGCTGCGAGCAGCACCGGCGTGAGAAGGCGCACTTCCACAGCAAGTACCTGGAGGTGCTCAGCGCGCGGGGGGAGGACGGCGACGTGGCGGGGGCGGGCGGCGGCAGCACGGCGGCAGCTGAACAGCAGCAGCGGCAGCAGCAGCGGCTAGCAAGGGAGGAGCAGCAGCAGCAGCGAGGGGAGGAGGAGGAGCAGTTGCAGGGTGCAAAACAGGAGGGACAGGAGCGGCCCGCTAATAGCTTCCCAGCCGGAGGCAGCAGTACTAACCCTAGCAGCAGCGGTAACGGCGGCGGCAGCGGTAGCGGTGGTGGTGGCGGAGGTGGAGCCTCCGCCGCTGCCGCCGCCGCTGGGGTGCTTCCAGCAGCAGCTACGGGTCCGGTACGGCATGTGGGGGTGGCCTGTCGTACAGGCATCTTTGCGTGCCTGCATCCCTGGAGTGCATGGCGGAGTAGTACGACACAATCTAGCAACCGTACGACGTACGGCATTGCTGGCGGCGGCGGCGGCAGCGGTGGAGCGAAGCAGATTGAGGTGGTTGATTTGGTTGATGACGACAAGGGCTCGGCGGCGGCGACTGCGGCGGGTGTTAAGTCGACGACGGAGGCAGCTGACGGCGCCGCCGCCACCATTGGCGTCCTGATGAAGCCTGTGGATGGTGTGGAAACGATGCGCGGTAGTAGCAACCAAGTTGCCGCTGACGGAGGCAGCAATAGCGCTGCAGCGGCGGCGGCGGCGGCGACACCAGCGGAGCCGTCAGCGCCGCCGCAGTCGGCCGCAGCGGCGGCGCGCGCGCGTGTGATGGCGCAGATGGCGGCGCAGCAAGCGAAGATGGCGGCGGCACTGGGGATGGGGGCGAGTGGTGGTGCGGGTGCGGGTGGTGCGGAGGAGGGCAGTGCAGGTCCCGCTCCAGCATCGACAACAGCAGCAGCTGCGGCGCCTGTGGCCGGTGCTGGTACTGCTGCCGGCGGCTCCAAGGCTGGTGCCTGTGCTGGCAATGGGGGTGGTGGTGGAGGCAGCATCTGCAGCATTTGCTACGAACTGCTTACGCACATGTTTCAGGTCTTCCCCTGCGGCCACTACTACTGCACCCCCTGTACCGACGCCATCATGGCCCCCACCGGCAGCCGTACCTGCCCCACGTGCCGCCGACAGCTCAAGAAGGAGGAAATCCGAACGGCGGGAGGCGTCAGCGGGGGGCCGGCGGGTGCGGGGGGGCGCAGGGGGGCCGCTGCTGCGGGGGGCGAGGTGGATCCGCCGGAGGGCGCCTGCATCCTGCGAGTCAAGGTGCGTGTTAAGAAAACTGGCCGCGTGTGTGTTAAAATAACTGGCCGCGTGTGTGTGGTGTTTAAGAGTGCACCCATGCAATGTGGTCATGGTCGTCATGTTTATTTGCTGTCTCGTGTTTCTGTTACCACCTACCGGTATCATTGCCTTATCATACATGCATGCTAACGAGTAATGGCCCCATGCATGCATGCATGCAAACAAATGATGGCCCCATGCGCGCATGTAAACAAACAAACCCCCGTGCAGGTCGCTGGCTCGGATGAGCTAATGGTGAAGATCACGGCACTCGTACGGCGGCTGGTGTGGCTGCGGGACGAGCGACCCGACGAGAAGAGCCTGGTGTTCAGCCAGTGGCCGGAGGCGCTGCAGGTGGGGAGGATGAGGTGATGACCCATGGGTCAACAAACGAGAGGGTTGCTTCTTTTAGGGATATTAGCGCATGTTTGTTGCTGTTTCGAAGCTCTTCCCTGCATCTCATAACCCGTAGCATGCAACAGCCAGAAGCACCACGCACCTCCACTCCGTCACTGGGTCTCATGCCTCCCCCCCCTGCTGCCACCCCCCCGCTGCCGCCTCGCCCCCCCTGCTCAGATCGTGGAGCGCGGGCTTCAGCTGAACGGCATTCGCTGCGTGACCCTCGAGAGCGGGCGGCGGGGTCGCAGCGCCGTCAAGGCGTTCCTCAACGACGATTCCTGCCGCGTCTTCCTGCTCAGCCTGAGACAGGGCGCCGCGGGCCTCACGCTGGTACGGAGCGGGGCGGGGGTGGGGGGGTGGGGGTGGCGGAGCGGGGCGGGTGAAGAGGAAACAGCTAGCGAACCGTGTGATAAGGCATCATCATGGAGCGGGGTGGGGGTGGGGGTGGGGGTGGACCAGCACGTGCAGGAGGCACCCGGAGAGCTGGGGAGCCGGGGCGGGGTGGTGTCTCCTGCCTCCCCCTTCACTGCGTTCCCGGGTGTCCATTACGGCGACCACTGCTAACCACTGCACCTCACTGACGACCCTCAACCACTGCTGACTTGTGGCTCAGTGCTTTTCTTATACCATGTGTTCACCCCTGCTGCACCCCTCCCCTGCTGCACCCCTTCCGCCTCCCGCCTCCCTGCCTCCCGCCCCTGCTGCCCCCCTTCCGCCCCCCCCCCGCCCCCCAGGTTCGCGCCAACCACGTGTTCCTGCTGGAGCCCTCCCTGGACCCCGCCATCGAGCAGCAGGCGGTGGCGCGTGTGCATCGCATCGGGCAGGAGCGGCCGGTGCGGGTGACGCGGCTGCTGGTGGAGGGCAGCGTGGAGGAGAAGGTCATGATGATGCTGCAGGTGGGTGGGTGGTCGGCGGGGTGCTGGGTGCAAGTCAGCTGGAGCTCAGCTGAGCTGACGGACACGCTTCTGTGTGTGTAGTGGGAAGCGGGAAGCGCTGTCTTCGTGTGAAGTCAAATAGACTACCTGTGTTGTGGCACTGCTGCTGACACGATGCTAATGACAATGCTAGTGAAACCTGGAACGGCAAGCGCACGGTACCAGCCCCCCATCCGGGTGTTCCTCTGTACCACCTGCGGCAGGCCAAGCAGCAGCTCTTCCATGAGGACGTCCACACCCGCCGAGCAGCCGCTGCCGCCGCCGCTGCAGCCGCAGGCCCCTCCACCTCCACAGCCGCAGCAGCAGCAGCCGGTGGCCCCGCAGCTGCCTCCTCCTCGCTGCTGCTCTCCCCCGCCCTGGTTCCGCTGCTGGAGGGCGGTGAGGGCGAGGAGGCGAGCCTGGTGACAGCGGCTCCACGGCACGAGGTGGTGGCGGGGGGTGATATGAGTTACCTGCTGGGGGCGGTGCTGGGGTGAGAGGGCGGTGCGAGCGGGGGGGAGAGAAGCGGAAGTGTAAAATCACATTAAATGCTGCCCGAAACCCAACCCAGAGGGGGTGAGGGGAAGGGTCGGTAGGAGGTGGGCTAGTTCCTATGGTTACAATGCTCAGATACTTGGATGCGGTACTTCATGCCATTACTTCGTACACGGTGTGGCAGTGCTGGGCAAAGTAAGGTGGTAGGGGGGCAGGGTGGAAGAGGAGATAGGGCGGGCCGCAAGCAGTTGGGGACAGGAGGTGGTTGCGGTTGGGGTGGAATGTGAAACGTTTGTTCTTTTCCTGAAGGACGGGAGCAAGGTGTACGGGTTGTGGGATCGTCCCTTTCGTGGCCTGACCTTTGTAGCGGTCATCAACTCGTTCATCAGTTACCAGCAACCATTGATAAGGGGAACAGAAATGCGGGCTCAGGTGGCCGTCACAAGGCAGGACCACCTGCCTTAGGTCTCATGTTTAAGGTCTCATGTACGGTACACTGTTTTGTCTGGTTTGGATATCAGGTCGTGAATTGTGTGCGATGCAGCGCTGCGAGCACCCCTGAAGCAAAATTGAAGACAAAAAATGCCGTTGTGGGACTAGGCTGCGCTTGGCCTGTTGTCGTGCCCCTCTCCCTACACACCTCTGCTGGTGGGAGAAGGAACTGTGCCCACTTAGCGCATGTCAGTGGCTTCCATGATTAGTTACTTACAAACAGTTCCTCACCCACTAGTTACTTACAACAACGACGGGCACGTCCTCACCCAGGGCTGTAACAGTGCACGTCCTCACCCAGGGCTGTAACAGTGCTTGGAGTCAGACAATCATGTCCCCTACTAAATGTTGCCAATTCCTCACAAAAGGTATGCAGCAAAAGGTATGCAGCAATTGATATTCCCTTGTTGGGTGGAGCCCCGGGAAAAGGGAACACGGATTAAAAACCCAACTTGCACGGCAAACAGAAACAAACCAGCAAAACACCTGAGCCAACAAGTCCACAAATGACCGGCAACGAAAAGTACAAAAGAAACCGAGGAAAGGCGGAGAAGAGGCGCCAAAGGACAGATGCAACCAAAAAAGGCTACTAATAGTAGTCTTCAGAATCCCCTACCAAATCCCTCGACTCCACCTCCTCATGTTCCGCAATGAACAATGCATACCTCATCGCCTCAGCCACCGACTCGAACACTCGCTTCCGCCACCAGTCATCAGCGCTGCTGTTCTTTTCCAGCCACTCCCACACCTCACATGCATATCCAGGCCAGTCGCCCTCCGCTGCCATGTGATTGGCCGCCTCATCCACCGCCGCTCCCCAGTCCACCGGGCAGCCTGCCTGCACCAGCCAAGTCAACGTGGGCAGTGGGCAACGCTCCTTGATGCACCTGCAGAAGGTACCACCAGCCTGTGCCCAGGGGTAGCCCAGCCGCCGGAGACACTCCAGTGTGGCCAGGTCCCCATTCCTAGCAGCCGATGTATATGGGTCCAAGGTTGCATCCGTGTTGTTGGTTTCCATGGGGCAGCCATTGTCTGCCAGCCACTCCAGTGCCTCCACACATCCAGCACCTGCAGCATAGGTGTACGCACCCACTTCCCACATGCAGGCACGCTCCTCACGCAGCCACCTCATAAGCACCACACTGCCCGAGGATGCGGCAGCACGGAAGAGATGCATGGTGCGCAGTGGCTCATCAGGGCCCAGGAAGTCCAGTAGTGCAGCCACAACGGCCAGCTGGCCACCCCTTGCGGCTTCCTCCATAATGTCCTTGTTCATCTGGTAGTCCTGTTCTGCCAGCAACCTGAACACCTCCAGGTGGCCTGACTTGACAGCGGCACCCACAGCATGTGTGTTTGGTAGGACACCCTGCGCCAGGAGGTAACGCAGTGCCTCTGTGTTGTTGTGTATGGTGACGCTATCTGCGGCTTTGCGATCCACTGGATAGCCTCTGTCCAGGAGCCACAATAGGCGGTCCAGTGCGTCCGGCATGCAAGCGGCGTTCTCACAGACAACAGTGGACCGTGGAAAGCCCTGCGCCTCCAGCCATTCAACCTTGGCCTGCCAGTCCGCTGTGCTGCTGCTTGCTGCCGCTGCCAGCAAGAAGGGCTTCCATTCCTCTTGCTCCCCCTCCTCTAGCAGACCCTCGGCTTGCCACTCCTGCATCAGTCGCTGCAGCTCCGGCAGCTCGCAGCCCACCGCCGCAAAGCATACGAGCTCGCGAAAGTTAATACGTTCCCTCCCGTACCGCGGGTGCTGCTGCAGTAACCAGTGCATCAGGTGGATGTGGTTCTTGTCTGCAGCAAGGTATACCGCGCGGTTGCTCCAGGGACAGCTGAACTGCTCCAGGCACATCCGGCAAGCCTCTAGGTGCCCCGCATCGGCTGCAGCTTCCAGGGCGTCCAGGCGGGTCAGGTGATCTCCATGGGCCAATGCCTCTTTGAAGGCCTCGATGTGTCCACCCGACAACGCGGCCTCAAGAACTTCGACGGATGGAGCACAGCCGGCCTGCTTTATTGCATACAGCAGATTGGACGTGACACCAGTGCCAGCCGTTAGGCATAGAAGCTGCATGCGCTGTTTAAGCGTCAGGCCCCGCATCGCATTCGGCGAGCCCCAGCGCCATGTGAACGCGTGTGCTGGAACAGGAAGCGAGAGCTTCACAACCTTTTCGTGTGGTCTGCAGAACTGAGCTGCCGCAGCCTTATTTATAAGCCGGACAGTGCACGGAATTTCATTGGATGGCAAGAATCGGACGACGTGACCTACTAACTGTGTTGGCAGCGGTATCCAGGGGAACCGTTGTTCATTATCTGCGTACCCAGAAACAAGAGAGGGCTGATTTTGAGTCATAATGAAGCGCAGGGTAAGCATATGTCAGGCTCACAACCTCCCAACGACATGGGAGCGCAGGAAGGAATACGGGTCGGAAATACGTACGGCAGGTACGGTCGCAATGCATGCACTTCACGCTCTTGGCATCTTCCATAGATCTGCTCTCTAAAGCTGCTTTGGGATGCACCTGTCCAATTGTAAACTAGCTTGAAGGAATGGCAGCCATTACAATGCAGCGGATTCGGCCGTTCGCTGGCGTGACGACCACATTTCCTTGCCGCACCCGCATAGTAACACGTGCTCAGCTTATAACAAAGCGGAAATGCACTTCAAATGATAAAATTGACAAGGCATGGGCTGCATCCTTTGGCGAAAAGCTCAGCATGGCCATTCCACTCTCGCTTGGGGCGTTGGCCGTGGCAGCACCGCGTGCTATGTCTGAAGACTTAGCGACTATGCCAACCAGCTCACCTGCAGCTACGGATGATGCGCTATTGCTAGCTTTAAGTACCCCCAGCGGCAGCATCGAGGAGCTCATCGTGCCGCTGCTTTTTGGAGTTGTGGCACTTCTCCTAACCGTCGTAACTGGAGGGGTGCGTAATGTGGTTTACCTATACACCGTGTTCCTACGCCGAAGCTCCCACCCGCGGGACAGACACCCGAGCCCCCGCCCCACCCATGGTGAAGCCTTGTCATACAGCAACACCAACCACCCAATAACAACATAGCTTTTTTTCGTGTCCACTGGAATGCTGTCGTACCCTTTCCGATTCTCTCTCTCTCTCCATCCGTCGTCCCTGTTACTGCTCGAACAACACGGGTAACGCTCCTTTTTGCCCCGCTCCATCCTTACGCCGTACGCTGGTCCTTACATTGATCCTAAAATGGTACGACAGGCGGTTGATTTCGGAGCCGTACAAGTCGGGTTCCTCGGAGGGTCGCTCCCGACTGGCAGCTCTCCTCAAGCCCATCATGTGGCGCAACAGCAAGGCGGTGCAGGCGCTAGATCACCCTCTGCCGCCGCGGACACTGCAGGTGGGGTGCTGGGATGCTGGGTGGGTTCGGAACTTAGGATGCGTTTAGCCCTGCATACTGCGGAGTGGTCCACCGGGTGGATGTCCACCGCGGGGGTGTGGAGTAAAGAGTGCTAGGAGGTGCTGCTTTCCATGCCGGGGTATGCATCCGTTGTGGGGTGATTGGGGTAGACTGTTGACTTTCCTAGTTCTTCGCTACTACTGCGATACTGCTCCTGTTACTACCGCGATACTGCCGCGATACCGCTCCTGTCACTGCGGATGCTGCGGATGCGAATGCTCCTGTTACTGCTGCCGTTACTGCTCCTGTAACCTGCTGCTGCCGCTGCTGCTGCTCCAGGAAGCACACCTGCGGTTCTCCGCGGCAGAGGAGGCCTTCTATGACGTCATTCTTGGGGAGACGCGCCGGGCCTTCGATGAGATGACCTCACACCAGCGCCAACAGCAGCAGCAACAACAACAAGATCAAGAGCAGCAGCAACAAGACCAACAAGATCAAGAGCAGCAACAGCAACAACAAGGTAGCCAGCAGCAGCAGCAGCGGCCTGCAGACGGCCCCGTTGACCTCACGGGAGACGATGACCCGGTTTACCAGGGTCGGGACGGGGGGCATGCACACGCTACCCACGCTAACGGCACTGCTGCTGCTGCCGGGGCGGAGAAGAAGAAGCACCCGCGGACAACCAACAGGCGCCGTCGAGGTGAGGTTTGGCAGGGAGGGAGTGGCGGTGGGCTTGACAGGCTTGGCTGGGAGGGAGAGTGGGCTGCAGGGTCGGGGTCTGTCAGTGCTCGCGTCCTGACATGCTCTGCCCCAAAGTCCCTTGTTTCCCACGCGTCCTAAACCCCTGGCCTTTGTCTCTTTCTCCTCCTCCTGCTGCTGCCCGGTGACGCCACTGCCCATTATGCATACCTACCCTTCCCTGCCCCTCCCCCTCCCTTCACCCCTTGCCTCCCGTCCATCTCTCTCCCTTTCCATCCCATCCACCTCCCCTCTCTCCCTCTTCCCGCCCTCTTCCCATTCCCACTGCTGCCCCGCCCCTCAACACATCACCTCACCTCAAGACCGCGGTGCCGAGCTGGTCCAGGAGGCTCACGGCGAGCTGCACCAACTGCGACTAGCCTGTGTGCACCCCAAGCTAACCCGCTACTGGCGACAGATGGCCTCGGAGCTGGGGCTGGGGGCGGGCGGGGGCGGGGGACATGGGCATGGGGGGGCACATGGAGGGGGAGGAGGGGGGGCACATGCAGGAGGGGCGCTGCCGTCGATTGATGAGCTAATGGCGAGGCTGCGGGACAAGTCTCAGCTGCAGTTGCAGGTGAGGGAAGAGGAGAAGGCATGACGAGAAGAAAAGGCCGAATGTGTTGAATGAGGGATGGGGTGAGGGACCATGGAGAAGGGTCGGAGGAGTGGCTCCACCCTTTTTTGAGCTACCCTTGCCTCGCGGCACCCTCTCTTCGTTACCGTTACAGAACGCGGAACGAGACCTCTGCATGGTGCTCAACGCGCTCGCCGCCCGCCTGGCTGCAACCGCACGCAAGGTATCCGCCATGGCAACCAAACGTGCGGCTCAGGAGGCGGCGGGGGCCCTGCCCTCGCCGTCAAAGAAGACCCCTGGAGAGGAACAGCGGCCACAGAAGCGAGCGAAGAAGCAGACGGGGGCAACGACAACTGCGGCGGCGGCGGCGGTGGAGGATGGCGAGGCGGCGGCAGGGGCTGAGGAGGCGAAGGGTGGTGACGCGGCTGCTGCGGAGGGGGAAGCGGCGGTGCCGGCGTTTCGATACAATGCCAGCGGCAAGAGCGCGGGTGAGTGCGGGTGTTCTGTTCCTGCCTGTACCTCGCACCTTTTCCCACCCTCGCACTTCCTGTTGTCGCTGTCGCTCTAGACCGCTGTACCCGATACACGTTTCGGCAGCGAACCTTGGACAATGCTACACGGGTACAAGGCTCGCACCGCATCCGTGTTGTTTTTTTGGTTATCCTGAATTGCCTATCCTACATTGCCCATCCTGAATAATGCTAAGCGCGTCCCTGCCTCCTCACCTGCCGTGCCCCGCTACCCCCCGCGCACCCTCCCTCCTCCCTCCCTTCCTCAGCCGAGCTAGCTGAAGACGGCCAACGCATGCTGCGGGAGGTGGCGGAGATGCTTGAGACCAGTTGGGCGGTGGGGGAGAACGGCATCGAGGCGGCGGAGGGAGCTGCGGCGGCGGGAGAGGGAGAGGGCGCAGCAGCAGCAGCAGCGGGGGAGGGCGGGGATATGGAGATCCAGGCGGCGGATGCGAGTATCAGGGCTTGGCGTCTGGTGCAGGTGGGGTGGTGGCGCTGGGTGGGTGGGTGCGGCTGCTGCGGTCATGCGTGTTTCCACAGCAGCAGCCGTTGGGAGTAGTACCGTACTGGCTAAGAGTGTGCTTCGTACGCTTCCTTGCTAAGACCCTCCCTCCCTTCTCCATGTCAGTTTGGGCTCTACCTCCCGCGACACCCCGCGTGTTCCCCTTCGTCCCACGCGCATGTCCGGCTGCACCCTCCCCCCCCAGGCAACTAACTTGGGCGGGGCAACTTACCTTTTCGTTTCATGACAAACTGCTTCACTATACCCCAATTGCGTTGCCCTAACCTGTGGTTCTGGTATATCTTTGCCCCCCCCCAGGCCCACACCTCCCAGCTCCTAGCCGACCTCCTGACCGCACAACCCGAACTCGTCACTGCGGCGCGACCTGCGGCCCCGACTGCCGCCGCTGCTGCGGCCGCTACCTCCACCGCCGCCGCCGCTACCTCCACTGCCGCCGCCGCTACCTCCACTGCCGCCGCCGCTACCTCCACTGCCGCCGCCGCTACCTCCACTGCCGCCGCCGCTACCTCCACTGCCGCCGCCGCTACCTCCACTGCCGCCGCCGCTACCTCCACTGCCGCCGCCGCTACCTCCACTGCCGCCGCCGCTACCTCCACTGCCGCCGCCGCTACCTCCACTGCCGCCGCTGACGTCATCACTGCCGCCGCATCTCGCGCTTCCGAGCTGCGTGCTTACGTGGCAAGTCGCGAGGCAGACGTGCGGTCTACCGCGGACCGAGAGCTGCAACGAGCACAGGAGCGGCGAGATCGGGTGAAATCCACAATTGAGCGGTTGGAAAAGGAGCTGACGGAGGCGTACGATACTGCCGTACGACAAGGGATGCCGGCGGGTTTTGTTTCGGAGCCAAAAGGTTGGTTGGAGGCGTTGTACGGCAGATTGGAAGCGGCTCGGCAGCTGGAAGCGAAGCAGCGGGAGGAGCAGCAGGTAGGCTCTGGGTGGGTTGGTGGGTTGCGGCAAAACTTTAGGTACTCACGTTCTATAAAGTGACCCATGGGTCTTATGATACCCCTGTCCTCTCTCTTTACTGGCCAACTACCAAGACAACCAATTCTCCTTCCTAATTTGTACGTCTGTACGGCAGGCCGCTGCTGACGCCGGCGCCACGCTCGCGCTGATGGGTCGCGAGGTGACGGGGCTGCTTGCTGAGGAGGAGGCGGCGGTCAATAAGCAGCGAGTGGGGTTGGAGGCGGTGACGGGCTCCATGCTGGTAGCGGCGGCGGTGGGGCGTGTGCGGGCGGCGGATCGGGGGCTGCGCATGCAGGGGCCGCACGGACAGGGACTTGGAGATGCCTCTGGCGCTGCGGCAGGCCTGCAGGCGTGGCGGGAGGTGCTCGTTGGTGAGTATGTACCGATATGTGGGCGGCAGGGGCGGGCGGGCGTTAAAAGTAGGCTTACGGCAGGTCGAATCTCCTCCTACAACGACAGCGCCGTGTGTGCCAGTTATGAGCTTATGAGCTCATGACGGAAGATCCTACGCGACACTGTCCTCTCATGTCAGGTATTACGGCGATATATCCTCCCCGTCTGGCCCTTTGCCCGCCTAACAACCCGCATCCTCCTCTCCACCCCCTCCCCCCCAGGCGGAGTCCACGTGCATGTGCCACCCGAGGGCGTCACGCAAGTGTCCCAAGACCCACGGGTCGCTTGCCGCGCCGCGTGGGCCCTATCCTACCCGCCCTCGCTGGGGCTGCTGCGCCGAGCGGTGGCGGTGTGCGAGGCGCCGGGGCCAGTGGAGGGCGCGGCGCGGGGGGTGCTGCATGGCTGCGACCAGATGACAGTGCTGCTGGTGGGTGGGGTGGGGGGGGCTGCGAAGTCTTTGCGCTGCTGTGTTGTTGAGAAAGCTGGCCGAGAGTCGGAACGTACCGTGTGTGCCTTGTTGTCTTGCTCCTGTTTAAGCTGTGGAGGGCAGTTCAATGTGTGGCAGCTACCTGGATGAACCTGCCAGTAGTCATATGCTTGTCTCAAAGATTAAGCCATGCATGTTGAAGTATAAAATGCTTATGCTGTGTAACTGCGAATGGCTCGTTAAATCAGTTACAGTTTATTTCATGGTACCTACTGCTTGGGTACCCGTAGTAATTCTAGAGCTAGTACATGCGCACAACCCAACTTCTGGAGGGGTCATATTTACCGTATTAGGTAAAAGGCCAGGCCTGTTGCATCTCGAGTAAACAATGTGGCCTGGGTGTGTGCAGTGCGAGCGGCACCTGCGGCAACCGCTGCGCTGGCTGGAGTCACGACTACAGGTGTGGGTGTGTGGGGGGGCAGCGGGGGGAGGGGACAACCGCATCGCGCATCGGTTGTTGTCACAGCGGTAACGGTGCCGGCGCCTGGGCGGCTGTTGGTGTGCGCATGCTTCGGGTGCATTTCAAGCCGCTTGGTACGGCAGCGTAACGTGGGTTGGTGTATGTGCATGTATGCCTGTACCTACCCCAAAAGAGTAAATCTCTCTCACCTGCATCGCTGCCCTCTCGCAACCCGCCCTCCCCCCCCCCCAACAGGAGCAGCGCAAGACTGCGGAGAACCACGGTACCAGCAGCCTCAAGGGTACGATTGCGCGTGTAGCAAACCACGTACCTTCACATGCAGCCTGTTTGAAGCGCAGGTGTTGACGCCTACGTCGCCTTGTAACACTGCGTTCATGTCCCCTCCCATTCCGCCATCTCCCCCCACCGTCATCCTCCCCTCGTCTCACCCCCTCCTCCTCCCTCCCCCCAGACCTGGGTCTCCCCGTGCTGCTGCCCGCCCTGGAGGCGGTGCGGGGCCGAACGGAGCTGCTGCGAGCATGGAGGGAGATGCACCGGGCGGACCTGAGGGTGGGGGAAGGGGGGGGGGGCGTGTGTGTGTATGTGTGTGTTTTAGGTAAACTGGCGTGTCTGTCGGTGTTTGGGTTGCCGTCGGGTTTGCTTGGAATCTTGACGGTGCTTCCCGACTGAGATTCCCCAGTACTCCCCAGGGTAGTTGCCGTGCTTGTTGAAACGTGTGTTGTGTATACACAACACGTTGAACCTTCTTTAGCGTTTCAACGCCCGACTCACCTCGCTGCAGGTGGAGGTGGCTGCGCACGGGTGCCAGGTGGTGAGTGAGGAGGTGACGGCGGCGGCGCACGGCGCACTGCCCGGCCTGGGCCCCCTCATGCGGCTGGCGGAGGAGGAGCTGCGGGCGCGAGTGGGGGAGCTCAAGGTAGCTAGGGAGCTGGGGGCTGTTGGGGGCTGGGGGCAGGGGACTGCTGGGTTCAGGGGTGCTAAGTGCAGGGGGCTGGGTGCTAGTAGTGCTACCTACTACCTGGCTCATGTGCCCCGCGATGAGGGCCCTCAGGGGTAGCCACCGTGCTTCACAGCATTCTGTTGTGTCAGTGCTATCGCGTTATACACTTGCTTAATGTTGCTGCATTACCCAACCGCCATCATCACACAATCACGCACCCCGCTGGCGTCCCCACCACCACCACCCCACCCCACTCCCCCAGGCCCGCTGCGAGCAGCACCGGCGTGAGAAGGCGCACTTCCACAGCAAGTACCTGGAGGTGCTCAGCGCGCGGGGGGAGGACGGCGACGTGGCGGGGGCGGGCGGCGGCAGCACGGCGGCAGCTGAACAGCAGCAGCGGCAGCAGCAGCGGCTAGCAAGGGAGGAGCAGCAGCAGCAGCGAGGGGAGGAGGAGGAGCAGTTGCAGGGTGCAAAACAGGAGGGACAGGAGCGGCCCGCTAATAGCTTCCCAGCCGGAGGCAGCAGTACTAACCCTAGCAGCAGCGGTAACGGCGGCGGCAGCGGTAGCGGTGGTGGTGGCGGAGGTGGAGCCTCCGCCGCTGCCGCCGCCGCTGGGGTGCTTCCAGCAGCAGCTACGGGTCCGGTACGGCATGTGGGGGTGGCCTGTCGTACAGGCATCTTTGCGTGCCTGCATCCCTGGAGTGCATGGCGGAGTAGTACGACACAATCTAGCAACCGTACGACGTACGGCATTGCTGGCGGCGGCGGCGGCAGCGGTGGAGCGAAGCAGATTGAGGTGGTTGATTTGGTTGATGACGACAAGGGCTCGGCGGCGGCGACTGCGGCGGGTGTTAAGTCGACGACGGAGGCAGCTGACGGCGCCGCCGCCACCATTGGCGTCCTGATGAAGCCTGTGGATGGTGTGGAAACGATGCGCGGTAGTAGCAACCAAGTTGCCGCTGACGGCGGCAGCAATAGCGCTGCAGCGGCGGCGGCGGCGGCGACACCAGCGGAGCCGTCAGCGCCGCCGCAGTCGGCCGCAGCGGCGGCGCGCGCGCGTGTGATGGCGCAGATGGCGGCGCAGCAAGCGAAGATGGCGGCGGCACTGGGGATGGGGGCGAGTGGTGGTGCGGGTGCGGGTGGTGCGGAGGAGGGCAGTGCAGGTCCCGCTCCAGCATCGACAACAGCAGCAGCTGCGGCGCCTGTGGCCGGTGCTGGTACTGCTGCCGGCGGCTCCAAGGCTGGTGCCTGTGCTGGCAATGGGGGTGGTGGTGGAGGCAGCATCTGCAGCATTTGCTACGAACTGCTTACGCACATGTTTCAGGTCTTCCCCTGCGGCCACTACTACTGCACCCCCTGTACCGACGCCATCATGGCCCCCACCGGCAGCCGTACCTGCCCCACGTGCCGCCGACAGCTCAAGAAGGAGGAAATCCGAACGGCGGGAGGCGTCAGCGGGGGGCCGGCGGGTGCGGGGGGGCGCAGGGGGGCCGCTGCTGCGGGGGGCGAGGTGGATCCGCCGGAGGGCGCCTGCATCCTGCGAGTCAAGGTGCGTGTTAAGAAAACTGGCCGCGTGTGTGTTAAAATAACTGGCCGCGTGTGTGTGGTGTTTAAGAGTGCACCCATGCAATGTGGTCATGGTCGTCATGTTTATTTGCTGTCTCGTGTTTCTGTTACCACCTACCGGTATCATTGCCTTATCATACATGCATGCTAACGAGTAATGGCCCCATGCATGCATGCATGCAAACAAATGATGGCCCCATGCGCGCATGTAAACAAACAAACCCCCGTGCAGGTCGCTGGCTCGGATGAGCTAATGGTGAAGATCACGGCACTCGTACGGCGGCTGGTGTGGCTGCGGGACGAGCGACCCGACGAGAAGAGCCTGGTGTTCAGCCAGTGGCCGGAGGCGCTGCAGGTGGGGAGGATGAGGTGATGACCCATGGGTCAACAAACGAGAGGGTTGCTTCTTTTAGGGATATTAGCGCATGTTTGTTGCTGTTTCGAAGCTCTTCCCTGCATCTCATAACCCGTAGCATGCAACAGCCAGAAGCACCACGCACCTCCACTCCGTCACTGGGTCTCATGCCTCCCCCCCCTGCTGCCACCCCCCCGCTGCCGCCTCGCCTCCCCTGCTCAGATCGTGGAGCGCGGGCTGCAGCTGAACGGCATTCGCTGCGTGACCCTCGAGAGCGGGCGGCGGGGTCGCAGCGCCGTCAAGGCGTTCCTCAACGACGATTCCTGCCGCGTCTTCCTGCTCAGCCTGAGACAGGGCGCCGCGGGCCTCACGCTGGTACGGAGCGGGGCGGGGGTGGGGGGGTGGGGGTGGCGGAGCGGGGCGGGTGAAGAGGAAACAGCTAGCGAACCGTGTGATAAGGCATCATCATGGAGCGGGGTGGGGGTGGGGGTGGGGGTGGACCAGCACGTGCAGGAGGCACCCGGAGAGCTGGGGAGCCGGGGCGGGGTGGTGTCTCCTGCCTCCCCCTTCACTGCGTTCCCGGGTGTCCATTACGGCGACCACTGCTAACCACTGCACCTCACTGACGACCCTCAACCACTGCTGACTTGTGGCTCAGTGCTTTTCTTATACCATGTGTTCACCCCTGCTGCACCCCTCCCCTGCTGCACCCCTTCCGCCTCCCGCCTCCCTGCCTCCCGCCCCTGCTGCCCCCCTTCCGCCCCCCCCCCGCCCCCCAGGTTCGCGCCAACCACGTGTTCCTGCTGGAGCCCTCCCTGGACCCCGCCATAGAGCAGCAGGCGGTGGCGCGTGTGCATCGCATCGGGCAGGAGCGGCCGGTGCGGGTGACGCGGCTGCTGGTGGAGGGCAGCGTGGAGGAGAAGGTCATGATGATGCTGCAGGTGGGTGGGTGGTCGGCGGGGTGCTGGGTGCAAGTCAGCTGGAGCTCAGCTGAGCTGACGGACACGCTTCTGTGTGTGTAGTGGGAAGCGGGAAGCGCTGTCTTCGTGTGAAGTCAAATAGACTACCTGTGTTGTGGCACTGCTGCTGACACGATGCTAATGACAATGCTAGTGAAACCTGGAACGGCAAGCGCACGGTACCAGCCCCCCATCCGGGTGTTCCTCTGTACCACCTGCGGCAGGCCAAGCAGCAGCTCTTCCATGAGGACGTCCACACCCGCCGAGCAGCCGCTGCTGCCGCCGCTGCAGCCGCAGGCCCCTCCACCTCCACAGCCGCAGCAGCAGCAGCCGGTGGCCCCGCAGCTGCCTCCTCCTCGCTGCTGCTCTCCCCCGCCCTGGTTCCGCTGCTGGAGGGCGGTGAGGGCGAGGAGGCGAGCCTGGTGACAGCGGCTCCACGGCACGAGGTGGTGGCGGGGGGTGATATGAGTTACCTGCTGGGGGCGGTGCTGGGGTGAGAGGGCGGTGCGAGCGGGGGGGAGAGAAGCGGAAGTGTAAAATCACATTAAATGCTGCCCGAAACCCAACCCAGAGGGGGTGAGGGGAAGGGTCGGTAGGAGGTGGGCTAGTTCCTATGGTTACAATGCTCAGATACTTGGATGCGGTACTTCATGCCATTACTTCGTACACGGTGTGGCAGTGCTGGGCAAAGTAAGGTGGTAGGGGGGCAGGGTGGAAGAGGAGATAGGGCGGGCCGCAAGCAGTTGGGGACAGGAGGTGGTTGCGGTTGGGGTGGAATGTGAAACGTTTGTTCTTTTCCTGAAGGACGGGAGCAAGGTGTACGGGTTGTGGGATCGTCCCTTTCGTGGCCTGACCTTTGTAGCGGTCATCAACTCGTTCATCAGTTACCAGCAACCATTGATAAGGGGAACAGAAATGCGGGCTCAGGTGGCCGTCACAAGGCAGGACCACCTGCCTTAGGTCTCATGTTTAAGGTCTCATGTACGGTACACTGTTTTGTCTGGTTTGGATATCAGGTCGTGAATTGTGTGCGATGCAGCGCTGCGAGCACCCCTGAAGCAAAATTGAAGACAAAAAATGCCGTTGTGGGACTAGGCTGCGCTTGGCCTGTTGTCGTGCCCCTCTCCCTACACACCTCTGCTGGTGGGAGAAGGAACTGTGCCCACTTAGCGCATGTCAGTGGCTTCCATGATTAGTTACTTACAAACAGTTCCTCACCCACTAGTTACTTACAACAACGACGGGCACGTCCTCACCCAGGGCTGTAACAGTGCACGTCCTCACCCAGGGCTGTAACAGTGCTTGGAGTCAGACAATCATGTCCCCTACTAAATGTTGCCAATTCCTCACAAAAGGTATGCAGCAAAAGGTATGCAGCAATTGATATTCCCTTGTTGGGTGGAGCCCCGGGAAAAGGGAACACGGATTAAAAACCCAACTTGCACGGCAAACAGAAACAAACCAGCAAAACACCTGAGCCAACAAGTCCACAAATGACCGGCAACGAAAAGTACAAAAGAAACCGAGGAAAGGCGGAGAAGAGGCGCCAAAGGACAGATGCAACCAAAAAAGGCTACTAATAGTAGTCTTCAGAATCCCCTACCAAATCCCTCGACTCCACCTCCTCATGTTCCGCAATGAACAATGCATACCTCATCGCCTCAGCCACCGACTCGAACACTCGCTTCCGCCACCAGTCATCAGCGCTGCTGTTCTTTTCCAGCCACTCCCACACCTCACATGCATATCCAGGCCAGTCGCCCTCCGCTGCCATGTGATTGGCCGCCTCATCCACCGCCGCTCCCCAGTCCACCGGGCAGCCTGCCTGCACCAGCCAAGTCAACGTGGGCAGTGGGCAACGCTCCTTGATGCACCTGCAGAAGGTACCACCAGCCTGTGCCCAGGGGTAGCCCAGCCGCCGGAGACACTCCAGTGTGGCCAGGTCCCCATTCCTAGCAGCCGATGTATATGGGTCCAAGGTTGCATCCGTGTTGTTGGTTTCCATGGGGCAGCCATTGTCTGCCAGCCACTCCAGTGCCTCCACACATCCAGCACCTGCAGCATAGGTGTACGCACCCACTTCCCACATGCAGGCACGCTCCTCACGCAGCCACCTCATAAGCACCACACTGCCCGAGGATGCGGCAGCACGGAAGAGATGCATGGTGCGCAGTGGCTCATCAGGGCCCAGGAAGTCCAGTAGTGCAGCCACAACGGCCAGCTGGCCACCCCTTGCGGCTTCCTCCATAATGTCCTTGTTCATCTGGTAGTCCTGTTCTGCCAGCAACCTGAACACCTCCAGGTGGCCTGACTTGACAGCGGCACCCACAGCATGTGTGTTTGGTAGGACACCCTGCGCCAGGAGGTAACGCAGTGCCTCTGTGTTGTTGTGTATGGTGACGCTATCTGCGGCTTTGCGATCCACTGGATAGCCTTTGCCCAGGAGCCACAACAGGCGGTCCAGTGCGTCCGGCATGCAAGCGGCGTTCTCACAGGCAACAGTAGACCGTGGAAAGCCCTGCGCCTCCAGCCATTCAACCTTGGCCTGCCAGTCCGCTGTGCTGCTGCCTGCTGCCGCTGCCAGCAAGAAGGGCGTCCATTCCTCTTGCTCCCCCTCCTCTAGCAGACCCTCGGCTTGCCACTCCTGCATCAGTCGCTGCAGCTCCGGCAGCTCGCAGCCCACCGCCGCAAAGCATACGAGCTCGCGAAAGTTAATACGTTCCCTCCCGTACCGCGGGTGCTGCTGCAGTAACCAGTGCAACAGGTGGATGTGGTTCTTGTCTGCAGCAAGGTATACCGCGCGGTTGCTCCAGGGACAGCTGAACTGCTCCAGGCACATCCGACAAGCCTCTAGGTGCCCCGCATCGGCTGCAGCTTCCAGGGCGTCCAGGCGGGTCAGGTGATCTCCATGGGCCAATGCCTCTTTGAAGGCCTCGATGTGTCCACCCGACAACGCGGCCTCAAGAACTTCGACGGATGGAGCACAGCCGGCCTGCTTTATTGCATACAGGAGATTGGACGTGACACCAGTGCCAGCCGTTATGCATAGAAGCTGCATGCGCTGTTTAAGCGTCAGGCCCCGCATCGCATTCGGCGAGCCCCAGCGCCATGTGAACGCGTGTGCTGGAACAGGAAGCGAGAGCTTCACAACCTTTTCGTGTGGTCTGCAGAACTGAGCTGCCGCAGCCTTATTTATAAGCCGGACAGTGCACGGAATTTCATTGGATGGCAAGAATCGGGCGACGTGACCTACTAACTGTGTTGGCAGCGGTATCCAGGGGAACCGTTGTTCATTATCTGCGTACCCAGAAACAAGAGAGGGCTGATTTTGAGTCATAATGAAGCGCAGGGTAAGCATATGTCAGGCTCACAATCTCCCAACGACATGGGAGCGCAGGAAGGAATACGGGTCGGAAATATGTACGGCAGGTACGGTCGCAACGCATGCACTTCACGCTCTTGGCATCTTCCATAGATCTGCTCTCTAAAGCTGCTTTGGGATGCACCTGTCCAATTGTAAACTAGCTTGAAGGAATGGCAGCCATTACAATGCAGCGGATTCGGCCGTTCGCTGGCGTGACGACCACATTTCCTTGCCGCACCCGCATAGTAACACGTGCTCAGCTTATACCAAAGCGGAAATGCACTTCAAATGATAAAATTGACAAGGCACGGGCTGCATCCTTTGGCGAAAAGCTCAGCATGGCCATTCCACTCTCGCTTGGGGCGTTGGCCGTGGCAGCACCGCGTGCTATGTCTGAAGACTTAGCGACTATGCCAACCAGCTCACCTGCAGCTACGGATGATGCGCTATTGCTAGCTTTAAGTACCCCCAGCGGCAGCATCGAGGAGCTCATCGTGCCGCTGCTTTTTGGAGTTGTGGCACTTCTCCTAACCGTCGTAACTGGAGGGGTGCGTAATGTGGTTTACCTATACACCGTGTTCCTACTCCGAAGCTCCCACCCGCGGGACAGACACCCGAGCCCCCGCCCCACCCAACGATGTCATGATGTCAACTTGCTGAACTGCTGCCTCCATACCTGACATGTCACGCATGCCTCCGCCCTAGCCAACACGACATCCCTCTGGTTCCAGGTCGCCTACATAAACATCAAGCAGTGGCTGGACAACCGGCAGGAAAAGGAGGATCGAGACAGGGACGAGAAGGGCCTCAAAAACCCGTTTGAGAGCGGCCGCAGCAGCGCTGCAAAGTAAGGGCACTTTGCTTGATGGGATTTTAATGTTTTGAGATACGCTCAGAAGGGAGGGCATGCTTCTGTAAGGTTCAGACCCGCAAGCAGGCGTCAGTAAGGCTCCATGTCCATTGACGCCCGCTTGCGGGTTGTGATACTGTACCTGCACACCCGCTCATCAGCCCTAGATGCTCCCAAGCTTTCACTCATGACGCACTACCTCATGCTTGCTGCTCCCACTGCCACTCCCCCTGCCACTCCCCCTGCCGGCGCTGACTGCTGCCGCCACCACTGTTACGGGACTGTGACTGCAGGGCTGGCAGCGGGGAGGCGGAGGCGGAGGACGGTGAGGTGGTGGTGCCGCTCAAGCGAGCCAGCCGACTGAGGAAGGAGAAGGGCAAGGGCTTTGCGGACATCGCCAGCAGGCGGTGAGGAGGCGGATGACGTCGTCGTCAGCAGTAGCAGGCGGTGAGGTGGACGACACGGGCTGTGAGGAGACGGAGCTGCTGAGGCGCGGAGGGATGCTGGCGCGGATGTGCGTGTAGCGGCCAATGGAGGGACCGTTGGGCTTGTTGGTGGGGATGCTTGGGCTCCAGGAAAGCCACCTGGAATCTGTGGATCCCAACTAGAACTAAGGAAACCAGTGCCCATGACTCAACCGTCGCTGGGCTCAGCAGGGCTGGGACTTCCGGAAATTTGTGTTGCTTGGGCGGAGGGCAGGACTTGCAGCCGAGAGATTGACAGAGATGGAGAGATTGGGCTGGGGGCTAGAAGGGATTCGATGGATGGAGTCCTGAGAAGACCGCTGGGTCTCCAAGCGCACCAGCAGTTGGGGGTCCTTAGTCGGTCTCTCCTGGGCTATGTGCGGCAGGCAGCGGCGGGCGCCTGGTAACGGTTGCGAGCTGGCGACAAATGTGAGTCCCGTGGTTCAGGCATACGGTGTTTCTGGTCGCCTGCAATTTTTTTGGAGTGTCAGCAATGGTGTTGTTCTACTGTAATAGAATTGAAGGTCTAAGGAATAAAAAATAGAGCACATTCGCCGTGTTGCGCCTACCCTCGCTCGTTACGTACCCGTATTCGGGCCCGCAAAGCTGGACGCCACAACCCACAAAGGTGGCACTTTCTAACGACTGTTTATTTAGATTAGCGCAAGAATGTATGCCATGCTATTCCTTGCTCAGATACACTGACGTCTTGCATGTCTGCAAGCCGCGAGGGAGTCAATGGAACTGCCATGCTCTAGGACAGATCTCGAAGTAATTAATTAAGCATAACCACCTTACGACAAGCAGTGATACAACTTTGTACACGAAGGCCCTCTTCTAGATCATTTCCATCAGCCGCTTAACGCCGCATATGCGCCACTAGGCCTCGTGCAACCGACTTCCAATCATGTTTAAGAAGCCGTTCTTAATCGGGCAATCCCATAAGGTCAGCGGGGCCGACCGAAAGAAGCTTCGCAGGTAAGCACGGATTCCATCCGACCTCGCGAACTCGCGTCGGCGAAACCCAGCGATTCATAAAAGAACCAGGATTATGCTGCATAACCTCTTGCCCCCGTCTTTCACTCCCACGGCTGCGCTAGGGACCTATTCCCCCCTCCTCCCTCTCTCCATGAACCCTACACCTTTCTCCGCTCCTCTCCCCTCCTCTCCCCTCCCCTCCCCTCCTCCCCCCCCCACAGGGCCCTGGACAAGGCCTTCGGTCCGCTCTCCGAGGCCGACCTGGAGGCCCTGCTGCCCGCCAAGGCCGGCGAGCTGGAGTGCGCCAAGCTGGCCTCGCCCTCCCGCATCGTGCTCTACCTGCACGACGGCGCGCCCCTGCTCATCGACCCCGCCGGCAAGGGCGATCTGCTGCCCTCCGTGTTCGCACTCTGGCGGCTGCCGGGGCTGCTGCCGCAGGTACGGCAAGCGGGGGCCGCATGGGGTTGGGGCGGGGGGCGGGGGCTCACGGCTAACACCGCCCTGCGCCAACACGCGCGTGTGCTGCGCTGCCAGCAATCCTTACCCTCCCCTCCCACCTCTCTCCTCTGCCTCACCTCACCTCACCTCACCTTCCCCCCCCACACACACCTCCGCCAGTTTTCTTAACACACCTCCGCCTCCCTCCTCACCCCTCCCCTCCACCCCACCTCGCCCGCCCAGGTGTTCGTCAAGCACCCCGCCGTGAGCCGCTACCTGGTTGGGGGGGCGGACCTCATGCTGCCGGGGGTGCTGCTACCGCCCTCGGGGGGAGCTGGTGAGGGTGAGGGTGGCGGGGGCGGTGGCGGCCTTCCTTCCTTCCAGTCTGGGCAGCTGGTGGCGGTGTGCAGCCCCGGCAACCCGGCTCCGCTGGCGGTGGGGCGGGCGGTGCTGGGGTCGGCGGAGGCGGAGGGCAGGATGAGGGGAGGCGGAGGCAGGGTGGGGGGCGGCAAGGGGAAGCTGGTGGAGGTGGTGCAGGTGAGAGGGGGCGAGGGCGGGTGTGGGGGTGTGGGTGGGGGAGGTTGGGGATTCAGGGTTGGGTTGCCCTGAGCGAGGGGGGCTCGGGCGCATTTGGGAGGGTGGAGGTGGTGAGGACGTGAGTAAAGAGGGATTGGGCGCCTTTGCAGCTGTGGAGTTGTGCAGGTGCAATTTACACGCTTTGACCTCGCAAACGCTCCTCTCGTGCCATCCCCTCCTGGTCGCCGCCAGCCCCAAGGCACCCACACTGCCCTCTCCCTCCCTCTCATGCCTCACCACCCTGATTTGCTTTACCCATCCCTGCCTCCCTCCCCCCCACCCCCCACCCCCACAGCACTACGGCGACCATCTGTGGTCGGATGTGGGGTGTCGTGCGGTGCCCAACCCCGGCTTCCTGCCCGACGGGGTGGTGCCGCCGGGGGTGGTGTCCATTGAGGCGATGCTGGCGCAGGTGGGGGCGGGGGGGGGGGGGTGAAGGGTGGGGTGGGGTGAAGGTTGTGGGGGGAGGGGGGGGGGGGTTCAGCAGTGGGGGGAGGGTGAAACGAAACAGGTGAAGGCGGGCGGGGGATGGTATCACTGCATCGCATGAGCACATGAGCTGAGGGCGCACTGCTTGGGTTCCTCGTCTTCCTGTGTCCCATGTCTGTAACAGCCTACATTGGGTAACCAAACTGCTGCAGGGAAGTGACAGCGATGACTCTGAGGACAGCGAGGAGGAGGGGCAGCAGGGGGAGCAGCAGCAGAGACAGGAGCAGCAGCAGCAGCAGCTAGGGGACAGCGGTGCAGCAGCGGCAGATGGGGCGGCGTCAGCAGCTGACCAGCTCCGAGGCTTGGCGCTGGGTTCAGCAGCTGTAGCAGTAGCAGGCGGCAGCGGCGGCGGCGGCAGCGGCGGCAGGGAAGCGGAGGCGAATGCCGGGGAGGGTGCTGGTGCTGGTGGCGAGGGTGCTGGCGGTGGTGTGGATATGGATGCGCTGCTGGAGGCGGCGCTGCTGCAGGCGCTGACCAAGAGCGTCAAGGACAGCGGTGGGGAAGGGAAGGGGAAAGGATAGGGGAGGGTATTGAAGAAAGGGGGCGGGGAGGGTTAACAGCTAGCCTCGCCTGAGTTCGGGATCTTGGCGGCTTGGGAGGTGTTTGGGGCTACTGACACGGGGCTCGAATGGCTGGATGCGACACACAACGATACAAGCAGAGACCGGCAAGTAATTGACCAGTCCCCATCCCATCCCTCACCTTCCCTGTTTCTTCCTCTTTCTCACTCCCCAGACCTGCCCCTCAACTCCTCGGTGTTGTGGAACCAGCACATGCTGCCCGCCCGCCCCGCCGGCTGCACACTGGACGTCAAGAGGTCCAAACACAAGAAGATGTCCAAGTTCCTGCAGGTGTGCGTGTGTGTATGTATGGAGGCGGGGGAAAATTATATAAGAAATGCAAACAACTAAGTCCCAATCCCATATCCCGACTCATGCAGTGAGCGCATTCGGAGGCACTAATAACACGCAGGCGGGGGGGGGGCGGAGAGGCAGAGGGGGAGGGGAGGGTAAGAGGTAGGAGGGAGGGAAAGCGAGAGGGATAGCTGGAAGGGTAGGGATGTGGGAAGGCGTTTACGACACACGCCCGCTGTCAGGGATAACTACATCCGTGTACCTTACCATACCTGAGTTCTATACGGGTCTGGATCTCCACATCCGTACATACGTTTGTTGCTCGTACCTATCTCTGCCCCCCCCCCCCATGTCGTACTCCCCCTCAGTCGTACGGCAAGTTGGGTCTGCTGACGTTGAAGGAGGACAAGCACTCGGGGGACGTCATCGTGACATCGGTCAACCGGCGAGCTCCGTTGTACACGGAATTCAGGTGGGTGGGGGGTGAGTGCGGTGAAGGGCTAGAGTGCGGGAAGGGGGTAGGGTGCGGGAAGGGGTTAGAGTGCGGTACATCACCATCATCCTGCCCCTTTCCTCCCTCCTGCCCCCCACCTGTAGGCCCTACAAGGCAGCCGCCACCGCCGCCGGCGCCGAAGCCGCCTCCTCCTCCCCAGCGGCAGCCACCCCTGCAGCAGCAGCGGTGACCAGCTCGGGCCCCTCTGCAGCCGCCGCCTCCTCCGGCGGACCCACGGGTCGCTCCTCGGGCCCCTGCGAGCCGCTCCACATCGAGGAGGTGTTCAAGCCCGGCAAGGAGCTGCGGCCGCTGTTCGAGGAGCTCGGACTCAAGTGGGTGCGAGGGTGGCGGGGAATAAATGAGAAGTGCAGCAACGGAGGGTGTTGGTTGGTTGGTTGGTTGGTTGGTTGGTTGCGGTGTGGGTGGGTGATTTGGGAAACGCGGTAGGCAGGCAGCTGTGTGTAAACACAACAGTGTTGCATGTGTGTTAAGAAAGCTTGCCGCGAGCAGGAACGTACTGGATTGTCGTAAGATGATGTGTATGTTAAGGAAACTGGCCCCGATGTATGTTGTTTACCAATGCTGCCGACCGAGGAGGTTGTTGCTGGAGGTTGCTGCAGGTTGGGGCCTTGTCGTCGGCTGTCGGAAAACCTTTCTTTTCTATCCTAACCCTCACTCCCCCCCCCCCAGTCCCGAGGCCCTGTACACCGCTGCGGAGGCCGCCGAGGTGGCGTTCGGCTACGTAAGGATTGCGGGGCTGGAGGCGGGTGCACCGGACAACCGCACGCTGCTGCTCAACCCCACGCTGTGCGATGCGCTGTTCAAGGTGCGTGGGTGGGTGGTTGCGCGCGTGTGGTTGCTAGACCAAAACTGAAGGCTGTTTTAGGACTTGTACTGCTGTGTTAACAGTAGCCGGGTGTGCTAAAGGGTAACCTGGAGTGTGTGTTTCCCGCGCGCGCCATTACACGCGGCCAGGTAGCATGTGACATCTTTCCCTTACCCCATTACATGACACACCCCATTACACACCAGTACCAACACGCTGATGTTAACATCCTGCAAACCATCTCCCCCCCGCCCGCACACGTTGCGGCACACTGCCCTGCGCCTCTCCAGGGCTTCATCAAGAAGGGCGAGACCTACCCCACCCACCTAGCCAAGGCGGACCTGCGGGAGGCCTTCATGCGCCGCATGCACATGCAGTGCCGCGTGACACGGGGGAACCAACAGGTACGACATGAGGGGACCAACGGGTACGACATGAGGGGACCAACGGGTACGACATGAGGGGACCAACGGGTACGACATGAGGGGACCAACAGGTACGACACAACACGACATATAAGTCAGCGGTTTGCTTTGTTATATACACTTGCTGGCGTACCGTTGTCGGCAGCTCATGAGAGTCTCTTGGCTGGTTTGGGCCTTACGAGCCTTCCAGCTTGGAACCGCAGCAGCGTACCGAGCTGATGTGTGACAACTGGCCGGGTGTGTACTTTGCTTCTTTGACGCTGTCTGCTCTACACACATGCGTGCCATGTACTGCAGACATCAACCTTGGCCACCCAAGGCAAAGACTTGCCGTACCCTCACCTCTTCCTGCAGATCCTTAATGCTGATGTGTCATGTCGTGTCTCATGAGTCATGTTATGTCATGTCTCATGCGTCATGCCTTGTCATGTGATGCTCCCGCGCTCGTCAGGTTGTACGGAAGGGTCAGCCGCCTGTCGTACAGATCAGTACGGAGAAGCGGCAGGGCAACAAGCGGGTGACCAAGGTGGTGGGGCTGGAGCCGTTCCTCGTGGATCTGGAGCAGGTACGGCAGCGGTGTCGTACCGTACACTGCGGTACGGCACATGTCCCCTTGATTATATGACACGGGCTTATGTGTGTCTAAAGCCCTGATCCTCCTCCCTCATCTCCACCTGCTGCTCCTGCACCCTGTCCCGTGTCCCCCTTCACCGTTTCCCCCCTCCATTCTCCTTGGCCTTGTCCTTCACCCCACCCACCCCACCTGCCTGCCTCCCCCCTGCCCCCCACGCACCCCCCCCCAGGTGGCGGGCGAGTGTCAGCGCAAGTTCGCATGTTCCACAAACGTGGTGGAGCTGCCGGGCAAGGGAGCGGGCCACGAGGTGAGCGGGCAGCAAGTATGTGTGGCAACGTGTATATGGTGTGAGGGATGATGAGGCTTCTGACTCGTACGGCAACGCTATACCCGACATGTACGGATGTACGGCATATTGTCTTTTAGCGCACTAAAGTCGTGCTGGGCTTAACGTACTTCTTTCCGTCTCATACATCCTCGCCGTTCCTCCTTTTCCCAACAGGTCGTACTGCAGGGATCCTTCCTGGATCCAGTTGCGGATTTCATCATGCAGCAGTACGGCATACCCAAAAAGTACTTCCTGGTCAAGAAGTGATGATGATGATGATGATGTTGGGAAAGGATATTGGAGAAAGGCCGGAATGGGGGTGTTGTAGTGCGCCTTGTGTGCCTAATATTTGTCAATATGTGTGCGTGGCAGGATGTGGCGGCAGTGGCAGCCGGCAGGGCGAGTGGGCGAGGGCAGGACAGGGGGCTTGAAAGCAAGGAGGAGGCGCCACTCGCGGGACGGCCCATGGGTCAGTGCGCAGGGGCTGAGCGCGGAGGCGGCTGCGGTTCGCAAGTGCGGTTCCAGCGGGGCCCCGCATCGTTAGCTGCGGCTCTGCCGGTCGCTGCTAGCGCAGGTAGTCCAGAAGGTGGCGGACCAGCAGCAGCAGCAGCCGCAGCCGCAGACGCCGAGACTCCAGCCCGCAGGGGGGTGTGCTGCGAGGTTGAGGTTTGGGCTCCGATTAGGCCGGGATATTACCAGCCCCTTACCTTCAGTACTGCTGCACCCAACGCGGTCAACTTGCAATACAAGCATGCGAGGTACTTGCACTTTTAAATTGGGGACGCACACACCCTAAAACGGCCAGCCAGGGATGCATTCTTATGAAGGGAAAGGACAGCCTTTCTGCTTGAGGGTCGTTCTTAGATAGGAGTTAGCGCTTTAAGGCCCCGCCGTATGGATCGTACTGCTGGGGATCCCTCTCAAACACGGCACCTACCTGCATGTTCGCGGTCCCAGTCGTCATGTCGGCAGCAGACGCCCCTTCGCCTGCAGCGCCTAAACCAGCACCAGAATGCTCCCGGGAAGACCCCTTCTGCGGTTGTTCCTGGGTTCCACAGGTCAGGTGGCACCTCAGCGTGCCCGGACCTAGCACCCGCCGACCTAACACCCGCCGACCTAGCACCCGCCAACCTAGCACCCGCCGACCTAGCACCCACCGACCTAGCACCCGCCGACCTGGCACCCGCCGACCTAGCGCCCGCCGACCTCGCACCCGCCGACCTAGCGCCCGCCGACCTAGCGCCCGCCGACCTAGCACCCGCCGACCTAGCACGCGCCGACCTAGCACCCGCCGACCTAGCACCCGCCGACCTAGCACCCGCCGACCTAGCACCCGCCGACCTGGCACCCGCCGACCTAGCACCCGCCGACCTAGCACCCGCCGACCTAGCACCAACCGACCTAGCACCCGCCGACCTAGCACCCGCCGACCTGGCACCCGCCGACCTAGCACCCGCCGACCTAGCGCCCGCCGACCTAGCGCCCGCCGACCTAGCACCCGCCGACCTAGCGCCCGCCGACCTAGCGCCCGCCGACCTAGCGCCCGCCGACCTGGCGCCCGCCGACCTGGCACCCGCCGACCTAGCACCCGCCGACCTGGCACCCGCCGACCTGGCACCCGCCGACCTAGCACCCGCCGACCTGGCACCCGCCGACCTGGCACCCGCCGACCTAGCGCCCGCCGACCTAGCACCCACCGACCTAGCACCCGCCGACCTGGCACCCGCCGACCTAGCACCCGCCGACCTAGCACCCGCCGACCTAGCACCCGCCGACCTAGCACCCGCCGACCTAGCACCCGCCGACCTGGCACCCGCCGACCTAGCACCCGCCGACCTAGCACCCGCCGACCTGCCACCCACCGACCTAGCACCCGCCGACCTAGCACCCGCCGACCTGGCACCCGCCGACCTGGCACCCGCCGACCTAGCACCCGCCGACCTAGCGCCCGCCGACCTAGCGCCCGCCGACCTAGCACCCGCCGACCTAGCGCCCGCCGACCTAGCACCCGCCGACCTAGCGCCCGCCGACCTAGCACCCGCCGACCTGGCACCCGCCGACCTAGCACCCACCGACCTAGCACCCGCCGACCTAGCGCCCGCCGACCTAGCGCCCGCCGACCTAGCACCCGCCGACCTAGCGCCCGCCGACCTAGCGCCCGCCGACCTAGCGCCCACCGACCTAGCACCCGCCGACCTAGCACCCGCCGACCTGGAACTCACCGACCTGGAACTCGCCGACCTAGCGCCCGCCGACCTGGCACCCGCCGACCTAGCGCCCGCCGACCTAGCACCCGCCGACCTAGCGCCCGCCGACCTAGCGCCCGCCGACATAGCACCCGCCGACATAGCACCCGCCGACCTAGCACCCGCCGACCTAGCACCCGCCGACCTAGCACCCGCCGACCTAGCACCCGCCGACCTAGCACCCACCGACCTAGCACCCGCCGACCTGGCACCCGCCGACCTAGCGCCCGCCGACCTCGCACCCGCCGACCTAGCGCCCGCCGACCTAGCGCCCGCCGACCTAGCGCCCGCCGACCTAGCACCCGCCGACCTAGCACGCGCCGACCTAGCACCCGCCGACCTAGCACCCGCCGACCTAGCACCCGCCGACCTAGCACCCGCCGACCTAGCACCCGCCGACCTGGCACCCGCCGACCTAGCACCCGCCGACCTAGCACCCGCCGACCTGGAACCCGCCGACCTAGCACCCGCCGACCTAACACCCGCCGACCTAGCGCCCGCCGACCTAGCGCCCGCCGACCTAGCGCCCGCCGACCTAGCGCCCGCCGACCTAGCACCCGCCGACCTGGCACCCGCCGACCTAGCACCCACCGACCTAGCACCCGCCGACCTAGCGCCCGCCGACCTAGCACCCGCCGACCTAGCACCCACCGACCTAGCACCCGCCGACCTGGCACCCGCCGACCTAGCGCCCGCCGACCTAGCACCCGCCGACCTAGCACCCGCCGACCTAGCACCCGCCGACCTAGCGCCCGCCGACCTAGCACCCGCCGACCTGGCACCCGCCGACCTAGCACCCACCGACCTAGCGCCCGCCGACCTAGCGCCCGCCGACCTAGCACCCGCCGACCTAGCGCCCGCCGACCTAGCGCCCGCCGACCTAGCACCCGCCGACCTAGCACGCGCCGACCTAGCACCCGCCGACCTAGCACCCGCCGACCTAGCACCCGCCGACCTAGCACCCGCCGACCTGGCACCCGCCGACCTAGCACCCGCCGACCTAGCACCCGCCGACCTGCCACCCACCGACCTAGCACCCGCCGACCTAGCACCCGCCGACCTGGCACCCGCCGACCTAGCACCCGCCGACCTAACACCCGCCGACCTAGCGCCCGCCGACCTAGCACCCGCCGACCTAGCGCCCGCCGACCTAGCGCCCGCCGACCTAGCACCCGCCTACCTGGCACCCGCCGACCTAGCACCCACCGACCTAGCGCCCGCCGACCTAGCGCCCGCCGACCTAGCACCCGCCGACCTAGCACCCGCCGACCTGGCACCCGCCGACCTGGCACCCGCCGACCTAGCGCCCGCCGACCTAGCACCCGCCGACCTAGCACCCGCCGACCTAGCGCCCGCCGACCTAGCACCCGCCGACCTGGCACCCGCCGACCTAGCACCCACCGACCTAGCACCCGCCGACCTAGCGCCCGCCGACCTAGCGCCCGCCGACCTAGCACCCGCCGACCTAGCGCCCGCCGACCTAGCGCCCGCCGACCTAGCGCCCACCGACCTAGCACCCGCCGACCTAGCACCCGCCGACCTAGAACCCGCCGACCTAGTACCCACCGACCTAGCACCCGCCGTCCTGGCACCCGCCGACCTGGCACCCGCCGACCTAGCACCCGCCGACCTAGCGCCCGCCGACCTGGCACCCGCCGACCTAACACCCGCCGACCTAGCGCCCGCCGACCTAGCACCCGCCGACCTAGCGCCCGCCGACCTAGCACCCGCCGACCTAGCGCCCGCCGACCTAGCGCCCGCCGACCTAGCGCCCGCCGACCTAGCGCCCACCGACAACGCACCCGCCGACCTAGCACCCACCGACCTAGCACCCGCCGACCTAGCACCCGCCGACCTGGAACCCGCTGACCTAGCACCTGCCGACCTAGCGCCCGCCGACCTGGCACCCGCCGACCTAGCACCCGCCGACCTGGCACCCGCCGACCTAGCACCCGCCGACCTGGCACCCGCCGATCTGGAACCCGCTGACCTAGCACCCGCCGACCTAGCACCCGCCGACCTGGAACCCGCCGACCTAGCACCAGCCGACCTAGCACCCACCGACCTAGCACCCGCCGACCTAGCACCCACCGACCTAGCACCCGCCGACCTAGCACCCGCCGACCTAGCACCCGCCGACCTGGAACCCGCCGACCTAGCACCAACCGACCTAGCGCCCGCCGACCTAGCACCCACCGACCTAGCACCCGCCGACCTAGCACCCACCGACCTAGCACCCGCCGACCTAGCACCCGCCGACCTATCACCCGCCGACCTGGCACCCACCGACCTAGCACCCGCCGACCTAGCACCCGCCGACCTAGCACCCACCGACCTAGCACCCGCCGACCTATCAGCCGCGGACCTAGCACCCGCCGACCTTGCACCCACGGACCTGGCACCCGCCGACCTGGCACCCGCCGACCTAGCACCCGCCGACCTTGCACCCGCCGACCTAGCGCCCGCCGACCTAGCACCCGCCGACCTAGCACCCGCCGACCTGGAACCCGCCGACCTAGCACCAACCGACCTAGCACCCGCCGACCTGGAACCCGCCGACCTAGCACCAACCGACCTAGCACCCGCCGACCTTGCACCCGCCGACCTAGCGCCCGCCGACCTAGCACCCGCCGACCTAGCACCCGCCGACCTGGAACCCGCCGACCTAGCACCAACCGACCTAGCGCCCGCCGACCTAGCACCCGCCGACCTGGCACCCGCCGACCTAGCACCCACCGACCTAGCACCCGCCGACCTAGCGCCCGCCGACCTAGCGCCCGCCGACCTAGCACCCGCCGACCTAGCGCCCGCCGACCTAGCGCCCGCCGACCTAGCGCCCACCGACCTAGCACCCGCCGACCTAGCACCCGCCGACCTAGAACCCGCCGACCTAGTACCCACCGACCTAGCACCCGCCGACCTGGCACCCGCCGACCTGGCACCCGCCGACCTAGCACCCGCCGACCTAGCGCCCGCCGACCTGGCACTCGCCGACCTGGCACCCGCCGACCTGGAACCCGCCGACCTAGCACCCACCGACCTGGCACCCGCCGACCTAGCACTCGCCGACCTGGCACCCGCCGACCTAGCACCCGCCGACCTAACACCCGCCGACCTAGCGCCCGCCGACCTAGCACCCGCCGACCTAGCGCCCGCCGACCTAGCGCCCGCCGACCTAGCGCCCGCCGACCTAGCGCCCACCGACAACGCACCCGCCGACCTAGCACCCACCGACCTAGCACCCGCCGACCTAGCACCCGCCGACCTGGAACCCGCTGACCTAGCACCTGCCGACCTAGCGCCCGCCGACCTGGCACCCGCCGACCTAGCACCCGCCGACCTGGCACCCGCCGACCTGGCACCCGCCGACCTAGCGCCCGCCGACCTGGAACCCGCCGACCTAGCACCCGCCGACCTGGCACCCGCCGACCTAGCACCCGCCGACCTGGCACCCGCCGATCTGGAACCCGCTGACCTAGCACCCGC